AAAGTGACCTATCATTATTGCACTTATTATATTGATTCTACATGCTATAATTATTTATATATCAATATAATTTCACCATTGGATTTCTGATGCAGAGTTAACACTCTGGGCACAGCCCAACCCATCTAGTCGCACCACACAATAACCTAACACCAGCTGGACTGGCTTGGCTTGGCCCATTCAGGCCCGGCTTGGCCCGGCCCACAGCTTGAAGCTGGACCATGCTCATCACTACCCATATGTTGAGCACTAACGTTTCGGAGCACGGACCAGGAGGAGGAAATGAGATGTCAGAGTGAGACATTGCAAGCACAACCAGTCTATGTGACACATGACATTGTGATGTTGGCTGAGACATAGTAATATATTCCTATGCTACCATTTATTCGTATCACTATGCTAACCTATTATACAGTATCGAGTACAGTGTTAGAACATCTCAGTCAAGTATCTCAATACTGAGATGTAAGTCGTTACTATTATTTCCCTTTTGTTATAATGAGCTAACATACCCATAGTATACATTCTTAACAGGTACTACACTAGTTTAGGGAGTTGAGTATCTCAAGACTGAAAATATATATTCTTAACAGCTCCTTGTTCGTCCCTGCTTGCCTAAACTTGCTTTACCATATCCTCAGCAGAAAGCCCTGGCGCATCCACAATCAACATCAGCCTCATTCTCATGGCTTCTATGACAGTAGCTAGGCCTCGGTTTGCAGCTATGAAGTTGTCTGAACGGTGCATACAGCCCTGTATGACCGCAATTATTCATAATTTTCAACAGCCCAAATTAGTGCCTCCAAAGTCTGGTTCGGTCAGGTTCATGGCCCTATATCTGTGAACCCTGAACTCGACCATCGGTCAGGTTCAGGCATGGTGGCAGAACCTTGGACTGAACCCCTTCAAACACGTTCAGAAGGGTTCAGAAGGGTTCAGAATGTGTTCGAACTCTCAAACCATTGTTTTAAATCCAAAAGAATTTTTAAAATTACCAGAAAAATGACAACAAAATTGTATGAATAGCTACTAGAACTCTTCACTGATGACGACGCGGTTATCATAAGGAGCAGCAAACTCAGCCTGGGATGTTGCCGAGATATGTCCTTGATGGTACGCACTCTTGAGCAACTGAAGAGCCTTGAATGTTCCTGGCTGCAAACAGCTGCAATATGCAGTCCCAGTAATGCTGCCACTAGAAAATGCACGCTTGGACGCAACAGCCAATCCCTGAATGGCAAGGTAATCCTTTGCGATGCAGGAGATAGTTGGGTACTGGACAGAATGGTGCTTGAAAAGTTTTTTGATCATATTAGTATGCAAGCAACACAAATCAAACAATGAGATGTACCCCCCACCAGCCCACTACATTGTCAACATCCTCGAGCCGTGAATCTAGGTAGTCCTCAAGTTCTTGACGAGGCCTTCATGTGGCTGTGTCATTCATGATATGTGATTTGACAGAGCTGCACATCCAACCATGGCCATATGAGCCTTGGCGAGCAAGTGAAGGTGGCACAGTGACAGATGGCTCTGCAGGAGCCTGTGAGGAAGTACTGCGGTGATATATATTGAACTATGTAAGATTAGTATACAATTGACACAGGCGAGCAATGATGAGTGATGTATGACTCACTTGAGGGATTGCATCCCTGTTTTGAAAAAATGAGGGGCCCATTTGTCTTTGGCATATGTGACCTTGTAGTTGGGGTTGAGCGCTACACCAAAAAGGTCAATGTCATTAAAAGGCATTAAAATAAAAATGATACATACCAAGACAAATAAAATAATTGTCTGTGTTGTCAGTCTTACCATACCACTTGCTGAGATTAACAACACCAGCTTCAAAGCGGCTGAATTTTGATGAATTGGCCATGTTTTGCAACGTCTCTTGAAGATATTCAAGCACCAGAATAGTTCACCATACAGTTGGTTCACAAGTTGCTGAGAAACTCTGCTGAGCATCCACAGGTTCCTTGGTGCACAGCACATAAGCATACTTAGATGTAAATGATGAAGGGAAATGATGAACCTGAAGGACTTCACGCATCAACTCCAACTCCATCCATTCTTGTGCTGAAAGCCTGAAATTGGAATATGATTCATCAGCAAGCTGGGTGAATCTATTCACTCCCTGACAGATCGAGTCAGTGATATATTCACACAGTCAGTAATAGACGACTTACTTTGTGCATTTGAAAAATGTGCTCCAACATATTGAAAAGAGAGGCCCAACATGTGCGAACCCATTTCAAAAGCTCCAATGGGGGCTCGTTCACCTCTGTGCAGCACTTTTGAAGGAAGATGTGAGCTTCAGGAGACTTCCGTACCTAAACAAAGGTGTTATGTCAGTATACAATAGCAGATTGATTAGCTTACCTGCACAACAAACCCAAGTGCTTTGCCTGGTGTCACTGACTATGAATTCAACACTTTCCTCATCCTCATCATCTTCAGCCTGAGCCTGAGCCACCTTCTTGTGCAAGACACTTGCTGGTGTTGGAGCCACCTCCTCAATGAAATGTTTTGCTGCCAAGTGGAGTGTGTCCCCCATACAACTGAATACTTGTCAGTAATCTCAACTTCAGTATCTAATAGACATACTTACCATACTCGATGCTCAATCAGTTTCCACTTCTCACCAGAAGGGTCAATAGAGTCAGCAACAGCCTCAATGGCAGTATCATTGTTAGTAGCATTGTCAGCCGTAAACCACCCAAGCTTTGTGCAGATACCATATTTGTCAATATTTTCAGTCAAAATCTTCCCAATGTTTGCACCACTGTGATTGCCATGAATGGGTGTGAATGCGAGTGGCTCCATCTTGAGTTCCCACTCTTGAGGCTTTTCAGCTGGGGAATCAATATAATGTGCAGTAAGGGATAGGAAAGGGTGACCAGGCAAAGACATCCACAAGTTGAACATCATAGAGATTTTGCTATTGACATGCTTGAGCTTCTCTTTCACATGCTTGACTACTAGATTTGTATGTTTGAGTATTTCATCCCGAGTTTTGGTATGGTGGGGAATATCTTGGTCTGAAAGCAACGGCCAAAGATACTGAAGAAGGCAGTGGAAGGGTCCTTTATCTACAAGTTGAAAGGCCTGTATGTATAAGTATCTTATAATTATATAAAAAATGAAAGTCGCTCACCTTGTCCTCAGCAACAATGAGTTCGATGATGTAATCCATAAGTCTGGACTTTGTGAATGCTGGAATCTTGGGCAAAAGAGAGGCATCCAAGGTTGCCTGAACATCAGTCATCTTGCAGCCACAAGGTATTGCACAATCATGCATCACGAGACCCCACTGTTTGCAGTGGTCCCAATAAACTGGGAAATGGCACTTGGGATTGCATGCAATGTGCATGCATCAAGTTGAGATACCACCCTTGAAAAAGCACTGGTGTAGTGCGACATTGTTGGCCTTGCATACCTCACACCACCACCCATTTTTGCGCTCCTGGGTGTGGGGGTTAACACGACCTGTCTCAAAAGTAAAGACTGTAGTCAAGTCAGCGCTGCATTCATCCTTCTTGAGAGATTTATGGTCTTCACGATCCTGGTCATCAAGCTTCTTCATCCTCTGGTAAGCCTCCTCATTCTCATTCTCATTCTCATTCTCATTCTCATTCTCATTCTCTTCTTCATCCGTTAAATCCTTGAGTGGTGGGGCTTCTTCATCAGCGTCCTCATCTTCGTCCTCAGTGCCAGCAAATGCTTGCTTGGGTGTGGGGGCACCCTGAGGAGGTCCTGGAGCTGACCATTTGGCCAGGATACTACTGCCAGCAGTCTCATGGATCTTCTCCATAGGTTTGACAGCTTGACCTGAATGACGTATGAAAGAGTTGAGAGTCCCATTGCATGCAGGAGGGGGAGGGGGAGGAAGCATTGGGGAGTCATCATCGGCATCATTGTACCAATCTATCTCACTAGCATCTTTCAATGAGCCATCAGCATGACATGCAGATGACATAGTGGTAGCAGGTAGCAAAAATGTCCAACTTATTCAACAAGTAAGTATATTTCAACTAAATTTAAAATGGTTACGCACCATAAAGCACCACATGGCAGAACAGCGGTGTGGTGAATCACAAGTGTGGATAGTTTGTCCTGAAACAAATGACATTAAAGTTAGCAACAAACAGTTAATTGTGACAAAGAGTAAACTTGTTGTGAACATACCGGCACCTCATGTTGGAAAAAAGTCAAGGACCATTTTAATGCTGCCAGCTTCCAACACTGGTCAAATGCCTTAAAAGGTGCCTTTCAAGGCACTGGCAAGTGTCTCAACCATACAAGGTTCCATTATAATAGATTCTCATGCATTATGTGCTATTATTAGTATTTCTGGCTGACATTGAATCAATAATCAGCCCATCTCAAGGTTCTCTCTGAGTCTGCCATCACCCTCTCTGCCATTGGTTAGCAGCCTCCATCTCTGTTGTACATAACAAGTCCATACCTATACTTTATTCATACCTGTTGATTATTTCCTGGATCCGATGGTTCCAACTTGTTCTGCTTGACAAGGGAGGTAGCATTCTTCAGAAGGGGCACTAACAGGACAGATGACATGTACTCACTGTGACACAAAATTCAAGGCACAGGGCATCAAGAACCACGAGACCAGCTGCAAGAAGCGCCTGGAAGCTGAAGAGGAGCAACAATGATTCAACTGAGAGTATGAGAAAGGGTGACAAAAAGGTAAGTCATCTAATTGTGTACCTACAATATTGCAATCATTTAGTTGATATTATATTTGAACTTCCAGCAAAAAAGGCTTGCAGAGCCCTTAGACTTGAAATCAGCGAGGCTGGCCCAGTACCTCTGATCCAATGTCTGATGTGAGTGACGCTCACAATGCATTGCCTAAGCCTGAGGAGCAACTTGAATATGACTGTAATGCAGGAATTACAAGCCCTGGTAAGCACATTGACTTCATTAGCATTGTTAATTCAGATGCCAACTTATTTTGTACAGTATTTTCCAATGTGAGCATGGCCATTAACCCTGCGCCCGCGGCATCTGCACAACTCCCCAGTGAGTTCAAAACCGAGTACCATCCTCGTTCTGGTCGCCCAACTCTCTTCCAACCCTTCAACAAATTCCATATCTCCTCACAGGCACAGCACACGCCTATTATTGATAAGGAACCATGGTGTCCCTTCAGATCGCATGGGGACTTTGAATTTTCTGAGATCGCAATTGAAGCTGCACTCAACAAATCTCAAATCAACACACTCCTCAGTCTCATCATGTGCATCTCTGAAGGTAATGCTCAGATAACCTTGAAGAATGAAGCCGATCTCTCCAAGGCATGGGACAATGCTGCAGTCGAATTAACACCAGTATGTCTTGTCTTGACTCTCATGTGATTATATTGCTTAATGCTTTAGCTAATTAATTAAGTAGTTCTCAAAACATGAAGTCAGTGTAACCTACAAGAAGAATGAGCAAGTGTACAAAGTTCACGCATGGCCTATTTGGGATTGGGTGCTCAATTTATTAGATAATGCATTGCTTGCACCACACTTTGTCTGGCACACGTGTCATGTTTTCAAGCACAATGGCACAAGGTTTGAGCACTTCATTGACGACCATCGACCACAGATAGGTGGTGGGACATTCAAGTGTGTAATAGTCATTTATCAAATCAAACATATAGATTCACACTACTTGTATTTCAATGTAAATGATATTAGTCTTCTCTTCCTGATATTGACGGCTCCATCCCATTCTGTTTCATTCTGTATGCTGACAAAACAAAGTTGTTGTCCCATGGTATGGTCAAGGGGTACCCAGTCGTGGTATGATGTGCGAACTTACCTATACATATCCAGAATGGCGAGGTGTTTGGTGGTGGCCATGTCGTCGGATGGTTGCCTATTGTGAATCTTTTTTTTTCCGTCAAACATCAATTCAACTTGTACATCACAGGTTCCTGAAGATGCAGGCAAAGAAGGTAAACTTGGATATACAATGCTGAAACATGTTGTATGGCATGAATCGTTCTTCAAACTTCTGGAGCTTGCAGCACAGTACTCGAAAACTGGGTATACACACAAGTGCCATGACGACATTTTGCAATGGTGACTCCCCATCATATTAATTCTTTCAGCTGACTACAAAGAACAGTAAGTCCTTCCAACATGTAGTCCATATTGCTGCTGATTCCTATGATACATACCCCATCACTATCACTTCTTTGAGATGGCTAATTAATTATTTAACAGGTGCATGATGCCACTCATACATGGCCGTGGCGGCAAGTGGCCTTGCCCAGTGTGCCTTGTACCATTAGCTGAGCTTCATGACTTGTCAAAGACCTACCCCCTGAGATCTATGGAGGAAGTGAAGGAAGCACTTCGTGTTTATAGGCACAGCAAAGCTCAAGGTGAGGAGCTATTGAAAGCTCTTGGATTGTGGCCTGTTGAGGTACACTGAACTTTTTTTGCATGATTTGAATTTGCTGATATTAAGAATGCACTTAGAATATCTTTTGGATCATATGGTTTTCGGATCCACACAATGCGCTCAGCTTTGATCGAATCCACTCGTTGCATAGTTGTATTTGGAAGCACCTACTTGGAGAACTGAAGAAAATCCTCACATCGCTTGGACGTGAAGCTGAGGCAGCATTTGAGAAGCTGTAAGTCATTAATACCAATCCTTTTTTTTTCACAATCTCCATCATTTCACAGGATTGATGACTTCCCTCAATGGTGCAACCTCAACCACTTCAAATCCACTATCAATGTCTTGTTCTCCAATGGAAACAAGCACCGGGACCTATCTAAAGTGAGTTTTTTCCGTCGTTTCACCATCACACGTGTCACTCATGATTTTGAAGCAATCCCTTTATGCACTTTTGACTATCCTGACTGCCAGAACCTCCCCAGAGGGCTACCAGCTACTTCACATCATCAGCACTTATCTCCAGTTGGATAGTTTGATCGGCCTTGATGTACATACTGAGGGCATGCTTGCGGCAATCGAAGCCAAACTTCTGGTTTTTGATACAGAACTTAAGGTGAAGTCCTTCCTTGTCACTTCATAGCTACCCATTCCCATTCACACATTCATTTTAGGCCTATGTTACATGTGCCAAATCATCTGACATTGAGAAACTGAAGCTTGACTGGAATTTTCCGAAAATGCACTTATGGAAGCACATTGTTCACGATATCCAACATAAGGGAGTAGCACATAATTTCAGTATGCATCTCAACAAAAAGATGCATGGCCCCCTCAAGGACACCTACCACCATCGAACAAACAGAAAGGACGTCACAATGCAGGTAAGTCTGCAGTTCCTCGTTACTAATTTTAAATTGTACTGATTATGATTTTTTCATAGATCCTTCGTGTCGACCACCATAAATTTGCCCTGATGCTCTTGAGGGAATGCGTCAACTAGGTTGACGAACACGACCAGTTACAAGCGCTTGGTGATGATCTTCCTGATGAAGATGTTGCTGTCACCTTCAATGGTCATGTGAAGCTGGGTGCACCAACACAGCATCCTTTGTCCATCCTTGATCTTGAGAACTGCAGCTCAGTGGATCATGCATTTCAAGTTTTCCAGAGGAAGTTTACTGAATTCATCAACCACTCTCTGCCTACCTATGGGCATCAACTAACAAATTGGATTACATTTCCAGCTAATTATCAGGTATGTAATAATATCTTTAAATTCAGTTTCTTATTTATTTGCTATGCAGATTCACGAACACCGCTATCTCAAGGTCAATTACAAGTCAATGGTCAACTGGAAGCAAGTCACTGATCACCTCCGGTGCGATCTGCAATTCCATGGGTTGCTGCAGTTCAACCATGCCCTCATACAGTTTACGGCAGAAGAAACAATCTTTGTTTGACTGATCTTTTTGTTTAGATGTTGTATCTCGAACTTTGGGTCCTTCAAGTTTGCACTCATTCAACCTTACACTGTGAGAATCAATGGTGCTCACAGAACAGACCGTTTCATTAAGCTTACTCATGTGAAGGCCGTCCCTAGGGCATCATCAATATTCATCCCACTCAGTTCTTTCATTCAAGGCGCTGTTTTGGTTCCTGATCACTTTGGTCACCCCATTTCAGGTACCTCTTAGGTTGTATTATACCTATAGAGGTTTTCACCTAGGGGGTACTTTTCAGGTGGTCTGGCCATGTTTGTGTGGTCTTTCCCCAAGTGTATAGGGTCCAAAATGAAATGTATTGAGCACAGTCCAGGGGTCAAAATAATTTTTGCATGGGAAAGACTGCCAGCCAACTTTAGACCACACATACATTGGGAATTTCCCATGGTGTAGGGGTGTCAGGGGTCCTATTATGACCAAAATTTTTGGACCAAAAATTTGAAAATTGTGGTTTTTTTTGGTCCTCTCACCAACCTCAGGCAGCACTTCTTGGTGGTAATAAAGGGTTCACAGACCTGGTTTCTATATTATGGCAACAGGACCCGACCTCTCTATGGCCTATTAATAGATTTCGTCTTTAATGATCCCCAGTGGTGTGAAAAGGAGGATGAGTGTGCAGGGTTTCTGAGTGGATCTGATAGGCAAATCATCAGGGAAGACTAGGGGCGAGCAAGATAATATGGGATATGGATATGTATCACCAAGTGGCTTGTACAAGGCTAGCCTGAGGGCAATCGTCACAGCGGGTCTGGTGCCACCCATAATGGCCTCGTGCTTTATCAATTAGCCTCTAGGGAGTCACACATTCTGCACTGTTGGCTCTGAGGAGCCTCAATCGGCCTACCCTTGAACCTGATTGTAGTATTCTCTCTAAATTGTTGCATAATGAGCATACTCTAGATATGTTTGTACTACTACTAACAACCATGATGCCTGGCAAGGCGAAACTATCTTGCAAGTCTCAAGTTGTATCTTTTGGCCTTGGCCACCATTTTGTGAGCCCATAAGCCCTATGATAGATGCTACATACTGTATCACACTATATGGTATGTATGTAATCTGATGTGTGTGCGGTCATGCCTTTTACAATGGTGTGTGCTTTTGCAGGAACAATAGTACCATCTTAAGGCATCTGGGTGTAGTGTTACATATTTTTGTTGAGTTCTTTCTTCCTCTACATTTGCTGTTTGTTCTCCTTAGGGGGAGGGGGGCCTTATGTCTCTGAATGATTGTTTAAATATCTTCATGTGAGCAATGTACTGGTGTGGTCCGACTTCTGCTCTGAGTGCATTGTGCAGTTGGGTAACCTCCAATATATGACAGAGCATCATTTACAAACACTAAAAGGTTTAAATGCTCAATCTACCTGGAAAGTTGCTACTTTCATGGCAGGCTAATCTTAGCTCATCCAATAACAGCAAAATGACCATGACTCTGTCTAGTCCTCAACACTAGCCAACACAATTTTCTTCACCACATACATGATTCTTGATGTTTTCTGGTTATTATACATGCTCTAAAGAACTAAGATACTTGACAATAATGATTTTTAAGGTGGATTTCACAGAACTCACAGAGCTTAGTAAAGCTTGGCAAACTTTGGCTAAATCAGTCTTGATATAAGGTTGTAGTCTGCAGCTCGCACTGGCATGAAAGTTGAACTTTGAAATGAGACTTATATTTGGGGAAGGGAAAGAGGCAAAATAATGAGCAGATCTGAGGTAGCAGAAAATAAGCTACATAAAGTGTCTCCCATACCTCATATCTAACTCTGACAAAGAAAAATGTAGAGCTGTGAGGGTGAGATAGTGAGATCAAGCCAATATGCTTGTGAGGTATCAAACACAAGGACATAGAATATACATTGAAACAATTAAGAGAGTCATGGGGGAAAGCCAACATGCTTGTGAGGTATCGAGCGTCAAACACAAGGACATAAAATATACATTGAAACCATTAAGAGAGTCACCAGGGAAAGCCAACATGCTATAGGGAGATATGGGAAGGACCACAGTGGATGGGAAAGACTACATACAGATATGGGAAGACCCAAGGTAAATAAGAAAGGATTGTAGGGAGGGACCACAGTGAGTGGGAAAGGACCATATAAACATGTGGGAAGGACCATGGTGGATGGGAAATGGCCATAGGGGCATATGGGAAGGACCACAGCAAATAAGAAAGGATCATAGGGAAGACCACAGTAAATGGGAAATGACCATAGTGAATAAGAAAGGACCATATAAACATGTGGGATGGACCACAGTGGATGGGAAATGGCCATAGGGACATATGGGAAGGACCGTGGTGAATAAAAAAGGACTATAGAGACATGTGGGAAGGACCATGGGGGATCATGGGAGTTATATGAGTTCGGTTTCCATTATGAACTGAGGGATCTTGATCGCCACTTAGTCCATAAATGTTGGGCAGAAGATCCGACCAGTCGCGAGCAACTCCTTCATTCCAGATTTCCAGGCAAGGCTGGTTTGGTCATGTGGTCAGAGCCATTTCCAGGGGATAACTACGGCATGTGGAATAACACCTTAATTGGTGTTCTGCCTTACCTGGAAAAATTCCAGGAATTCTTCTGTGCTTGGAATGTCATCCCGCTGCTTCTGGTTGTGCCTCTGACCCCAGAAAACTTCACCGATACCAAGTGTTGGGAAGTCATGCATGCTGCGACCACCTTTTATGTGCAGACATTCTTTTGTCATTTTGGCAGGCCTCCCATCATTCCTCATCCCCTCCCTTTGTAATCAATATCATATTTGTACTACACACTTTTTCCTTTACATTTTATGTTTCTTCTATAAATGACAAATGTACTATTTTCCATCACTTACTACTCGCTGTAACACATCAGATAAGGTTATATTTTGTGTTCGTAGGCAGCATACCTTGCAATGTTTGCTAGTCCCAATTTGGTGGCATGGTGAGTGATCCTTCAGCTACATCAGATCTGATATATTTTTGTAGGCACATTATTCCCAAGTCATAGCCAGCGACTGATGTCGTTCTGCTTTTGTATTTTTGATATTCATTTTTTCTTGTACTAGATACTAACATCACCCTATCTTCCTTATCTCCACAGCCATCTATCCATCTATTCATTTATGCAAATCAGGTTTGTATTTTCAGAAAATTGTGTCAATGCCGTCTCTGAACATCGTGGCAGGCTATACTATTCTTGTACTGATATGAATATCATCCTATCTTCCTTATCGACCATCACATTCACTGTATGCGAATCAGCATATGTTTATTTGCTCATGTTTCTACTGATACATACCTTACGATACTTATGGCAGAACGCTAGAAAGTGTCCGCCATGTGGATTAGATGTCAGGTTCCTTTAAGAACTTTATCTATGTAGTAAGTTTTTTCTTTCTTTAATGTTAATGTTATGTTATCCCTGATTAAGTCCTACAGTCTGCCCATCACTCAAATCCTCAGTACTAATTCCCCTCAGTTTGATTCCCCTTTGTACTCTCCCAGACTGTGCACCTGTGGACAGCTCCTCCAACTGACTCTGCATTGTTGGTGGTCTTCTTTGTGACTTCGAGTCCACAGCATTCATTATGGCCGTTTGTCGTCCAAAGCCTCACCGTCATGAGGCATCAACCTCCCTCACGCAAGAAAAATCCCCTTCAATTCTGCAGCCGGTCACAATCATCTGTGAGCCTTGGATGAACACGGGATGGCAACATCCTCATCAAACTAGACAGCTCAACCTATATCTTCCTGCCCTGCCTCCCATGTTGGTGCTGCCCGGACACCGACACCTCATGCAGCAAAATTTCTGCCACCCACACTCCCTACATTTCTCCAATGATCCTATCACTCGTCATCTCACCAGCTTGCAAAAAAGGGTCAACCAGTGGCACAAATGGTCACAAGACGTCATTCTGTCTCTGCTTGTACCATATTTAGCCTATATCCAACAATCTTCAACTGCTACATTATACCAACCCGCCAGGACAACCTCAGCAAGATCTTGGAGGCTGCCGAGCTGGATGTAGGACTCGAAGTATTACAGTTGAATGCATGCACTTTGATGGTATGTTATTTTTCACTCTTCTGCACAATCTATCTTAGGTATACTCCAGTATTGAAAGCAATTGACATCATTGCATGCCCTTGTTTCCCTGCCCCCCTCCAGCTCCTCTATCGCAGTCTGTTTCCATGCGCTCCTGTCACTCCCTCACTCACAGTGGACTTGCGCATTATAGAGTTCGTCCATCTGCTCTTTGTACGTCAGTCTCCCAACCAAACCGCATGGTGCGATGCGGTGGAAACCTTTCTAGATGGAATGGGATACAAGTTGTCATGCAAGGTTAGCTTTTCAAATTCTCATGCGTGCAGTGATGCTTAGTCTTTGATCAGAACAACTTGCGTCATCGTTTTGGCAATGCTTTTCACTGGTACTGAGTACTGACCATCATGGCTCGCGATCACATTTCTACTCTCATCACCGACGTTTGAAAGGGCCAGGCACATCTCCCACCAATCGATCAGCCCAGTGAATACCTTTGTTCTCGTTGCCTGCTGTGTTTCGGAGGAAATACTTACCACAGATCAGATGATCATTCTATGTAAGTCTGTGTCTCAGCTCATACTGTACTGTGATTAATTGGTGACACCAGCCCAGACATTATCATTTGCATAGATGCTTGTTTTACCCAAAAATGTTCAACTAATCCTCATGGTGCTGACAGTATTGACCCTCCTAATCCAACTCCAATGTTCTTTCTATCAAACGACAATGTCAAAGCGATGGAGGATTTCATACAGAGTTGTCATGGAGAGAGACATCGAGCACGGGCCTCTAGAGCGGAAGGTGATGAGGATCACTATGAAGAAGGGATGCATGTGCCAGTGTCTGTGTTGAACGGATGTGGAGAATCCTTTGTAGCTGCAGATGAAAAGCGTGAAAAGGCAAGTATTTGTTTTTTTACTGACACAGGCCTGATGGCCCTGCTATGTAGACATGACTGTGTCCTCTGGCTTGTCAACCTCACATCAGTGGGAGAAAAGCACCACTATGCCCTCACTCTCTTGGACCGCTTTTTCAAGCATTTGCCCCCTTGGATGACTATAGGACTTCTCTATGACATTGGGTGTCAACTCGAATGAAGTTGCCGAAAGTGGAAACTTCTGGACAACGACACTCTATCGTGAATATCCTTTGCCGTTGCGGTATTCCATGCATATGGTCACCAATGGCCCTGTCAAATCATGTATCACCCTAGGAAGCGTGAGGGTTTTGGGCTGTCTGATGGTAAGGGTTGCGAACGGCTGTGGAGTTCTCTTAAGCAACTCATCCCATCGTTACAGGTTTCTGGAGTAAGTTTACATTCACATATTATATATCACATTTCTAACTCTACTGTAGTTCCATCAACGTCTTTTCATCCTCGATGTTCAGATTCGCCACCTGGACACAAAATCCATCCAAGGCTATGGGCATTGGCTTCATCGGTGATGGATCCATTGCCAGACGAAGAAGAACGCAGCTCTGGACAGTTTACTCGACTTAGACATTGATGAGGATATGCTTCGTGCTGAGTGGAAGGCGCAAATTGCTCACCAGACACGACCCACCCCACGTAAGAGTTTAAGTAGTGCTCTCACTGCCTTACTAATCATATTGTGTAGGGCAATCCAAGAACAAAGCGGCGGAGGTCATTACAACTATCCTTGCGCTGGAGAAGACCCTGGATGCTTATGAGATATCTGTCCATGAGCTAAAGATGCAGCTTTATGTAGGCAGTGTTTCTAATATTGCGGAGCTTAATTTGCAGCTCTCCAATGCTCAGTTACAACGTGCCAAAACTGCTGATACCCTTCGATGTTGTAAAGCTGCTCTTGGAATGCAAGAAAAGGCCGATCTTGAGAAGATGAAGAGCGATACTTATCTGACAGTCCGCTTGAATGCTCATGCGGCGAAAATTTGTATTCGGGACCATCTCCCTCAATGCAAGTTTGAATTGGAGAGGCTGGGGAGATTGTATCGAGCAACAGTTAATGGTACATTAATGCTATTTGACTTCACTTTCAGCATGTCTCATGTATTTTCAGCGGAACACAAGATTCACGCGAGCACCCAGTACTCTATCAAACGCTGAGAACCCGGGGTTCTCAAATTGGTCTCCACTTACAACGGCCTATGTACTCAGTTGCGGTCTCTGATACGCCAGCAGAGAGCTCCCCCTTCTGCTGTTCCACCTCGCCCTATTATACGTGAGGGCATCTTTCTACTCGACATCAATGATGAGATCTGGCAAGATATTGGCCTGGACGAAGACGGTATAAACCCACCAGCATGGTTATTGGATGAGGCCACCAGGTCTGGTATTCATTTACAGCTTGAAGTGGATCGGTGCGTTGAAGAAGAAACTCATTTGATGCGAGAGCGGACCATCATGCAGGAGTGGATGTTTGCAGAGTGGGAGGCCATACAAACTGTGTTGAGGGATGCGGGTATGTCTAGTCTCAGTATACAGTGAATCGCACTTAATTTTTCAGCAGCTGATGATCCTGTAATGTCATTCCACATGCGGGCCCACGCAGACGAACTTCTTCACATTTGTGTCATCTGAAAGAAGAAAGTTCGACAGATCCCTTGCGCATGGCCAGTTGAGAGTTGGGGTCCTCAAAATGAAGATATACTTTGAGCTGCTTAAGACCAGGTGCAGCCGTCTTTTTTCCAGTATGAGGATGATGACAAGAGTGTTGGAGAGCAGGAAGAGAGTGATGAGGATGGCGATCTGGCTTATTATGAGGTTGGAGATGATGAACTAATGGATGCAATTGAACAGGTTGCATTAACTGATGAGTACAGGTATCAGGATGAGGACTTTGTTGATGACATTGAGGATACTTTTATGCCTTCATCGCCTACCAAATCTTCACTTAAAAAAAGGTGCTGCATGTAACCCTGACACTCTTACGTGGCATCATTATTTAATATGTATGTCACCCCAGGAAGCTCTGCGCTCGCATCACCCTACTAACTGAGTCTTTCAGGAACTCCCGCCTTTGTCGCCACCAACACCATCTTCCCAGTTTTTGTCTCCCCCTCCTATTTCACGCACATCAACTCCTATGTCAACCTTGGGTTATTCGCACATCAGGGACACAACATATCCCTCCCGCTCTCGATATGAGCATTCACATGATGAACCACATCAATATCAACATGTATTTGACTGATGCTATGCCAACATATAACTCAGATACTCACAAACGGACATGGCCCCATTATGAATCTGCTCGGGAGACTGAAGATCTGGAGCGTGAAACGGTGGAGGAGAGGCACCGTGTCAGGGTCCATGAGAAGCGCATTGCTATACTTTGTTGGTGTTATTATCTAGTACATTTATTTCCTGTCAAACACTCCATGTAGATTAAGCAACTATACAGATAGTGCTCTTCGCCAAGATCCATTGCTCAACTCGTGTAAAAAACTTGGACCAGTAATAAACCTCTTTCTCTTCGCCCAACACCATCTATATTAGGTCAATCTCTACCTGCAGGTTCGGTTACTATTCTCGATGCCACGCACTCAACATGTGCAAAAAATTGGTGAGTAAACCACTTTCTCTTCACTAAATAAATGATCTAATTATGCCATGTATTAGGCTAGTATGCCACCAGACTCTCCTCATATGAAAAGTGAGACATGCCCTATTATGTATTGTTTGTGCGCACTAGCATACAGTTACCTCAGTGGCAAGTTTTGACGCACTCAATGCGGTCAACATGTTTCTAGCAACATAATTGTTCGGCGTGCAAGTTGATGTTTGTTATTGAGGCTGTCAGCACCCTTGGGACAATATTTATATACAGTAATTGTTTGTCTCATCATTGTGTCCTGATCACTAACACCAGACGCCTTCCTTCTACCAAGTTTCAGAGTTTAATACAGACTGCCATCATCATGCCATGCAATCCTAGACCTGGAGCGGATGATGGAGAAGATTTCAAAGCTGAAATCAATGCAGTCATGTCGGACAAGTCCAATGGCCCTGACAGATCAGACAGCAAACAATCTGGGAGTGACCTTGACCAGTTGAGGTTGGTCTTGGCTGTCCCTGGTCCCAATGCCCAAATGCACGAGGTTCGAAAGGTAAGCACACTCACAATGCTAGTATTAGAGTATGTCATCTGATATTCACTTATATTGTAATATATGTAGGTTCTTGCCATAGCCCAGCAAGCCTACAATACGACACAATCTGAATTACGTGTCCTCAAGAGACAATACCTCATGCTATCTGCTGCAGTTCCTACTTGTAGCCGCAACTGTGTGCTCAAGAAAATGTCTCCGCTGGACTCCAGTATCAGCCATCAAGGTCAGAGATATGCACTGTACTGTCACTTCTTGGTCGTAAATGGCCTGTTTCCAACAACACCTCAACCTGGTGTTGACCCACGCAGCACTACTCACTGGACCTCTCCTGAGGCAAAGCTTAAAGGTGTGATGGCTGAACTTTACCTGATCATACCCAAAGATCTGCACCAATCAATGGAGACCTACCCTCGGTTTGCGTCCTTGGTAAGTCTATTTTGAAGTCCTGGACCATGCTCATACTTGTCATTAGTTTTGTGTTGCAGTCAGCTCCAAGAGGTCGAATATCCTGCACAGCATCAAGAACTGTGCAGGTGTCATTTTCTCTTCTTTCAAGCTTGATCTGAATCTTTTTGCCAACCAGCCTTCAAAGAAGCAAAATAATAATGATCTCCTTGTCTTACTGAAGAGGAATGGTGAGGGCGACTACATCTGCCTGGCACCTGTATTGTTTGCAAAGCCCAACACCATGGCAGCTGACGATTTTCTCAAGTCTGTGGTCCTCATCAAAGTAAGTACCACTGACCGTCAATGTACAAGTGCATCGCCTAACTCTGCTTATTCTAGATTGTTTGTGTCGAAGTCTTTGGGAAGGCAATGCTTGGTGGGAAGACCCAGGGCCATCCAAAGGGCAGGGGCCTGTGTATGGGCACACAGAGTGTCTCAGAAGGTATGATTGCTGGTGCGGCTATCTTGGCAAGTTCATTATATGTTCTTTACTTCATATTGCTGATTGCTCACTTACAGGCACATTTCTTATTGACACATGACGCCGAACTTACTGTGATTGGAGCAGAGACCAAAATCAACTACCAGAAGGACTACAATTTCTACTTGGAACGCCTACTCAAAGGCACACCATGGGCAATTAGTGTGATGGACTATTTCAATAAAGAAGTCTTCAATACTACCACAGCACCTAGTGCACCTACATCACTGTACTGCCTGCCACGCCTCGCACCTGGGAGGATGACTTCTTACAGGAACTTGACAACTTGGACCCTGTCACCTGTAATCCTTTGCCAGCTCATTCTAGTGCACGTGCACCTTCTCCCACCCTTTCCATCCTTTCCACTCTCTCTGCCTCAACACTAACCACTGCTGTCATCCATAATGACCATCCTGTCCCCTATCTCAACCACCATGAACTTCACTTCATTGACTCAGATGTCCGTTAGTCAGATGCGTGTCACATCTGCTTCTATGCAGCTGCATTTTGGCATCAATCAATTGTCACTTGCCAACAATAATGTTGGCAATTCTTTGGCTGCAGTGCCTGCACCATTGACCACAGGTTCCAAAGTACCTGCTCGTCGGGCTCATGTTTCAGCACTGGCAGCCCAAGAAATGCCTACAGGGGCTCCAAAGGCTAAGCGTGTTAGTGGTCACAGCAAGAAGGCAACTATGAAGTATACAAAGTGATAAGATTCCATACTATTGTTTTGGTCATCTTAGCACTTTATTTGTTTTCTCATCATGTATTTAGGATCAAATACATGGTCATGTTTCATTTGAATCATATCTACAGATACTACGAGTCTTTGTTGAGATGCCTTTGTCATTGAATGACTTAGTCTTTGCTATTACTGCCTGTTGCATTATAAGGCCCTTAAAATGTGCATATAGGGAATTGGGTTCCTCAGTATATGTCGGCCTTTTGGCCAAGGGGTAACTATGCCCCATAATACTAGGATTCTACTTCCTAAGGTTTGAGGTCAAGAGTTCAAATATGCCCCAACACCATAAAATGGTAGCAATAATGATAGTAATGTAATAACTACAACAGTGAAATAAGTAGAGTAGTCAAATAACAAGGTGGTACAAGGTGTTAAAAGATCACATGCATCACTCAAATGATATTTTAAGATTGTTTTCGGCATCATGATACCTTACAATGCCTTTTAAGGTCCATCCCTCACATGTCACAACATAGCCACATCAGCAAAACCCCAAAAATGATGTAGTGCCCTAGCCAAGTACAGCCACCTGTGGTAACTTACAGCATCCACAGTGACATGTAGCAACTGACTCAAATCTAATATTAGCACTTGATTATATTACAGCAGGTTACAGCATGCGCTTACAGACAAGTCTTAGTGGTCCAGTAATATAGTGGCCTGTAGTGTGATACAGTGGTCACAGAGCATGAATTTTTATTTCAAAAGAAAACTGGTATGGACAAGGTAATACATAAAGCTAATATTACTATGCTGCTGCATTCAACTCAGAAATAGTATGGTAAAAATCCTTGTCGATGTACTTATTGAGCAAAAATGATTGAGTGAACTTAGAGCTGTTTTGTGGCATCAGACGAGTGTCAGCGACAGGACCAAAGCGGGGAATAATGTGAGCAAAGGAGCGAAGTTGATCTAGGGGAAGGATGTCCCCGAAAGGCATCACTCCTGTACGTGTAGCACATTTTAGAACATGCATCTGTGTAGTGCAGTCCAGTACCATTCCGCATTGCTGAGGTACTATGTTGAGACATTGGACATAAGTAAGGAAATGTGCAGCCCACGGGAGAGTTCTGCCTGGTGGTGAGACTGGTAACATAATGAGGCGAACCTCAACAACAATGTGTCCTAGATTTGTACCTCAGAACAAATAACACTGAAGAACATATCAAGTTACCTTTAAGCCCACTAGCAGGCCATTGTTCTGTGCCATCAACAGTAAATATGGCAGCATTGTAGTGGCCATGCTTCCAATGGGCATCTGGCGGAGATGCATTAACCATCAGAGCAGGAAGGAGGGCTGACCCACTGTGGTGTGGTGTCTGCTGCACACGTACTTTGAACCAAATATTGAGATGCTGGAATGGAAGATTCATGGTTGGTGATGCTCGATGTTGTCCTGTCAACTTGTGGAGGTTTTGAACAGTCTGACCCTCCCATTGAATGTAATCGGCGAGTGCTGCTCACAAGTCAGGCAAACAGAACTTCTCAGCGACATCATTGATAGCTTGGCATCGTAATGAGGGGTCAAAATTGAGATGTATGGCAGTGGAGCCAATGATGAATGTGCGGAGTGGTCTGGGCGCTGTGGTGGACAACAAGGCAAATTGTGCCTTCTTGAAGAAATTTGATACAACATGTCCTGTCCACCAGAAATTACTAATGGCAGCCTGGCTATCACCTGCTTCATTGGCATTCTTGTCATCATCGATCCCATCATCCGAATCATCTCTATATCCAGCAGTGGCAGTGTGCGTCTGAGACTGCGATTGCTGAGCAATAGATGTCGCAAGATGAAAATGTTGACATTTTTTGACGCAATCCAGATATCGACATATCTGGGGATCATAGTTCTGGATATTCGTAGACTCTGCTGGATCCTTGATGAGAGTTATGTGAGCTCGTTCTGTGGTGTCAGCTCACCTGTCATATACCTGATCTGACTGCTCCAATATCGATATCCGCTCTGCTTTCCGACCCCCTCCGCTCCATCCATCCTCCGCTCCATCCAATCACAAGTCCGCATTCCGCCCCTACGCTTCCGCTCAACTGCTCAACTGATCCCCTTCCATAACCTCTCCATTCAACTGGACCTCTTTCCCCTTTTAGATATATACTTTCCCCTTTGGTACATAGACCCTTACTTCCGGATCACTGGTAATTCCTATTACTGCCCAATCACTGATCCAACGTGTACATATTGATATCCGCTCCGACTTATGTCTTCGCCTGTGTAAAGTACTTAAAAACTATATCCTTGGTACATAGCTTTACAACATAGTATCCTGATCACTGCCTCATACATAGAAGTATATAACATATCATGTACTTAGATATTTTCCTCAGTCTTAATATTACTTGTCTTCTCACAGTTACCTCTTGTAAGAATTCTCAGTAGGACCTTGCCTCCTCTGGACACAAGTCTCAACTTGTTGTCGCCTCTGACCCTCCAACCCTCCACTCCGACTTAGAGCCGTGCTCTAAGTGTTCCCCTTATTTCTCCACCCCCATCAATATTCCCCTTGTCCCTTTCCCCATCCTCCACATTATCCTCTGCCTTCCCCGCTCCTACCAAACATTCCCCCTGCCCCTATCCACCCTCCGCATCACTCCCCACCTTCTCCACTCTGCTCCTAGTCAGCCCGCCGCTAGTAGCTCTTACTTCCCAACCCTCAAAGTGGACCTAAGCGGTTCACTCGTCCTATCGTCGGACAATGTCGGACCCACTCCAAATTCAGGGCACGTACTCGGCTAAGGGCGCAGTGCAAGAAATGAAGCCAAGCCCTGACCCCTCTGCCTCCTGAGCCAGCATGGTATCTAACATCACCACTGTATAGGGGAACTGACTTGATTTGTACTCGGCACAACACTTTGCATCAATTCGAGTTTTGGAATGTACCAGTTGTCAAGGATGTTTTTGCTCTTGGCACCCCGATGCCCACCGTGCGCAATAACTTCATGTTTGTGGTTGTGAAACGTCTTGAGAGCATCAAGGATCTTCTGACATTGCTGCTCATTGATGGTTATTGCTTGAGATAAGTAACAGAAGTCCATTAGTGCACGGACAGCTATGATGACGCCCGGAGGCGCAGCATTTGTGATGACAGCAACAAGGTAACACTGTATGTCCTGCTGCGCTCTTCCAGTGATTTGCTTGAGCTTTGAGATACCCTGTTTGAAATGTCAGAATGTCACGAGTGGTTGTAAGACAGAAAAACAAAAGTCGAGCTCCTCCACGCTGACAGTTCTAATACACCACTGTACATCATGATCATAGGATTCGCGATGCCAATGATGCAAGGCCTCCGGAGTCAGAAACAAATTTGGATTTGTGAATGGCCAATCGCACCAGAACAGATCAGCAACACCACTGAGGCAGTTGGGCTCACATGCGGCAAAGAAGGCTTTGACATTTAGAGGGTCACATATAGATTTGATGCTCTTGAGTTGCATAAGGGTGGTTTTGGCTGTGCGCAGGGGGTGTTGGAAGGCATCACTGAATTGCTTATATGAAGCCGTGGTGAGTGGTGAGGTCTTTCCTCGAACACTGGCGAGCATGGCCACCTCGGGTGTATCCACGATATACGAAGCCAGGGGAGTGAAACAATATCTAAGGTTCCTGACTGGGTCTGACATCATATGTCCAATGTGTGCAGCCCGCTTGAGTGGCTTGAGGATAATGTCAAGACACTGATGGATTAGGTGAGCTTCTAGAACACCTTGCATATGTTTGACCGGATGCAAAAATTCAGTGATGGGAAGCAGGGCTGTGAGAAGAAAAGTGTGTGATGATGCCTTGTTTCGAACTGCCATCTTGATGTTGGCAAGACTGATGAGGAGGGGGTGAGTGATGTGTCTGCTGGTCATGTTTGTGATATTGGTCTTATCAGAGGAAAGTATTACACCAAGCAATGTAGAATCCTCTGGAAGCTTGAACTGCGATAGAGCAATAGAAGTTAGACAAGTAATCACACTAAACACTAAGGTATGAACCTGCATCGTCCAGGCTGCTTTGCCAGTCATCCATTCACCATATATCCGTACTGTACGCTCCACCATGGTATATATGCATTCAAGTATGAGGTTGATATCCTTGGCAAATCTTGGATTATTGAAGAGGGATTCAATACAGTCCAGTGGATCACACCAATACAGGTGCACAGGTAGTTTCATTGGATGATCGGTGGAAACAACACAATATTGCCACTTGGGACCAGAGGGTAGAAGCTCAGCACAACCCTGTAGCTCTTTTGCTGTGTGAAAGGAGAGCGGTAAGGCTTTGATCTGTCAAGGACTTGATTTCAAAGCTGATCCAGAGTCAGTGAAGGAAAACATACCAGTTCTATCCCTGGGAAGCGATCTATGGCCGCCATACTCAATGCTGAGGACAGTAGAAAACTAGCGAGCTCCCAGTCCTGAAAGGATGCAAATGGATAATACAAGTTGTTGTTACGATGATGTGCATATACATCATCATTGAACCGCTCCAGGAAAGTCAGGCCCTGTGCATGTACCCTTGCAGCACCTTCATATGGTGTAAAATGCCCTCCTGCAGCTCCACAACACAGTGTCTCTCCATTGGGGATTGGAAAATCATTCTCCATGTCCACTTCTTCATTGTGGTAGACCATATCATCCTCATCCGAGTTAGGGCCTGGGTTCCATGCTGGCGGCAGATCTAAGTCCATTGAGAAGCCATGAGGACTTTGAGTTCCAAGTCTGCCAGAATAAGCAGAAGACTGAGAGTGTGATGATGATTGTTTGGATTCAAAAGATGCACGCCGGTTCAATGAGTTGAGTATTTCTGCTGCAGTTGTGAACTCCACAGTAGTACATTGTCCGCATGATACGAGGGGCTGGCTTCGGTGACGTGTAATACCCAAGGCATCCTTGAACTTCTTTAGACAGTTCAGGCAGTCAGTCATTATGATAGCTAGTGTCTATCTAGCAACAGCATGTACCAACACTTCTAATATCACCTGCTCTTTACTTTCCTTTTTGATTTTCATCCCATGAAAAACATATGAGCAGGACTGATGAATGAATATTATAGTAGTCGTACGTATGGTACGGCGGATGCAACATGGACAACAGTTGGCAATGAAGATACTAGTACAAGTAAAGTAGTACTACTCAGGCTAGTACTAGGTGAGATGCAATGAACAAATGTCAGTGCAAAACGAAGATCACTCAGGCTCAAATATCCTACTAGCGGCGAGACAACAACTTAGCGCAAACATTCAAGATCACGGATACTGGTAGAACTCACCTTGCTGTTCATCTTCTTCTTCTTCTTCTTCTTCTTCTTTGAGCTGGCATTCTTTGTCTCCTCCAAGTCTTTTGAGACCTTCAGCTTCTTCGAGTCACGTTCAGTGGAACCACTGGCAAGAGGAGCATCCAGAGTGATGGTCTGAGATGACTTGCCAGAGACTTCTGTGCCAGTGTGAGCGGTAGTAGCACTCTTACACTTGTTATTGTATTTATAGTTGAACCAATCAACATAACGAAAGTAGGCAGTGTTGCAAATGGCGGAGGACATCTGCATAGCAGTGGCAGACCAGTTGCGTAGTAGTTCGGGTTTGGAATTACGGGCCTTGTCTATCATGCTCTTCTCGAGCCCAAACCCCTCCATAACAGTAATCATCTTGGCCTTGAGGTTCGCAGCACTTGTGTTGAGTAGGCGATCTACATTCATCATATCCACATCGGGAATGAGAGTCTGTAGGTTTGGATCATAAGATGAATAACACATAAAAAGATGGGACGTGCCCCTTTGGCATAGTGCTTGGGATCCCTCCAATCGAATCGAAACTTGCTTGATGCTTCATCCTTCAAGAACACCATGATTCTAACTGCCTTCAACTTAAACCAATTATGCCCCAAAAAAACTACAGGCCCAAACATCGTGTCAGATGTTTTGGGCAGAACGAGGCTCTTGAACTTCTTGCGGTTCATCCGCGATCCAGATTTGCAAAGTGACTTCGTGACCTCAGTGTGCTCTTCAGGGCCTTGGAATGTGCCATCCTCATCGATCGATACCCTGATTAGCTGCTTGATATCCAAGTTGTTCTTCACCATGTGCCCAAACTTGTGCATGATGGATGCGTCACTTTGGCTGAAACCTGCCTCGACAAGCCACCGAATGAAACTTTTATTGTTGCTGAACTGATCATCACAGTGCACGACACCCATGATATCCGGACTTGCTGTGATGATTCTTCATTGGGGAGCCGATTGTTTGTGAAGAATTGTGTGTTGACATACTGGTTGTTGTGACCGATCTGCGAAGAGTAGGTGATGAAGCATTTTTGAAGCCACGTGATGATAGTTTCATGAACGGGGGAGGGGCTCATGATTTCAACTTCTTGAGTGTCTGGAAAGCAGTTGGATATAGTATGTGTCGATAGCAATCAGGGCACGACGTAAGTGACCGATCTTAGCAACTGACTTACTTAGCTTTGATTTCTATATGTGATTCGCATGTAAACGCTAAGACAGCCGTGTATTCCGCTAGTGTGATATGTCGGATGGTCTTGAAGGGTGTTAGAGATACTCGATGAACTCAACTAATACTACTAGTGGCTTATGATCGTGTTTACTTGAAACCGTTAAAGTTCTTCAAGAATGGTAATACAGTGATCTGAAGAATGTGACCATCAGATCTAACTGAAAAGAGATAGCAAAATAATTCATACCAATATTCAAGCCTTCATCAGCTTGATCATGGTCAAAAGCAAGTGTTTTTATGAAAGCTGCTTTAAGGTTATCACCAAGAAGTATTAGCTGATCAGGATCAGGTAGTTCTACAGCTGGGGAAGGCCTGAAAATGTCTCCATGCAATTCTTCAAGTGGTTGTTGACCAAAAATGAAGGACAACTTGGGATTGGTTGAGGGTGTTAAAGGCAGCCAGCCTCCTGACTGGCTTGCTGATTGAGTGACATTAGAGTACAATGAGGGTGTGCTGAGAGGGAGAGACCCATGTTTGCTAGCGCCAACAGCCATGACGGGGAGTGTTAAGATGCCAACAAAGGACTATTGGCCTAGGTGGCAGCTTGACACTGGCAGCCAGCTGACATATCTAGTAGTGGACATACATTCAATTGTAAAAATCATGCTGCTCCTACTAGTAATAATCCACTTCAAGTCTGTCTTTTTGCACAATTCTGATACTGAGCTAGCGCAGTTATTGATACTGTCAGATTCAATATACAACTAGAAAGTCCATGAGCTATGGAGACAGCAGCTGAGACTTTTGAGCAAGAGTGGAGTTCAAACCTGAAACATGGCGCTCTCCACAGCAGTATACAGTGGTATACATGCATGTACAGAGGCATGTAGCAGTATACAGTGGTCTGCAGCACTACTATGCTCTGTACTGTAGCACTCTGTAGCATATTTCATGTCAAACAAATCATCCTTACTGATTGTGCAAGATTCAAATAAGTATATGAGCTGCCACCATCATAGCAGTACACGTTACAACTTAGTGAAAAGAAACTTGGATTGGAGGCAACAGGGGTTGACACGGTGTATGCTAGGTACAATTCGACAACAGGACAGGACAGACAACATTATCAACCTTTGACAGGGGCCTCCGAGTCATAGTCATAAGTGGGCTCAGGTTCAAGCATTGGAGGATCTTGTGGAGTATGTGAATTGAAGAGATATTGTACAATCAAATTTTGCTTACCTGGCATTGCTGGGTTGGCTACCGGTGGTTGACTCGGAGAATGTTCAACATCCAAGTGATTAATTCGATTATCAGAGGTGCGGCGACATTTTCGGGGCTTTGAATTCTCCAATAATGCAATGCCACTCTTGCAGATGGAATGGCGTATATAACCAATACCAATGTTGGCGTTCACGAGCTGTTTCTGAGCTTCACCTGCTTGGAACCTGTATAGCCTCCCAAGTGCATTATTCTCCTTGATGATGGAGTCTGCAAGTTTTTTTTCTGCAAGACGAACATCTTGCTGTGCTCTGGAGGCGTCCAAAACAAGCATGGCTCTAGCTTCTCTGGTGGAGTCAGTAGATTCCTAGGCAATATCAGCACTCATAGTATAGTGTGAACATGAATTGATGCATAATTTACATCACCAGTAGTACTAGTGTCGCTATCATCACAATCCTTGTTTAGCTGGAGGGTGGACACATGGGCAGCAATGCTGAGGCACAACTCTGAGATATTTGGCATGTTCAAGTGTTTCATGAGCCCTCCAGCCTTGGAGGGTATGTGTTTTGGAAGAGCACCAATAGCCCTAGGAGTTTCAGTTGACCTTGGAATACATTGTACAGACTTGCCAATGAGTGGATGGATAACGGGAGTCTGGGGGATGGTATGCTTAGAAATAGTATGGACTTTTTCGGCTCGGGAGGGAGAAGCAGGTATCACAGCATTGAGTGGGCCGGACGATACAGGAATAGCTACAGTTGGTGTCGCTAAGGCTTGGTCGTGAATAGTAGAGGGCATAATGCAATATCAATGTATCTAGTTGAAACAATTCATGAGTGAATAGACGGGTGTCTACAGGAGTATTATTGTGGCATGGTAGGTGGGAACACACAAACTTATGTAACAGTAATACTATGTTGCTCAATTCAATTACAATTCTACAGTTGCATTTTACCTCATATCATGGGACTTGGTTTAATTGGCGAGTTGACTAGGCTGCCATCTGTCTTTGCCTTTGTTTTCTCCATCAACCATGGGCAGGAAGAAGAGTCTGCAAGCAGTGGTGCTATCTGATTCCTCAGCACACAGTGATAACGACTCAGGGATCGTGACTCCACTTGTCGAGCCTCAGGTTGACTCACCTTTGGGGCCCCGGCATACCAAGTGTCCCAATGCTGGAAAGGGTGGAAAAGCCTCTCAGTTAAGAAAGGTTGGAGAGGCCGTGATTGATGCTCCAGCAAGACGTGCTGGCAAGGGACAACAGTTTGTTATACCTGATGGAGAACCGGAGAACATCATGGCGCCGTCTTCAGGGAAAAAGAGAACTCACAAGAAAGGTCAAAAAAACAGTAAGTTCTATGACGTGAAGCTAAACATTCCCTTACGCTTGATATTCCGTAGGCTGTACCAGCAGTTCAGATACCAGATCGATTGGATGGTGCAGGTTCTGCACCTACTCTGCACATTGGAGAAAATGGTGAAATGTTTGGATTACAGAAGAACCCCATTCCTCCGGGTTACATCAGTTTGCAGCCTTTGGGATCGGAGCATCCTGTGTGTCTGAAGTCTTGTATTCAGCAGGATAGACCACACTCCCATACCCACATGGAAGTTGCAACAAGGCCCACTGTTGAGCCACCTGTCATGTGTGCACCTGTGGTGCAGCCTACTATCCCATGCCCAAAGCCATCTGACCCACCTGTTCAAAAAAGTCTTTGGGGGCAGGTGGAGCTCTTCCGGACAGTGCTTCCTCCATCTTGCAACCTGGTTCTATCTCAGAACATGAAGAAACCGAAAATCACAGCGACAAGGATATGTCCAAGGTTTGTGATGAGTTAAACATGGTCGACAACAACAATTTCCCTCTGAGCAATGATGAAATGCGTACATCTCCACCTGTCGAATTCTCACTTGATAGACATGCAGATGAGAATCAGGACATCGACCACACCCAGCACCATCAAGGTCAGGCAGAACAATGGGTCAGTCGCCCTGTGCATGCATCTCAAAAGGACTACAGGCAGAACAGGTGTGAAGATCCTGGTAAACGGAGTCAACCACAAGCTCGCTCCAATGCAATCGCAGAAGTGGTAAGTAATTACTATATTTTATACTTGTCTCAGGTTCATCATATCCATCAGCCTAACATGGATTATGATGTTGTAAAACGGCATCAGAAGACTAACTGTCGTGCTCGTTCTGCATCACCGATGCACTTGCATTCAGTACGCTATTCTGGCTTCACTGTCAACCAGCCAAAAACCAAGCGCGCTTGCACCAGCAATCTCCAGTCAAACAACAATCATCAAGTGGCTGGGGACTCTGGTGACATGAAAGTTGATACTGATTCAGAGGTCTGACACACCGGTGTTGGGTGCCGCACGAAGGCAGCACAAAGTATACAGGACGGTGCCATTGTTGCAAAACGAAAGACACTTGGTTTCTTCCCGGATCTTTGGGTCAAACTGCTGAATTATACCAAGGCCTGCTTTAGGTTGCATCTTGCCATCGCAGGCCCATTCCCCACACACAAGGAAGCCCTTAGTGACACTGGTATATGCCTGGAACTAATCACAGAATCAATTGTGGCTTGGGAGGTGCAAAACCACTGTCTTGAAGCAGGTATTTTTTTCTGGCTGGTCTAATAGTAGCGTGTCACTAACTATTTTGTCCAGATTTCTATCCCCAGTATGAGTATGACATGGCCACTGTCATAAGTGTTGTTTCCATTTGAGATTCCCCCATCAATACTCAAGTCCGTGCTCTGACAGATTTACAATGATTCCATCAACTTTTGCAGTAGGATCAAGCAAATCGTGATTAACATTGTTTCTGTGGAGTACAAGCTGAGTGGTAGCGAGAGTGAGATCAAACAGAAGGCAAAGGCATTGTTGAAGAGCTCGAAATTTTTGCGTGGAGAACGTGACAAGGATGTATGCACCATCATGACCTCAAAACCCAATACTAATTTTCTAGCAGGGTTGTACTTCTAACTTTGCGCACAGCGGCCTCCACTCTGTCTGCCTTCAAGCATTCTATGACGCTGGTTCAAAATCTTTATGACAATTTCCCGAATTTCATCACACCATCCCTCACAAAGCCCTTCTCCTGGTCACGACCATTGTAAGCCTATTGAATCAGTATGTACATCGTTGTTTTTGTTATTGACTCATTATATTTCAGGTTCACAATGTTATTCACATCTATTCAATGTACAGTGGCTCAAAAAACTGTCCACATGTTTGTGCTATTTTCACTATTTACATTATTGTATATGAATGGACAGGTAGACCAAGGTTATGCTAGTGGGGTACTCTGTAGTACTCCCTTGGGGCGTAAATTTGAGCCCTTGCCCGTGGGAATCCATGGTAATGTCGTGGTGCTATAGGCCCTACAAAATGATGACTCATGCGGACAGTTTTTTGACCCTAGATTAAAATTATATAAATCATTAGTTATGACACCATAAAGTCATGCCACTATTAAATAAATTATGAAGTGGTGTCATTATGACATTATTAAACCTATTGCTAAGTATATAATGAAGTGTGTCCCATATATCATAGTCATGATCACCATGAAAACCATCTCCTCTGCTCAAAGGGATAATATCCTTTCTCTGTCTACTACTGGCCTCTCCACTCATCAAATAGCCTCTAGAACTAGTGTATGCAAGTCTACTGTAGCTAAGCTCATCAAAGAATGTCACCCAGACAAGGAAAACTCCAGTGGAGGTTGTCCATCCAAACTCACCTCTACTGATAGGAGGGTCATTATCCAACATATCACCACAGGAAAGGCTGATAATGCTGTCCAAGTCACTCATCATATCAATTCCATCATCCCTACTCCAGTTTCTTCACAAACAGCGAGGAATGTCCTTAAGGAAGCCAATCTTAGGGCTGTAACAAAGAAGAAAAAGCCTCTTCTTTCCATCACTCATAGGAAGAGAAGACTAGCCTTTGCCCTAGCCCATCAAAACTGGACTGTAGAGGACTGGAAGCGGGTCATATGGTCTGATGAGACTAAAATCAATAGAATTGGGTCAGATGGGAAGGTATATGTGTGGAAAAAGAAGGGGGGCCCTCTTACAGACAGAGAGATTAATGGAACTCTCAAGTTTGGAGGAGGTTCTCTAATGGTATGGGGAACTATGGGGTGGAATAGTGTGGGAATGCTTGCAGAAGTTGAGGGGAGGATGGATGCTGAGCAGTATGTGGACATCCTCAACCACCACTTGCTGCCTACCATGGCAGAATCAGGAATTGATGAAGAAGACATTATTTTACAACAGGATAATGATCCCAAGTATACATGCAGAAGAGCCAGAGAATGGTTTGAAGAGCAAAATATTCACCTCCTTGACTGGCCAGCACAATCCCCTGATGTCAATGTCATTGAACACCTCTGGGGAGTACTCAAGAAGAAGCTTTTAGCCTATGAACACCCTCCTAAAGGAGTGTGGGAGTTATAGGAGAGAGTTACAGTGGAGTGGGGAAAGATTACAGCAGAGGATTGTCAGAAATTGATTGAAAGTATGCCTAGAAGGATAGAGGCAGGAATTAAGGGCAAGGGAGGTCACACAAAATACTAGAACAGCTAATTATCTGTGTAAAATACTTGGGTCAAAAAACTGTCCACATGAGTCATCATTTTTTAAGGCCTATAGTGCCACCACATTACCATGGATTCCCACGGTCAAGGGCTCACATTCATGCCCCAAGGGAGTACTACAGAGTACCCCACTAGCATAACCTTGGTCTACCTGTCCATTCATATACAATAATGTAGATAGTGAAAATAGCACAAACATGCGGACAGTTTTTTGAGCCACTGTATGGCCACGTGAACACGAAGCAAACAGCCTTGTTGGGCTGTGGCTGGCATGTATGTTTTCCTTTGTATTTTATCCTGGTATTACTGATCATCGAGACAGGACCAGGGTTGTTGTTGATGGCAAACCTCAAGGCATCAAGAGTGATTCTGACTGGGTGGTCGAACTTGATTGATATAGTATACTAGTCTCATTAATCACATCATTACTACTACCATAGTATTACCCCTGCTTCAATGCTAATGTTTCCGTGTTGCGCTTGATACTAGCTGTGGCATGCAAGAAGTTGTCTGAAGCATCTGACGTGCACAATAGTAGTGTACAACTCAGTGTATTGCTATATAGCTACTAGAGGTGGTTATACAGTACCACACAGCGCCAGTAATAGTCTGCACAGTGCTATATTTAGTGATCGTGAGATATTTTGGGTAGCGACAAATTAGTTCATGCACAGCTTGACTCAGATTGGCAGCACTGTGTGTCACTGTGGCTCCACTGCACAGGGGGGGACTTCACTGTGATGCTGCAGTCACTGTATGGCACTGTGTGGTACTGCACATCACCTCAAATCACACAAGGGTTTTGCTGATGTATTCTGATGCCTTACAATGGCCCACAGCAACCATTGTAAGGTCTTAAAATATAATTGTGTGTCATTCAAATACCTTAAAATGGCCTGTGTGAAAAATGGACCTTAAAATGTCTACCAAGGATTTACAATGGTACCTGGAAATTTCTGACATAATGAGTTGCATTGCTGAAGACACCAAGAGAAGAATGCGGATGAGGGAAATACAGTTACTTCAAGTAGGCTAGAAGGGGGAGAAGACAGTAAATTGATGGGCAAGCATGATACTTAAACAGAAAACCTCACCACAAACATGAGGCTTCATTGCCACTTCGAGAATCCAAGTCGAAGTGTTAGGATAAAATTATATCAGGTTCAAACCAGTCTGGACGTGTTCAGACCGGTTCGCGTGCTCCAGGAAAACACTGAACCCCGAACCTATCAGGGGGTTTGGTCCAGGAGAAATACTGGACCTGTGACCGAACCATTGGTCTGATCCGCAAAAGGGCTGCTCAATTCTAAAAGTTCGCGTTCACTTGGGATCCAAGCAAGTTATGACACTGATTACCGACACTTACAACTCCTTGTTTGGAACTGGATGCCGGCCGTCAGCCGGTGACTTTCAGAATCCTGCGTTATCAACTTGATCAGTTCCCATCGTTCAATGCGTCGTTCAACATTCAACGGTGATCAATATGCCCCGTGCACAGTGACGAAAGCAAGATCATAGGGATATTTTAATTTTACATTCTGTTCTGGCTAGTACATTGGCCGTATCCAGGTGTGAGCAAGGCCACCTCAGGGAGCTTTTCACTCCAGATCATCAAGATCTTGACAACGACAAAGGCAATGAACGGCTCACTCACTTTTTGTGTGGGACAGCCGCGGGCCTTCATGCTCTCTCTCTGATGATATCTGTGCCTGGCTCTCATGGTCCCTATATCCAGTGGTGGAAGTGCAATGAATTCTTTGATATATCATTGAGTTGGCCTGATCGAGACTTTCATCATGAATATCGGTGAGTGTGTTTTGTTTTCGATCTTATCAACACACTGATGATCTGGTAGTGTTAGTTGTGCAACTTTTGACCACTTAGTGCAAATCTTAGAGCAGAATCCCATCTTTCAATCGACGGGGAGGAAACCACAGCGACCTGTGCACTATCAGCTTGCATGTTTCCTTCTTTGTTATGGGACTCGTGGCGGGGACTCCCTGCAAGCTGCCCATAAGCTTGGGATTGGTTTCGGAACTGTCTTCCTCTATTGCAAGCGCATAGTGCGTGCTCTGCAGGAGATCGGAATGCAAGTAGTTACCTGGGGTGATGAGGATCGTCAGAATGAAACAACGAGATGGGTTATGGACTGGTCGGGAATTCCAGATTGCATTGGGATGCTCAATGGCTCCCTCATATGGCTTACTGAGATGCTGGATCAAAATGGCCTAACATTTATTTGTCGAAAGAAATATCCCGCTGTAAGTAAATCTCAAACAGAACACTTTCTGTTAACTTACTTGATATGTAGATCAATGTTCAAGCTGTTATTGACCACGAGAAATGATTCACAGCAATCGAACTAGGATGGCCAGGATCAGTTTCGGACGTGACAATGTGGAAGAAGTCTCACGTCTGGCAACATCAGCTTGATCATTTCCCAAACAATACTCTCCTTCTCGCTGATAAAGGTCTATTCTTCTTGACCCTCACATCTTTCATACACTGACCCTGAACCAGGCTATCCGTCGTCGCCCTATGTCCTCCACCCATTCACTGAACCTGAGGTCAATGGGCAGCCACCTGCTGAAAAAGCACACCGCCGTAAATTCAACAAGTGTTTATCTTCACAGCGCATCATTGTCGAGCATACATTTGGTATGCTCAAGGGCCGTTTTCCCAGTTTGAAGGATTTGCCGCCTGAGCAAGATATCCAAGATACTTACCGTGTTGTCGAGGCACTTTTTGCTCTGCACAATATGTGCATTGACCTTGGAGATGTACCTGAGCTCATTCCACTGTTTGATAGTTCTGACCCTGATCATGACGACACTGAGGATGACCGAGCTGATGTTGATATCTCTGGCTATGGCAGAGTTGCTGGGGATGATGAACCAGAACTTCCTGCTTGGGAGTCAGACGAGTGGTTGAGGGAAGCTGGTCGTTATCGTCATCTCACGATTCTAAATGATCTTTTTCCATTATGATACTTGATAGCAATTACTGACCTCCAATAGTGAAGTAGTCCAATAACATTTGATGAGCTGCTGCTTTCAGCTTATCTGGCATCCCATCTGTAGTCAAAATCTCTTTTGCATGCCTCACCTTCGCCTCACGTTCTGCCAGTGTCATCTCAGCCCGCCCTTTCTCTACCATGTAATTATATTGTTTGTCCCCTCGGAACTCGCATTTTTCGAGGAGTTTCAAGCATGCAATGTCGCTATCTGCTGTTGCCTTCAGGAATTCGACATTTGATGCGAAAAACTCAGCAGCTTCACTGCCGATACCAGTCTGCGAAGCCTTGCGTTTGTGCCGCAGCGCAGGGACTCCTTTCTGCAATGTTGGCTTAACTTTCTTGTCACCTGCAGATAAAACTGATTTGTGTGCAGGTTGACCTGCTTTTGGCTTAGTCTTCCTCTCCGTATCACTGTCCTTGCTTTCACCATCACTACCCTCATCACTGCTGATATCGATTGTATCCGAGATCGTTCCAGAGCGAAAATCTTCCTCTCGCACAAGTCCCGGGTGCTCGCCAAGTCTGCCAACTCATGTCAGTAATGTTTCGCACAGAGGTTCAGCTACTCACCTGTTGTTGAACAGTTCGTACCATCCCTCGTCATACCATTTTTTTCAAGGTAGCCCCAGATAAGTTCCCAATATCCTTCCCAGCTGTTGGAGCATTCTCAATCTTCTCATCAAGGACTTCAACATCAGGATCACCACCGCCATTGCCAGTGATGGACTTGAAATTCAAGATATATGAAAACACTCGTCGTAAGCGCTCGTAACGTCCCTTGATTGACTCTGGGCTGCGTCGTCCTTTGAATATACGTTCAGAGACCTGTATGGTATGGTATTAGCAATTATCGAGGCAAGTCTACTTTGCACCTTTGTTACCTTTTTGAAGACGTGTTTAGCATTGCCAGTGAGGCCTTCATAGAATTCACTGTCACCACCTAGCAGGGTTTCGAGCAAAAGTTTGGTGTTCTTGTCTGACCAATGGCTTTGCTCTTGAAGGTGAGCCATGGCTTGTTCCCCATCAATTTTCGTCTTTGCCTTTGTCTTCAGCTTTGCACCTGTGGCCTTCTGCTTCAATCCTTTGCTGGCATGGGCTTCACTACTAATCCGAGTTGATGGTGTGTCATTCTCAGTTTTCCTTATCTTCTTCGCACTGTCACCATCTTCCAGGAGGAGGTTACCATGATATTCCTCATGTCCTCGCTTCTGTGGTTGCGGAGCTGTGGCTGGCAATGGTTGCTGCTGTGAATGAGGTGGGAGAGGTCTTGGATCACCTCCTGCCTCGTTTGCCTGACTTGGACCATAGACAAATTGATTTAGATCATTTGGTTGAGGCCGACCACATGCTTCGAGCACCTGGCAAATATCAGGAAGCTTCAGCTAGTCAGTATTCGTCAAGTATTCCATTCATGCTATTGGCTACTCACTTGTACTCCAGATTGCTGATTATGTTCAGGTCGGGGAATTGATTCATAGGGCTGCTCCTGCTGCAGCTGGCTGGATTCACAATACAGAATCAGTCACATACAGAGCTTGAGAAAATAATGACCTACTGTTTCGTGTCAAACCAGTAATGTTCTGCATGATAATTCTCTTGCTGTTGCTGATGCTGATGCCTTGTGTTGTGTGCAGGCACTACTGCCTGGTGCTCGTAACTGCCCAGTGGAGCAGAACATTGTCCACCTCCATGCGGCACAACATAGCCATGTGGTAGTTGCTCCTGCTGTTGATGCTCAACCCTACTCTGAAACTGATGTTGATTATATCTGCCACCATTGTTAGGATAGTAGTAATCCATCGCTGCAGTGGTGGAGTTGTTAACAGTACAATAACTATGAGCCAGACACATCCGGCCTTCTTCGGGCTTGGGACTAATTTACGGAGGTGGAAATGAAGCACTTAAGACTTAAATAACTTGTATCGTAATACTCGGATCCCAAGTGAATGCGAACTTTTAGAATTGAGCAGCCCTAAAGGTTCAGGTTCGAACCTAGGTTCAGGACCGGACTTCGGAGGCACTAGCCCAAATTACGGAGCGACTTTCTAACAGTGTTATACATAATTACCGGAATATTTCACACCTGTTTATACACCTCTATTTTTTAACCGTAACTTACGAAGTTCCATCTTGTTGACCACGAACTTTCTGTGGAAGACCAAAACTCAAACATTGTGCAGGATTTTCGGTATTATTGGGCGGCTGTGCTGAGCTTCATCGATTCAAGGATGGTCATATTACAGGGAGTGTTGTTCACAACATCTGATGAACATGCACATATCTGACGAGCAATGCAAATTTAATGCCAAGGCCACCCAGGAACCGGAGATTCATTCATGCCCCACGACCCCATTGTGCCGCACACCTCCCTTCAAGTTCGAGTCTGCGGAGATTATTATGCATTTTGGCTGAACCTTTTGCGCCTAGAGTACGGTATCTCAGCAGCAACACCTTTACGTTCACATTGGAAGTTTCAGCCTATAACACACCTGCCACTATGGCTTTGCCTCATTCTCTTGCACAAACACCATCATGTTTACTTCCCCCTCCATCATGTTTGCGCTGGTCAGCTTCCTCGCTGGCGCCAATGTGTGTGTACAGTGCCCAGCCACAGTGAGGGGTGGTGCCAAGAAACTACACGCTACCATCACAAACAATGACTTCACATATTGCAAGTGTGTTACACCCACACATCTTCATTGGACAAAGTAACTGATAGGCCGGCAGCTACGATGATCTCCCGCTCTACCTTGCCACCTTTTACTGTATGTACTACAAAGTAAGTGCTTTCTAGGTATTGTGCCCCCTCATTGTTCTCGGTTTACATGCTAGCGATCATATCAGGATAACGGAAAGTTGGGGGATCAGGCTGAGTCTGATTTTTGTCCGGCTGCAGCAACTGTGAAGGATCACTGCTCAATGTGATGTGAAGAGGTGGGGGAGAGAATACACCCAACAGGAGGAGCAATTCTCATCTGCAAACAGCCGGGTATATGCCAGTACTTAGATTAACATCTGTTACGAAATTTGTGCGTTCCTTCTTGACTGATCACATGAGACCAAAGTCAATAGATTACTGAAGCTAGCGGCCTATCTTGCGTCCTCACTTCTTCACGCACACGTTCTACTTTGACCAGGCAAGTCCATGTCTTCCGAATCCAGACAACAACGATGATGACGACGATGCTGATGATTCTGGAGAGGACACGGAGGGCAAGCTTCAACCGCTCACATTCACGATGCCTAGCCGATCACATTCTCATCACTTGGACGCGGGTCTGAATGAAACACAAAACCAGACTAATACACACTAGAAGAATTGAAAGAGAGAGGTGGGTGGATGGCAAAATCGGTCAGCGACGCGCAAAAGGAGAGCACAGAGAAGAAGAAGGAGTGAGACGTCGTTCTGCAACTCGTATTCCTTTTGTGAGGGCAAACTTGGACTATGCTTCACTATGAGGGTACAAAGGTCAGGTTTCGCTCGAGATCTGCTTGCAATTGAAATGACCAGCTCATTCTGCGCTTTTTCTCTATTTCAATCATCCATATATTTTTTCCTTTGTCTCTTTTCTCTCTGTATGTTTACAATATACTTTCCAGTGAACGACAAAATAATACAGTCTTCTACTGCATCGCAATCTGTATCAATTTTCAGTTTGTTGGGACGAAAAGCGGGAGCATGAAATTGACGAGGATGCTGGGATTCTGAAATTCATACTGATTGTTCAGAGCTGCACTCGAATTTCCCTTTCATTCTTCCCCTTCATCATGGTAGACTGATATTTCCGCATGGATGTTTCTTTTCTAGTTCTACCTTCCAGATGAGTGCATTGCCAACCACCCAGCTATACTCGTCGATGAAATCAACATTTTGTCTGATGTTCCTCTACCTGTGACTTTACTTAGCGAGTTTTGTTGCCGGCGTCTGTGAATTCATGTTGATAACCAACTGATAACTGACAATTATCAAACTAAGTTAGGACGCTAAGGAGACACTGGAGCAACTCTGGTGCTACATCTGATGACATGTTTACTGACACCAATCTCCCCACTCACTTTGATGGAGTGATAAAACAACTTTTTTTTGTCTTACGGATTCCATACTGTCAACGTTCTTCATATTGTGAGCTCATCTGAATCAACCTACTTTGGCTCTCTGGGTCTTCTGATGCAACCCTCCTGGCTTCTACTGGTATGTCATCCATCCTACTCCGAGGTCTCAGTAACCACAACCGAAGCGATAGCCATATTGAGCCTGGTACCCCTTGCCGCCCCATATCCTCGGCAGAAGCCCTAGCACGTCCACAATCAACATCAGTCTCATTCTCATGCCTTGTTTTTGCAGTTATGAAGTTGTCCGGACGCTACAGATGGCCATGCATGACCACAATTGTTCGCAATTTTAAACAGCCCAAACTACGGAGCGACTTTCAAACAGTGTGATAAAAAGAATATTTAACACCTGTTTATAAACATCGACTTTTCAACCATACCCCACGAAGTTCCGTCTTGTTGACCATGAAATTTCTGCGGAAGACCAAACCTCACACGTTGCACAAGATTTTGGCATTATGGGACAGCCGTGCTGAGCTTCGCTGATTGAAGGATGATCATATTACGGAGTGTGTTATTCACAACGTCCGATGAACAGGCACATAACTGACAAGCAACACGAAGCCAAGGTCGCCCAGGAACTGGACATTCATTAATGAATTGCACCCTTTGAGTACCTGCCACATCTACTTCTCATGACGTTCACAGAATCTATGGAGATATCATGCATTTTGGCTCAACTGTTTTCACCTAAAGCAGGACATCTCAGCAACAAATCGAACCACACCTTTACATCGCCTATAAATCACCTGCCTGCTACTATGACTTTGCCTTCCACAACCTCCATGTTTAGTTCCTGCTCTATCATATTTGCGCTACTCAGCTCACTCGCTGGCACCAATGCGTGTGTACAGTGCCCAGCCACAGTGGAGCTCAGCGGCAGTACCAATAAATTCTACACTACATTCACACAATACCAGTTCACATATTGCACGTGTGTTGCACCCACACATCTTCATTGAACAAAGTCACTGATAGGCCGGCAGCTACAATCATGTCCTGCCCGACATGACCAGAGACTACTGTATCTACTACACCATAAGTGCTTTATAGGTACCGCGCCTCTCATTTTTCTCGATTGACATGCTAGTGATCATATCAGGATAGTGGCAAGTCATCAGGACCGTATGCTTTTTGCCCGCCTACAGCAACTGTGAAGGATCACTACTCAACGTGATGTAAAGAGGTGGGGGAGACGAGATTTTGGACGCCTACCTGCATGCCACAATGGGAGCTGCCAAAACTCGATACAAGATGAGATTTACACATTACTAGCATATACATTATGAAATAGTGTACTGTATAAGTTGGTAGCGCCAGCTAAAGTGGCAAAACCCGCTACCCTTTTTTTTTTTCACATTTCAAGAAATTTGTTCTCCCTCAATTAAGGAACGTTGCCACTCAGTCTCGAAACTCTGCATTTGCCAGCCGCTAATAATACATACAACCTCATCACATAATTTATCTTACAATGTTACCTGCTCGCTTAAACCTCAGAGAAAGCGTGTTCTGCTGTTCAAGCTTCCCTCGTCCTTTTGCCCAATTGGACACCAGCCATGGCGTCTGCAGCACGTGATTTGGAGGATGAAGCGCCTCCATCATAATCAAATCCATTTGGTTGAGAGCTAAATGGCTCAACCTCGAACTTGGAGGGATCCATAACACAAATAGTGTGTGCGTTTATTTGGTAAATCTACATTGTCAGTTCAGCTTTTTTTTTTCTTTCTAGTTTTGGATTCAGTAGTTCTTACCCGGTGTTCCTTCCAATTGAAAGCATGTAGAGTCGCCCTGATCATGACGAGAGTGCCGCGCTTGAGGCTAGTGTACCACTCCTGAGGTGGGATCAAGACATTTTCCACATTCCTGATATCAAGCTGATGGAGTTTGGCATTGACATGCTGAAACAGGTCCCCTCCGTAATCTGGGAGCACGGTAGGCTCATAGAATGTGTTCGTCGTTATGGCACTCTCCTGCGTGGATTCTTTGTTACTTCCATTTGCAGTTGCGTCAGTAGACTTGCTCTCAGCACCCTCATTAGTGTTGGCAATCGCTTTTTTGGCCACTCTCGGGCGCTTGCCTTGCATGGCTTGTTGAGCGCCTTTTGGAACCTTCGAGAATGTCAGCACAATCACGTTGTTTATTTATTAAATCTCACTGCATATAATTGCTCGGTGTTGACCATGATGAATTCTGGTGCACCCGTTTGGTTGGTCCCTGCGTGCGTAGTCCACTCCTTTATATTAATGTCCTTGTTTTGTTTTTTCAGTTCTTTGATGTCACTCTGGACGATATCATCCAAAGTCGCGATTTGGTTGCTGAAATTGACATACATCATTTGCGTAGGTTGTGTCGGCTGCCCCAGGGTGAGAACACCTTTCACCCGTGTTCTATTGTCGATCACATTTGGCTGAATGAAGACGGTAAGTGATAGTGTTGCAATTTGTCTCTTCTTGATACTCACTGTGCTCGCTGTCCCTAGGTAATGATTGCCTATAGCTCCAAACTTGGTGCCGCATGGACGAGGCATGATTTCCCCCACTAGTATGGTTTCATATTCTGCTCTGCTGTCCTTGCACTTACTAGGAAAAGTTTCCAGTGTTGACATTGTTGTCCCGGATGAAGTCATCCTTGTAGGTAGCGTCCTCTAAAGACATTCCCTTCAGCAAAGCCATGAGCTGTCGGACTACATCATCATAAATTCCACCTTCGACATGGTTGTCATAGCTTTCTGGATCGATTTCCATTTCAGTAATGTGGTTGCAGTGGGTCGTAGTTGTCTTGGTCGGTGAGGCTTTCTAACATTCATAGGTTTTTATGGACTTTGTAGTGCTGAAGAGGGGCGCCATCACTCATCAGCAAAATCGTCAATTGTATTCTTGGCATGTGCGTTTTTTAGTCATTGAAGATGTGCATTATCAAATCGCGTCATATCTTCCTGTTGACAGAACACCCTATCTTGTGGTGACGTATGTGCTTGATTGGCATTGACATTTCATTCCAGTGTGCATTTCCGCCCCTTGTTATACTCATTGTAAGACTATCCTTCCTAGATCATCGATTATCACATATCAATCATGTCTTCTGATAGAGTTGTCACCACATGCTTCTCCTCTTGGGGCCCTCACTCCGGGTATATCCAAATCCCTGTCAGGGATGTTATTGATGGAGGCTTTGATGTCCTTCATGGCGAGAGGTACTTCGGTGTCCGTGCTGATGTTGGTGAACACAGGGTCGTTGTTTCAAACAATGATGCAGACTGTCAAGCACTCGACTTCATGGTCTTTTTCGATCGGAACCTTCATAGCAATGGCACACAGTGCTGTCCTTATCTCGTTGTCAAGGTAGCTGAAGGAGAGCGCGCTGTTGATATGATGAGGTCAGATTATGTTGCTGCTATGTTAGCTATTGAGCAGTGTGTTCAGCCCAATCATTTTATGAGTTTTGATTTATATTATATGCAGCAGGATTCTGTGTGATGTCCCAGCGAGTAAAACCGCTGAAGATTATGCTAAAAGCAAGACCACCACTCATGACTGATGTTTATATTGTACTGTCTGCTTTCGCTTTACTTGCAATTTGTGGGCGCACAGTCACCAATATCTTCATTCAGTAATTTCTTTCATTTACGAGTGTACATCTCGTCTTCTCTTCTCATTAATACATCGCATTTGTCTAGCAAACATGTAATTCCTCTTTGCGTCTCGCTGTTTTTCTCTTTGCGTCTCGCTGTACTTCCTACGCCGCCTTGATAGAATATAAAAAAAGAGTGCTACTTGTTTTGTGTCAGCGGGGAGCTTCAACCAAGTCCGAATTTGAAACTCACCTGCATCAGGTGGCGAAAACAAATGAAGGAGAACCAGAGACTCTCTCATTGTAACATTGATCACCTCCCAAGCTCCAGATCACTGCTTTAGTGTCTATGTAGTTGGCGCTGCCTAAGGCTCCGGTAGCTGTCTCCTTATGGCCGGCCACCCATGCCAGTTTTCCTTTGTCATTGGTGCTTCGCGTTATTTGTGGGCAATAATACATTTTGACACAGCGAGATTCGTGCACTGCGAGTTCAGTAATTTCCAAATATACAGTAAATCCCCTTTGCATGTACTTTGCAAGGCCCTTAACAGTGGCAAAGTTTGTTGCATTCTGTTTGTACATCCTGGGGTGTACGAGACCAGCCATATCGAGCGTCCATCCTGGGTAGGCACAGAACACAGCTTCCGCAGAAATGAAGTTCATAACAATTGTGCTGTGGAATTGGAATATAGGAGATATTGCTGACGACAGGTTTGTGACAATGATATCCACGTTTCGTCCGTTGTTTTGCAGCCTGAACAGTTTGGCCATGCCACTGCTATTGTAAGGACCAGGAGGGGGGTGATTAATGTTACGTATAACTGTGTAATGCTCTGTCTCTGTAAAGAATTGCACGAAGTCCTTGAAGTTCTGCAGAGTAGTGTAGATGTCCAAATCATTGATTGCTACTGCACCTTGTCTGGCTTGCACAAGGTTCAAAGCACATGAGCCTGACACCACGGCACCTGTGCCTTGTAGCAAACCAACAAACTCTTGAATGTTGCTAATGAAGCGAGCAAAGATGATGCGTCTGCATCTTTGAATGTATTCATCAATATTTGTGTGCAAGGTAGAAGTCATGGTGGCGAGTGATGATAGTTCCACGAGGTCCAGAGAATCCAAGATGTTTTCTGTGATCTCTTTACACAAAGAAGTGAAGCGGGTCATTTTAGACATTGTGGTTGTGAGTGTTTGAAGCACTTATAAAGGGGCTTTTGTGCACAAATATGCGCAGCTAACCAGTACCAACGGCACACTGTCACTTTCCCAATCTGCATCATCTTCGTAATAGCATTATCATGTCATTTCATGTGTCATGATTTTGTGTGAAGTCTGAGGGAGGTTTCAGGTCAGTCAGCCGCCACTTTGGAGTTTACCACACGCGATAATAGCTGTTTGTCTGAACAATCTGAGATCCAAGCTCGTATTAATGCTGAGGCTTGTATTGGACATTTGTTAAAGTGCAAGATATAGACGATATTTACGGTTGTATTATTACATCAAGTTTGGCGGCATTTGCGCATCACTCCACTGAACAGGTTGTTGTCTTGATCAGTTCTATTATCGGAATTAGATAGGTTGAAGTGTTTGACTAATAGAAGTGAGAGCACATACTGAATGATGCGCTCTGTGATCTTCTGAGACTCTTTTGTTAATATGTCCCATGGTGGGTGTCCTTGAGCAAGACTATGCATGATAGCGAGCATGTTACCAGCTGGGTGGGGTGAGAGGAAGGTACCAGCCTTCGATTTTTTATAAAATGGTCCCACATGATATGAGGATGGTATGGTGTCGAGTACATGATCGTGTTCTCAAATGAGCATGAAAGCACAGTCATCCATCATAATCGTCTGCCTAGTAATACCACAGTCGATGATATTGTCTGGCTCTATACCTCTTTTGCGGATGAATGGACGAACATTTAAATCATTGATACTGGCAATGTGGGTTCTACCATTGTCAAGATAGAGTGGAACCACATATGGGTGCATCATTGCTGCACCGAATAATAAACCTGTGACATAAGGTAGCACGGCCTGCGAGTTGTCAATTAGTCAAATATCCAAAGTTTTACTGGAAGCTGCTTCTCAAAATCACTCACATTACGGCTTTTTAATTTGGCCACACGATGATCGACGCTGTCGTCAGAGCATGCTCCTGAATATGGGTCTGGATCTCTGAATATGTTGCTCCTGCACAAGTAGTTTGTGCAGTGACTGCTGAGCCTCCATTGTAAATTCTGTCCGTCAGTCACATGTAAAGGGATAACTCCGTTATGCCATGTGACTGCGAGACCATCATCCATACAGTGCCAAAGTGTAGGACACCTCTTCCTGCAAGGTAATGTCCAACAGTTGTGAGTTTGGACCTCGTATTCACGATTGCAAAACTCTCGAACTGTTGATGAGCGAGGATGGGACAGGGGAAGTAATGTGACGTGGCTGTTCATTAATTTGGGATAGCCTAAAAAGAGGCCGCCGGATGCAACAAAGATACAGTTGGTAGATGAGCGATGGGCTAGAATGACTGGCATAACAGAATCCGTCGGGCTATTGATCAACGTCACTTTCCTACTGTCGTTTTGGATGTAGTCATAGTCATAAACAGCTACAACTGAAGGTGGTGTATAGAGTGTAGGAAATTGATCAGTGGTGAAGCCAAGGCCATCGAAAAATGCCGCGAAGTGTCCTTTTGCGTAGTGTGGTGTAGCGATGCGCAACTCATGTCGAATTATTGAGGAAGTACCATATAAGATAATGTCGAGTGCAGAGCTTCCAAGCAGAACAGATTTTGTGCAGTCAAGCATGGCACGGAGTTGATCACTTCTTGAACTGACAGCGTGCTCCAAAACATAGTTCAGCCTGCTGTTGATTACTTCATGACCCAACATTGAGAAGAGGCTGCTGACTGCGAAACATCGGACAATGTCCATGATGTCAAGAAATTGAATGATCTTCATCCAGACGTCATTTACTAGTGTCACTGAAGAAAGGTTAGTATGGTTCTTTCAGTTTTGCAAAGCTTTGGACTTACTCGTGGGTGATGAAAGTTGAAAACGAAAGGGGCATGAGTGGAGCCTTGCCGAACACCAAAGTAGAAAAGGGGCATTTCTGCTTGCTCAGCCAATCAGGGCTTAGTGATATCCATTGGTGCATAATAGGACTTGGTATTCAACATAGGGTTGGGAGTGGTACTTGTCAGTCAGTAAAGTTGATTTTGAGCTCGAACTGACTGCAGTGGGAGTATGTCGGCTGTCCAAGGCATGAGGATGAGCCGAAATTGCTGTTGTACTCCTTCCAGTCAGAAAACCTCCTCGCACGAGATATGATTGGATTTTTCTGTGAATCAATTAGGCTTCAGGCGAACGGCTGGTATGATCTGGAAGGCCTGACCATAAGGGGGTTTTAGCACAAGTCGATACTTTGGTCACGATCAAGGTGATCTGCGCTGTCTGCACATAACATTCAGAGGAGTCGCGTGAGTATGTGAAGTGTTGATTATTCAAACAGCATACGTACAGTCTGGGATAGTAAAGTGGCGTGCTTTGCGGAATGCAAAGTATTTATCATGATACTTTCTGCACGCTATGAGCACACGGCCACTAGAGTGTTCCGTGTCGCGGGCACGCAAAGTCCTCAGACCTGGTGAAGTCAATGTACCTAAGTATGTATAGTCCATCAGTCAGGAGCAATTATTAGGAGTGACGCATGTACCTGCCCAAAGAAAAAGAGATCTACAATATACAAAGCAACATCGAGGTCAAACAGTTAACACAGAACCGCAAGGACAATTTGGTCTGTGTTAACAAAGGTGACTTAAGCCGTATTCTTCGACAATGTTTGATATTGAATTCTTGTAATGCGATAATGAGGTTTGTCGCAAGCAATACGTCATACCAACTCACAAAAATGAGGGCGATAGGAAGTTATCGATCACTTACAACTTTACAGTGCTGTAAGAAAAACGCTGAAAGAACAGACATCGCAGACATCAAGCATTGCACACAGTAGAGGGAGCGCAGCTCTTCAGACGTGCTTTTTGATTTGACAAAAGATGAAATCTGAAGTAAAATGAGGACCAACAGCAGCAGTAAAGAATAAAAGAAACACATACTTGGATGTTTCCTGTTCATGTCCTGGGGGGGGAAAGTCCATGCCAAGAGAATATATTGGGTGTCCGGACAGGCCATTCAAGTTTGCTTGTGCTGTAATTTTGACAGACCCACTCACTATTTGTTGTCATATGGCACGTGAGGATCAATACTATATTGGTAAAATTGTTTGAGTGCCATCTGTGAATCCGATTAGTTTGACGCTCACCTGGACAAGATCTCCAGGCAAACAACGTCAAAGAAAAGAGATAGTCTTGTAAGCCATATACATACAATCTACAAAGAAGTGGTGCGTGACACAAGAACGCTAAACAAATTACCACATTACCAAGGCACAGTTTTGGTAAGTCTGAGTGCACCAGATTGTCGATCAAGTCTCACCTAATTACAACAAGCTCTTGGTTAGGTTAGTCGCACCTTTTTCTTTTGGGGGCGTTGTGCGGTTAGCATGTTTGATGTAGATCTCAACATCTTGTGCGGTTGGTTTGAATCAGATAAATCAAGTTTGCGTTTATAATTTTTGCTACAGGTGGATTTCGAAATCACCTTCTCCGTTTCAGATTGAATGTGGTCTACTTGATGTGCAATATTTGGAGGAGAAGGAGCTTGTCCATGTGCATAAAGACTGCCATCAATGATTGTGAAATCATGGTAAGCCAATGTTCTAACATCAGCAGTTCCAAGACACATTTGAAGTTGAATTTGCGCAGAATTTCTTTCCTTATCAACTGTACTTGTCTCAATGATTGTCTGTAAGGCCAGAATTTGCTGTCGCTTCTCCTTGATGCGCCCGTCTTCACTACAATGGCAAGAGATCTTCTTTTGGGTGAAAGGCCGTAACACTAATAGATCTTCCAGTGAGGTCACTCAAGATAACATCACATAAGGCACTTCAGTCCCAGTGCAACCTTCAAGATCTACAATCACCCATTGCAATGTTTGTCCCTGAGCCTTATGAGTTGTCATTGCAAAACCTGGCGTGATTGGAAGTTGAGTACGCTTGATTTGACATTTTTTACCACTGAATGGATTCACAAAAGATATGTCAACCATGTCCTGCAAAACTGCAGACTCATTAGATGCCAGATGAGGCAAAGGATCTGGCGATGTTGATGGTGTCTTTACCATGCATGAGATTGCATGACACTTGCCATTTACACCTTTGATGAAGCACACACTCTTTAGTTTGCCTACACAACCATTAATGATGCCAGCGTCGACGTCAAAGTTCCGATTGATACATAATTACAGGCATTCCAAGCACCAACAGAATTTTACCTAAATGTTGTGATGTCATCCCAGAATGAATCTCCATTAAGTGATTGTGCAATTCTAGCTTACTGATGATCTGCCCTTGGTGTTTATCCAAACATTTGTACCAGTAGGCTGCCTTTCCAGCACGCTTAGCATAAGCTAGAGTCGCTCAGACATTAATCGTGTCCTTGACTTCATTTGTAGGCACAATCACAGGTGCATCAAGCCATTCGGCCATCTTCCAATCTGGACACACGTTTGACAGAAGACGCATATTCAAAGTCTCGAAGTCTTCCTTTGTACATGTTCCACAATGCAGGCGACTTAGCAGGTCAACGAATGGTGAGTTATCCATGCCTTGCTGGCACATGACCGCCGTCAGTATAACAACTGTAGAAACTGATAACCATAAAAGTTTTCCGAACAATGAGTTCTGACCTTGGACTGTACCAACCATATGCATTAAAGATTTTCTGTGCAACCCTCATTGCCCAACTGGCGGTAGTTGTGCAAAATCCCTGGCAAATACAATGCTAATTCCACCGAAAATATCTGAGTTTTCTTTTGCTTCACACAACGCTTCACTAATTTGCAGCAAGAAATTACATCCTATCATTGAGACTTCGTTGATAAGAAGGTAGTCAACATTCTGCCACATAGCCACGAGATCCCATTTGGATTTTGTCTTACTTCCCCTCAATCTTCGTTGATTGAGCAGGAGAGCTGAATGCAAAGTCATTCCAGATATGTTTCGTGCAGCTACACCCATATATGACGCGAGGCGAAAATGATGTCCCTCATTTCTACACTTAAAAAATTCTTCTACCGCCATAATCACACGAGATTTTCCAGTGCCTCCTTGCCTGTTGAACTACTTTGCAGCGCTTTACGAAATGATTTACCGTCATCAATGATTGATGATTCGGCTACGATTATTGATTTACTAGGAACAACACCTTGTGCTTGCTCAACTGTGCATTTCTTCCATTGTTGTTTTCTTTTCTCGTATGCATACTGCCATACATCTTCCAGAGATCTATCATCCGCTTTGACACATTGAGCTTCACTGATTTCTACTTGTATATCTCCATCTCTAGCATGCTCAGTATTACTGCATTCGAGATCAAATTGGCCCGCGTTTTCCATGTAGTGCAGACAATCCAACACTCCATCTTGTTGTTGCACTCGCTTGATCATTGAAGATTCCTCGATTCTCATCATGTGTTCCAAAATGTTGTCTTCGATCATATTGTCATCCAAAAAATCTGCTGAACTTGTTGTGCGATCGAGAACCTCCCCAGAAATTTGATTACAGTGATTTGATGGCCGTTTGTACCTCTTAGCAAAATGGTTGTCTCGACTATCACAACATTCATGCAAGATCTGCATGTTTTTCATGACATATAGGAACCTAGGTGGGCACTCTTTTAAAAATTGTTCAAATCTCTCAGACCAAGATGCGCAGGCTCCCAACAAATCACCAGGGTTGCTCCAATGAATAAACAACATAAGCATGAGTCAACAGTATCGTTCTCTGACCTCTGGTCAATCTCGACATGGCACAGATGGCCCTATCAATACGGGCGCCCGTCTATTCTTAGGATGTCGGATGACAAAATGGTGACTTCCACTTTCAATGTGACAAGATTGAATGGGAAAGGATGGTCATGCATGCAACACATTTTTGATGAGTTTGGCTATGAAACCAATCGGATCATCTTCATATTCACAATCATGTTCATTCGACACCGAAGTCGGCGCAATTTCTTCCAGTATATCATTGCCTCGATGTAGGCCATCTTCAGATGTAAGTTCTTGCTCATCAAATGCCAAATCATCCACATGGTCTTCTTCATCCAAATATGCTTGACTACACTTGTTTATCTTACGTTTTTCAACATGGGCAACGAAATCCCACAAACACATTCCTTGTAACTCTTGCGATCTGAGGTGATAATCCTTTACTTGGTTCGCCTTTGGAATTAAGAGCCCCTTTTGATCTGTTGTGATTCCAACCTCATCAACGTCTAACGCCTGTTCTACGAATTTGACTGTCAAGCCCTCATCATTTGATTCATCCAGTGGTGATTCCAGGTGATCGTCTTCTGGATTTTCAACCTCTGTTGGTTGCTCATCTGTGCTATCACCATCAAGATTTAGGTTGCACTTTGTGCTACATCTAACACCCGGGAGCATCTCCTCAAAGTATTTTTCAAACAACGTCCAGAATAAATTCTGGAATTGATGACTTGTGTAATGATCACCAAGATCCAACAGATAGGATGAAACTTGTTGGGCTGACAGTTCCTGATGCGAAATCATCGCATGCGCACTTTTTCGGATCAACTCCTTTGCTCAAAGAGTAAGCTCATCATCTTCTGGGTCATATTCACTGAGCTTGCACCTTGCTAGGTCCAATGCTGCATAAGCAACATGCACCTTCAATTGCGACTTGGTGATGTAATCAGTGATATAGTATAAGATTGCTTTGGCGGATGCGCCTGAACCAATAAACTTGATATCCATATTACAGTGTATGGCTTCTAACATTGTCTTGTTGAAATTGTTGACCATTCCATCAAGACATCTTAAGCAAATCTCGTCAGACTCATTATCGAAATAACTAGTGTCACAGAAATGGTCTTCACTCAAATCAAACCTACATTCTCTCAGTGCAGGTGGGCCTTTCCAATATTTAAAGCACGTTGCATTGTGCTTGTGAATTTGACATGCCTTCACAAGATTATGCAGATCCTTTTGGCGATTCAAATAGTTCTCTTGTCCTTCAATAGCTTCATCAATCACAATTCCTCTCACCACACAAGGATGATGAGTTGAAGAAGGCACTTCATATTGAGGACCTGGATCAGGAGGCACCTCATTACATATACTATCATCTAAAAAGGCTAACAAACAATCTTGAAATGCAGTGTCATTCACATCACAAATGCACTCTTTGATTTCATTAGGATCAAGACCTCCCTCGAGCCAAACCATTAAGTGACAATGCAATGTACCTCGCCCTTGTGCTTCCACACAGCCATAATAAGCTTTCACGGTTCCCAGAACTCCTTCAGATGCCTTTTGGTCATTGCTGTTGAAACCAAGTATTGCAGAAAAAAACAATTTCATGTAAAGATCAAAAAATTTCGCAGCAACAATGGGATTGCATGCAACTAATATGGACTGCTTCCAGTAATCCGGCACTTCGTTTGGTAACAGCTCATCGACATTGATGTCATTTCCAGCTAAAAACTTGACGACAGGATTATAGACATCTACGGGATTAATTGTGATGTAAAAGTTTGGTAGACCTTGATCAACCATAAGACCACGGATCTGATTGCACATGACAAACCTCAAAGAACCAGAACCCGCGACATGTGATGTCACACTATTCACTTGTCTAAGAAAAGCATGAACCTTCTGTTCATCTGGAGTGAACGCAGAGGTAAGGTCTCCCTTGGCAACACGCTCTGCTACTCTGTGAACAGTCTCTGATGAAATAGAAGTGAAACCTTGAGCAATGTCACTAAAAGATGACCGTTTGACTTTAAGACTAGTATGAAGCAGTGCTGTTCGTCGTTGCAGCATGTTGAACACAATAAACAAAAACGAGTTATGTTCTTGAAAACAACAATCAGCTAGGTTTAAAAAATGCTTAACTTGGCGTTTCAATGCTAATTTGGAACTGCGATGTGGGTTTTTGAACCCTCCAACACCATAGGGAAAAAGGGTAGGGTACATCAGCAGAAATAGCTCCGGGTTAACAAACTCATTCACAGGCTGTGACGAATGGGGCACCTGAATAAATCCACCAGCTTTATCCTTCACATGACGAAGTGCAGCTGCCCTAAGTTGATGAGAAGGTGAATTAGCATCCACATCTGTAACCACTACATGCTCAAAGATCGACAGTAAGTCTGCCTTGGTAGTATTGGGTAAATCTTGATCAACACTGATGTCGTTTTCTGCAGACGTTGTAGGAACTGCGCTCAGGGAATCATAGCACAATGTAAGGATGTCTTGTCCCTTGTCACTCGCTTCACTCATAGTTTCAATGTGCACTGGTAGAACATGCTTGTCATCTGGTGAAGTCAACCTCTCCTGGTCTATAACCACATCATGATAAAGGTGATTATGTTCCTGCAACCACAATAGTGCATCCCTGATTTTTTCTCTTCTAACAACGAGCGGGCGTGCATGTTGTCTTAACCATTCAGGTGTTGGTGGGCTTGAACCGACAAACAATACGCAAATGGGCATCACAATATCATCCATAGGTGGGGGAAGCATGTCCAAAATGGGAGAGGTCCGCTGTGGAAAAACGATGATGTTGCCTTTAAGACCACGCTGGGCATTTGGGATCCTTTCGCTCTCTTCACATAAGTGTAATATAAAACATTTAGCTCTGCACTTGGCAATCATCATCTCTTCAGCTATCATCAATCCTTGAAGTGCTGAGGGGACGGCACCAATATAATTGTGATTTGCTAGCGCTAAAGGCAGTGTCTTCCCTTTGCACACAGCAGTGCCACACTCTTTACAAAATTTAGCAGAACACGCGTTCCTTTCATCAACACCGGAACAAAACCCTGCATCACTGTAGAGAATATCATTCAACAGTCCACCATAAGATTCAGTAGGAGCATTGTGACATGAACGCATCTCGGAATCAAAACCACCAGCCATCCATGCTGGGTCAACAATGCAACCATTATGAGCACGGAGATCGGGCCATTTCAAAGCAGTCAAGTCGACATCTTTTAAACTAAGTGTCTGACACTGTGAACGATTGTATTCTCCAGCACAAGCGAAACACACGAATGTAGACAAAGACTCGGAACATGTTTGCTCACAAAAAACTTCAAGAACCCTTTGTTTTCGCTCTGCAGATACTAACTGAGGCCATTGTGAATGTATGCGATCATGATTGCTTGCCCATAGATCATATTCCTGTTGTTTAAAGGCACGATAGGCTTGATTTTTTTGCCTTTGGACAAGGAAGTAACATGTGCTCGGAGCAACTTTCGTAGTTGAGACAAAGTTGCTGCAGCCTCATAGGGAATTGCGCAGCACTTTAAGATACGAAGCAAAGGTTTCCTACCAATATTTCGACGTACTGATTTTAACAATTGGATCTGTAATTCTGTCCTCGAGTCAAACGATTCAGTTTCTGCTGAATTATGAGGTCGAGTCCAAAACCCATCAGTCATATGAGAACATGCTACACGATGGTTCTTTGCATTGGACGCACACATGCCCTTCGACATGTGGTTAATGATCCTGTCCAATAACTGATCCTTTGTTCCGACAAAGCATAAACCATGCCAAGACGCTACAGCTTCCAAACAAGGCTTGGACATATATTCCGCCTTGGTGAACAGTGATTGCGAAGATTTGGACACAGCCTCATACACCCCTCGGTTACGAAATATATTCAATATACCGATAGCTTTTCGCCTGTAATGGTTTTCCTGACCAGATCCGCATACTAAGTCACCGCAGATACTTTGGGCAACAAGCCACAAATTAACACCTGGTAGAGCCGGCGTGTTATACGAAGTCAAATCATCCAAGATATAATCAACTAAATCAGAGGACGAACTGAAGCCTGCAGCAACCTCACGACACGCAGTATAATCACGATGTGCAGAACGGATATCCGAAGTCACGCACTCGCCATGAAGTAAATGTTGCAACAACAAATTGCATCGCTCTTCTAGCTCGTGAGACTTCTTAGGTTCCAAACCGTGAAAAGCACATGCCTGATTGAGCAGCGACACATCAGATGAAAAAGGCCCGATACTGACTCCAGAATGGGACAACCCAAAGAATATATTGTGAACAATAGACTCTGAACGTCTATGAGACGACGAAACTGCCCCGACGAGGGACGAAGACTGGGATTTAACCAAATCATGCGTATCAGCATCATCAATATGCTTTGCATCACCGCTAAGTATACAGGTAGTTACTGAAGCAACCAAAGATCAGTAAGCATCAAGAGGAACTATAAAATACAGTCACCTTCAGGGTCAGACACAGAACTAGAGTAGGGATTGTGAACGGGATTCATGTCTTCGCGGCCAACCGTGCGCCACGCAGCAATCCAATTCATCCCAACCAAAACATCAGAATCAAGAACAGACGCGATCTCGAACTCGACGTCGGTGGTGAGCACGCGACCATGATAAGAAGCCGTGAGAATATCACTGAAACAAGAACCTGCTAGTGGGGCGGAATGACCAAGCAAATGCGCAACTTCTAATGTCACATAGCAGCATGGAGACGCTGAATCGAACGCGACAGATACAGGATGACGACCGATGAACGAAGCCATGGTGAAAGTTAGAAATGGCGCTCTAATTAACCGTAGGGGTAAAACGAAAAGCAAAAAAATGAGTGCTGGGAATCCTAAAGGCCTGGGCCGATCGATCAACACAGCCTCTAACCATTTAAAGCAAAAACACAGCCACGACAAGATCTGTCAAATCTACCGCAAAACGGAGAAATTAGTGAGGTATAAGACCCACTACACAAGGTAGCGGGAATAAGCATATATGTGCATATCAGGGTACGCGCGTGTCTGGTACCTAAAGCAGGGCCTTCAAATTACAACGAATGAGAATATCCCCCAGAACACGACCATAATATGATGAGAACATGATGATAATGTGATCGTTCTACTTGCATTTGCATTTCTTCGTAATCCCCTCAGAATGTGGCAAACATTTGGTTCGAATCTTGAGGTTCTCGCCACATCCTCATTTCGTGCAATCTCGTTTTTTCCCCAGTGCCACAATGTCTATGCAATTTACATGGTGAAGATCGTAATATTAATGCTACAAGTGCGGATGAAGGTGGAAGTGGGTTGATATAGATGAACAATCATGATAATGTCGTGTTCCAGTCAAAGTGCAATGCTGATGCCGGTGATGATGATGGTGATGATGATGAACAATGTAAGTAGTATGTGACAGCGACTCGATGAAGAATATGAAGTGATGATTTGAAGTTCAATAGTTATTCAATAGATGTTGTATTCGAGCGTAAATGAGGGCCACGCCAGAGTGATCTGCGGGCTAACAACATGTCTTGATCCTCTAACAGATTGTAATTTAAGTGCTGGCAATGAGCATACACCCAACTGTCTGCAGACGATCATTGCTCCTCTTGTTGGGTGTCTCGTCTCCCCCACCTCTCACATCACGTTCAGCAGTGATCCTTCACAGTTGCTGTAGCCGGACAAAACTGAGACCCGAGTACAAGCTTGCCGTTCCCCTAATGATCGCTAGCATGTCACCGAGAACAATGAGCTGCACAATATCCAGAAAGCACTTACGGTGTTATACGAACAGCCCACTCCTGAGTCATTGCCAGGCAACTTGGCATCATCGTAACTGCGAGCCTATCAGCTACTTTTTTCAATGAAGATGCGTGGGTGTGACACACAAGCACAATATGACGTGATCGTCTGGGTAGGTCGCGGATAGGTGCGAGGTACCACCGTCAACCTTCAATAGGGATGGGCACTGTAAACACGCATTGGCGCCAGCGAGGAAGCTGAGCAGCACAAAGACGATGGAGGGGGAAGTAAACATGATGGAGTTTATGCAAGGGAATAAGGCAAAGTGATAGTAGCAGGCATGTGTTTTATAGGCTGAAACTTCCAGTGTGAACGTAAAGGCGTTGCTCGCTTTGCGGCTGAGATGCTCTACTGAAGGCGAAAACAGTTGAGCCAAAATGCATAATAATCTCCGCAAAATCAAGGACAACTGTGAACCTCATGAGAAGTTGATGTGGAAGGGCGATCTGCAGCACAATGGAGTTGTGGGGCACAAATGAATCTCCGGTTCCTGGGCGGCCTTGGGCTTCGCGTTGCTCGTCAATTCTGTGCACGCTCATCGGACATTGGGACTTCCCAAACAACACTCTTCATAGATGACCATCCTTGAATTGACGAGGTTCATTACGGCCACCCCATAGATGCCAAAACCCCTGCGCAACATTTGATTTTTGGTCTTCTGCAGAAGATGGTCCGTGGTCAACAAGATGGAAGGTACGAGTAGGATCACAAATAAGGCAGATATGGATCGTGGACGTGAAAGCTATTTCTGCCGAAAATACGGGCGGAAAAAAGTACCAGGCTGAAGATGGCTATCGCTTTGGTCTGGTTACCAAGACCTTGGGGTAGGATGGATGACAGAGGCCAGGAGTGTTGCGTCAGAGAGCTAAACCAGGCTGATTTGAGAAACTGGCGATAAGAAAAACGTTGAGAGTATGGAATCCGTAAGACAAATAAACACTTGTCTTACTGCATCAAAGCGAGTGGGGAGATTGGTCCAGCGTTTCAGGGAACATTCAGCGAACGTGTCATGAGATGTGTTTAACAGGTGCTCCAGTGTCTCCTTAGCGTCCTGACTTAGTTTGATGATTGTGAGTCATCAGTTGGATATCAGCATGGATTCAAAGGCGTCGGAAACGAAACTCACTGGCAACAACCTCGGCTGTCGCAGATGCGTCCATTACTCTGCTAGTTCCCGTGGTATACTTCGTACTCTCCTGCTACATTCTGGCTGCATGATACCCTCTTCCTTCTCCACTTTCTCGTACGGCGATGGTCCACCTCATTTTCCACGTGCCATGATCGCAGTCCGAGTGATGGGAATGCGATTGACCTGGCATCGTGAACGTGAGTGGTTGAAGCTCGTCCTCCATCTCCTCTCCAGTATCACCAGCGTCGTTGTCGTTGTCGTTGTTGCTGGGATTTGAAAGACGTGGACTTGCAGTCATGCCGGTCAATGTAGAATGTGTGTGCGAGGAGTTTGAGGATGCGAGATAGGGCGCTAGCATACTCTGGTTCCATACCATAGAGCCTTCGATGACTTCTGAGTCAGTCGGAAGTGAAAGGAGGGGACCAGCCGCTAGAGTTTGGAGTCAAAAAGTGTAGCAGGAGCTGTAGTGTGGCTCAAGGAAATGTGCTGGCAGCGTGCATCTCAGGATCAGAAGTTGATTCAGAATTTCAAGTAGTACTTGGTCAAAGTGCCTGCCATTGATTTTAGTCTCACGTGATCCGTCGCGCAGGTAGTAAGACGTGACTACCTATTTGGCAATTTTCGTAATAGATGGTGATCTACCCAGCTGTCTAGTCGGACGAACGTTGCTCTTCCTCTGTTGGGTGTCTCGTCTCCCCCACCTCTTTACATCACGTTGGGCAGTGATCCTTCACAGTTGCTGCAGCAGGACAAGAAACAGACTCAGGCTGATACGCCAACTTTCCGTTATCCTGATATGATCGCTGGCATGTAAACCGAGAACAATGAGGGGGCACAATACCTAGAAAGCACTTACGGTGTAGTACATACAGTAAACAGTGGAAGTGTAGAGCGGGACATGATCGTAGCTGCCGGCCTATCAGTTACTTTGTCTAATGAAGATGTGTGGGTGTAACGCACTTGCAATATGTGAACTGGTCATGTATGTTGGTATCGCGTAGTTTATTGACACCACCGCCGACCCTCACTGTGGCTGGGCACTGTATACACGCATTGGCGCCAGCGAGGAAGCCGAGCAGCGCAAACATGATGGAGGGGGAAGTAAACATGATGGAGTTTGTGGAAGGGAATGAGGCAAAGCCATAGTGGTGTTTTATAGGCTGTGACTTCTAGTGTGAACGTAAAGGTGTTGCTCGCGTTACTGTTGAGATACCGTACTTTAGGCGAAAAAGGTTTAGCCAAAATGCATGATAATCTGCGCAGACTCGAACTCGAAGGGAGATGTGCGGCACGATGGGGTCATGGGGCACAAATGAATCTCCGGTTCCCGGGCGGCTTTAGCTTTAAATTTGTGTTGCTCGTCAGATATGTGCACATTCATTGGACGTTGTGAACAACACTCTCCGTGATATGACCATCCGTGAATCGATGAAGCTCAGCACTGGCCGCCCAATAATACCGAAAATCCTGCGCAATGTTTGAGTTTTGGTCTTCCGCAGAAACTTCGTAAGATACGGTTAAGAAACCGAGGTGTATAAACAGGTGTGAAATATTCCGGTAATTATGTATAACGCTGTTAGAAAGTCGCTCCGTAATTTAGGCTGTTGGAAATTGTGAACAATTGCAGTCATACAGGGCCGTCTGCGCCGTTAAGAGCTGCAAAACCGAGGCTGGCTACTGTCACGGAAGGCATGAGAATAAGGCTGATGTCAATCGTAGACGCGCCAGGGTTTTCTGCCGAGGATATGGGGCAGTAAGGGATACCATGCTGAAGATGGTCTATCGCGTGGGTATGGTTACTAAGACCTCGGAGTGGGATGCATGACATACCAGTAGAGGCCAGGACGGTTGGCAACCGTCCTGGCCTCTACTGGTACATCGGAAGACCAAGCCAGCCAAATTAGGCTGATCCTGAGAAGCTCGCGATACATCAGGAAAAACCTCCCGAGAGAAATTCAACTAAATTACAGTAATGTTTGATAATATCTGGTTATTATCACAAATTATCGGCCTTAGGAATATTATGGTGTTTAGATTTACTTTTTTACCCCCTTCTCCATAATGTATAATTATGTATAATTATCGAAAATTAGTTGATATTCCAAGCAATTGTTGAACAATTACGGAAAGTTTATGTCGTACTTCCATCACGCCCATCAGACAGTGTTGCGAGAAAAAAGACTAGCATTACCTAGAAATCTTGGGTGGCAAAGTCATAGGTGGCCGCTGGTGTTCAGTAAAGCTTGAGCTCTTGACAGACAATCAAGATAGACGGCCTGTCAGTCAGCAGGTAACCTGGCAGTCTCAAGGGATGAGGCTATACTGTTAGATTGATACATTCAAAGTGGACTATAGGCCTAAAACTAGGATACATTATCTAGTTAAGTTGTCCATGATCCAGATTGATATATCCTTATGGTGGATCCCAAACGTTGCTTCTCGGAACTTTCCAGGCCGTGTTGAGAGGGGTCAGATACCAAACAAGAACAGGCCAACCCCCCGCCGCTGCCAGGCCCCTCATGTGCCCTTCTTTCTGATCCGCGGCTGTTGGTGGAATTTGGAATTTGGATCTTCGACTCGTTAGGGGAGAACACAGGTACCTGACCTGGACCAGGAACAAACAGGCACGTGGCCAGGTTGCTGCAGTGCTGCGCTGAAGACTGAGTACTGAGTTGTGCCGTATCACTATCATAGCGCAAATTCAACATTTTGTCACGTGATGTACGTATTCTCGCAGCTAAGTTCAAGTTCGCAGATGAAGGGCGCAGTTTCATGTCATCTTGAATGCGGATTGCAAAGGCAGACAGGTACTTATGATAACATCGGAATTTCATTGCTGCAGCGCTGAAGACTGACTCGGAGCTGTGCCATCACTATCACAGCGCAAGTTCAACTTTGTGTCACGTGATGTTCGTATTCTTGCAGCTAAGTTCAAGTTCACAGATGAACGTTAACTTTCGGGCGCAGAGGGGGGCAGCTGGAGTGTTCTCGTGTGTAAGTGACACAAATTGAAATAGGAAGAATGTTGATTTTATTATCAAGACAACGCAATGACGAATTAGTGCATGAACTATGTACAAAGGTAGTGTGGAAGGTGTGGTACAATTGGACCTTCGAAACATCAAACCTTTCGCCTCCTGTTCATCGTTAAAAATTTGCTCAGCTGACTAGACAAACTAGAAGATGTTATCGACTGACCTCTTTTTGTGGCCTGAGACGCCAGTTTCAACTGCCACTCCACGACGCTTGCCAGCATTATGATCATCGCCAATGCTATTGGCAATAACATTGCGCAAGGAAGGAACACACATGCGACCGGTCCTGCGTGGATGCAAAGCTGGCGTAGGAGGCAGAGTGGTCGAAGGAGGTGCGGGTGAGCTCTGTGGCACCGAGATTGGCAAGGACTGAGATTCGTTCAGAGGTAGTGTTGAAACCTTGGGGAAAGTGTCTGCGGGAAGCTGAGATGAAGAAATCGATGGAGTTGCGGGGGATTCGTTTGGAGGTAGCGCTGAAGCTCCAGGGAAAGTGTCTGTGGGAAGGCTAGGTGGAGAGAGTGGTGGAGTTGTCGGAGACGATGGTGAATTGAGAGCAGATGCAGGACTGTGTGGGTAGGGAGGTAAGAGCGGCAAGTCTGGATTCCCACCTGACATGTCAAATGCATCTATTTGAGCGGTGAGTCCCTCCCAGAAATAATCATCTTGCCAGATGTCGGTGGAGTTTCCAGGAAGGTCGGACTTGGATGCATCTGGGATGCTATCCAATGGCGCAGTAGTAAGCGAACTTGAAGTCACATGACTAAATGTGTCATCGTGTCGATTTCCTAACTCTACACGATCGCCGCCATCACCATCATTCAGATCTTCCACACCTCCTACCTTTGCCTTTAAACTTGGTGCAGCATCTGCTGTTGATTTGGATAGGTGAGTCAGACAGGCTATCGCTAGGAAACATCTGAACTTACGATAGACGCGGTACAGGTAATCTCGCAAAGGAGACATGATATTGTTCTCGAAGTCCGGATATACCTTGCCAAAGTCATTTCCGAACTTCGTTTTACCTACATGGAAACTTCATACCCAAGGTGAGTACTACATTCTACAGATTAGCGTAGTTGACTTGCCTGTAGACATCAATCAATCCACCAAGCTCTGGAGAAGGGCCACTTGCCAGGAGGGAGAACAAGAAGCCTGTCGCATCTGCAAGTCCCTTCAAAAATTTGTTCACCATAGCGGCAAGTTTTTCTAGATTTCTATGAAGTCGTGTTAGCTGATTGACAGATCCAAATTTCTGAATCATTACTTTCCGTAATCGTCTTCCGACCACATCCCGACCTTCTCATTATCTTTGCGCATCTTTGCATCCTCGATGTACCTCCGCACCTCCGCCTTAACCTCATTGGTCTCTACTTCGTAGAGGTTCGCTGTCTCCTTTTTGACGATGGCGACTTGCATTCCATTTGTGAGTGCCTTATTTTTGGCTTGCAGCGCTTCAGCCTCTACCTTTAGTTTGTTATCGACTATTGATTTTACGCGCCTCTGGTAGTACAGTTTAGAATACGCCTCAACTTCCTGAAGGGAGCGCGTGGGCTTTTCGCCCTCGGTGACACTCTTCAGCACTGCGCTGAAGACGTTCGCGGCCTCGGCCTTTGCTTGGCGACCTGTCTTTGTGGCCCCAAGGCTGTTTTTGAAACGGTTTTCTAATTTCTGTAAGCCCCCGTTAGTTTGATCGCTTCAACGGGTCATTTGTTGTGACAACATACCTTTTTCCTGTCAGCTTCAGCCTGATCCCACCTGGGTTGCCCAATAAGTAAGGCTTATAATACTGGGCGATCATGTGCCTCGCCTAGGCTTACAATAGTGAATTGCATCAAATCCCAACACCGGCATTAAACACTACCCTAAATACTGTGATACCTTAGGCGTAAGTACCAGCTGGATGTGTATATCGACACCAGCATTAAATATCGCCCTAAATAATGGCCTGTATACTATGTGTCGACACCGGCATTAAATACTGCCCTAAATAAACCTAATATTTTGTAATGACCGGGAGATTCTGACGACTGTATTATCATTATCTAAGGTATTCCTATCCTTAATATTCCCACTGTGTCCTCCTCCTCAACGTTGACGTTGAGCTCACCAATGTCGAGCTCTCTTTCCCGCACGTCCTCCTCCTCAACGTTGAGCTCTCTTTCCCGCACGTCCTCCTCCTCAATGTTGATGTTGAGCTCGCCAACATCGAGCTCTCTTTCCCGCATGTCCTCCTCCTCAACATTGACATTGAGCTCGCCAACGTCAAGCACTCTTTCCCGCATGTCCTCCTCCTCAATGTGGGCATTGAGCTTGCCAACATCGAGCTCTCTCAGAGTCTCTTTCATGCTTGCTCTTGCAAACGTCGAGCTCTCTCTCTTTCCTGCCGGCTCTTGCGAACGTCAAGCTCTCTTTCCCATGTGTCCTGGTTTCTTTCTGCATGCATGCGTGCTCTGTCTGCCTCTGTCCATTCTCCCCCATCCCCAAGTGCCCTGCCCTGCCTGTCCATTCTCCACCATGAGCCTCACTATCCCGCTCAGCGCGCCACGATGATGGCCTTATCATATTATATATCCCGCTCGCGCGCCATGATTGTGGCCTTATCATACTATGTATTTATGCTCGCACGCCACGACAATGGCCTTATCATACTATGTATCCCGCTCGCGCGCCACAATGATGGCCTTATGAATAAAATTAAATGACACTATACTACCCAGAAGGATATGTGAAGAGTTGTGCAAGTAAAATGATAGTACAAAGTTTCCATAGTGCAAAGTTTGTTGAGAGTATGAAATTCAGTGGTTTAAGCAGGCCCACTCAAAAGCCAATTCAAGCTCACAATAGCTTGTTCGTAATCAAAATCAGGAAACAGGGTGTCAACAAAACCTGTACTATTGGGGGATGAAGGCAAATTTGGCCCATTGGCGCTAGTTGACGCCAAAGGGTGAAACGGATCAGGTTGTCCAGCCTGTGAGACAGGTATGTCGTTGAGAGGTACACTGTTGAGTGTCGAGTTGTTGTGAGAGGATACAGTAGTACTATCTATGTCATCCTTGTCCTCAACAGTAGCAGGGCTTGTGTATGCCTTCTTGCGGGGCCTTGAGGTCACATTCTCATTGGGAGAAAGAGCGTGGCACCGCTTCTTACCCTTATCCGAGCGAGGCCGGCAGCGGTGTTCGACAACCTCATCACTGCTGAGCTTGCTGTTTCGCTCCTCATTGAGCTCCTGGAACTCCTCGTTGTCTAGCTGTCACCAAGCAGTTTCTCCAGACCTCCATCTCTCTTTAAGGTTCTCCAGAGCGGTGATTCCACTGGCCGCTTTGCTAAGGTTGTCGAATGGGATCTCGTCAGGCCACCCCTCAACTATGACCTGATAGCGTGAAACAACATTGCGCCAATAATGTACCCACTGCATTGTTGCCTTCGGGTTCTTCGTAATTTGCTCTGTGAAATACGAGTGAGCAATGAGTGAGAATGTGAAAATTTGAGGGACCTAAGTAACTTACGAAGTTTATTGTTGATCAATTGACGGATCTCACCGCGAAGATTACAACAGCGTTGTTGATGGTTTTTAGCAGCACCTGCAAAGAATTAGTGATATATCAAAAGGAGCAACAAAAAATCTCACCGCGTATACCATGAAGTGCGAAGCCTTCCATCTTGGTGACGAACTCTTGGTTATCAACATCCATCACAGACTCCATGAAATTATCAACACCCTCTGTCGCAAAGGCAATTCCATGAAGGGGGAGATCAGTCGAGCCACGCGTCATATACAGTATCGTCTCTGTGCCCGTCTGGCACCTTAAGCTATTTAACTGCGTGAATTTGTTAGCCAATGTTGTCAAAAATAAAGAAATGTACACCTCATTTTCAATGGTCTTGAGGGTTTGAGTAACGTCGTTGACCTTTGACTTCGTGGAGATACGAACTCCATTGGTCTTTGTAGCCCTGTGTTTCTTGTACTCCTTGAGAATGGAGTCTTTTTCATCCTTGGAGAGAGTGTGGTACTCCACACGATGCTCGTTGATAAGCTCTGGTAGTAATGCCTTGCCGGAGGGCCCTTGAAAAATGTTCATCAATAAGAATAGAATAGACTACCGAGAGAAAAAATACCATTTTCCTTGTCAACACTCTGATTCTTTTTCCAGCAAAAGGCATTCCAAGCACTCAATTTCAAGCGCTTGTTCCGCAAAAGGCTTTGGCCCATGTACAGTTCGTGTTGTACCTGACAGATACTCTTGTGGTTAGAGGCCGCGATCGCCTTGACAGATTTGTTGATGTCGGCCCAAACATTGTGGATGGCAGTCTTGAAACAGTGCGATTTTTCATGATGCGAGGCAGTAAGTATAGCTCGCGCTTCCTTGCTCAGGTGGACCCTTGGACGGCGACGTCCTAAGGGTTGGACATGCATTTTGCCACCGCTCAATGGAAGAAAAGACTGAGAACTCATTGCCTGATATTCTGAATTAGCTCGGGGGTGTATATAGATTTTAAAACACAAACACATGATAGATTCAACTGTGCCAGAAGGGTTGCATAATACGCTAGTGATCTACATTTGCCAAACAAACATGACAGGGCTGACAGATTACTACACGAATAAAAGACCAAAGAAGTAAAGTGTGCACAGGCAAACCACAATCATAAGCCACAGTAAAATTTTCTTCAAGATTGATACCAACTGACAAGTCATTTAGCAACCACCAGAGTGTACTGTATTAAGGGGTCTTCGCACCTTGGAATTCACACCCAATGTCTGCAACTGTAGATCAGCATTGAGTGCCCTCGCAAGGTTGGCAGCTTGCTCGAAAGTAAAGGCCCATTTCGGAGATCTAAGAACAGTTTCCCAACGGCTGCTGCGTACAGTCGCCATTAGCTCACAGAGCTTGGGAATCACCTCATCGCCCATTTTGAAGCGATCAAGCACTGCATCGGTGTGTGGGCCGATGCTAATGATTGGTGAGCCATCAACAGGAAATTTATGAGGGAGGTCAGGGTACATGAACCCCGAGGTCCGTTGTTTCGGTCCATCGCTAGTGTCATCTTTGACGTTCTTCGGAAGTGAAAACAAATTGGCATATTGATGCTGACGGGCCTTTGGGCTTCCAGCGGGCACAGTATGGGCGCCTGAAGCAAGTGCTATGGCATGTTGAACAACTGCTGACTGCTGGTGAGCGCCGGAACTATCCTTTGACTTGGTAGTAGACTGAGTCTCAAAGTTGTAGCTTAAAGCTTTTGAAGGGCGTGCAGAACATTGAATATGGGAGCCAGTGTGAACAAGGGGGTTGGTAAAACTTGAGACCCAGTTGGGTTGACTTGAGCAGCTGGATCTATGTACAAATCAAGTTAGTATAATAAGGTGAAAAATTAGAAATGCAAACTGACAGCGATGAGGAGCTTGCACGCCCTCAATACGGCAGCGCTCTGTAAAGCGTCGAAGATGGGGCATTGCGAACTCCTCACAAAATGCTTGCACCAGGACTGATACATCCCCTCCGATTCGTTCAGGGACCTCATGAAGCTCGCGAGGTGTAATATAGAGATCCACAGCAATACGTTCAGCCGACAGAGTGCTTGTAGCGTTAGACCCAGGGCAGCAAATGAGAAGTGAGATTCCACCATCTAGACGGTCTTGCATGCAAACCTAGGATACGTCCTTGAGAAACTGTACAGACTAAAGTAAGAAATCAAACTCACTGCATCAAAAATGTCTTGGAGTGCAGCCTCCACAAATTCCTCGTGTGTGATCATTCTTTTATCAGGGGATGTTAGCGCCTCGTTGAATGCAATGTATGAAGGGTGAAGTCCAGCGGGGTTCCTTGTATGATAATGTGTGCCATCCAAATGTGAGTTGTGCCTAAGCAAAGCATGGGCAGCAGCCTGCCGTTCTGAATTGCTGTAACCTGGTGTGAATGAACTAGAATGAAGAGCTGTGACACTCGCAAGTGTGAAACGCTGTCTAGTGAAGTGATCTAAGTCTGATCTACGCGCATCGGTGGCTTCAGCTCGTCCTGGTAGCACTGAGCTTGGGGCATTTTTGAGGGTCGACATGTGTGTCGAAGAGTGTGGAAGGCAAAGAATGTGTGAGTAGTGAGGCGTCCAAATTAAAAATACCGGCACTAGTATACATGTAGATAAGATGAGAGGAAAGAGAAATAATCCATACCAGCATGCACCTCAGCTGGCCTTGCATATACATGGTATATGCAGCAGGTCATTAATTGTGAGATGAATGGCAGGCTAGATCATTGATGTAGGAGTTGTCAGTCTTGTATTGGTGTAGTGCCACAAAGTAAGTAACGGCCAGTGAACATCGACGTGTTGACAGCCGTCATGTAAGCAAGTAAGCCTCAATTACACTAACACTTGCATGTAAAGACCTTCACATAGATTTAACTGGTGAACGTTACCTTGAACATTGATGTGTCGACTCTTGCTGTTCTAAAGCAGATCTGCAGACTGCTGCTCTCGCTGTTAGTGAACATCGACGTGTCGACAGCTGTCATGTAAGTAAGCCTGACTCAATTAATTACTCTACATTATATACTTTCAGACTGCCGCTCTCACTGTTCTAATGCAGAACAATGTTCATGTGCTGAACCTCCACATAGACTGCTCACAGTTCCGACAATTAAAAAGGGTCTTTCTTTCATGCTCGTCCAGGCCTTAAGAAGATTCAAGGCTTGTATATTAACCCCTCGCTTCGAGGACAGATGTTCTGCGGTACAAAAATATACGGTCAAGAAAGTCGTCAATCAACAATAGATGCTATGAAATCAGCGACATCCTGTGTAACTTGCAGTTGTTCCTCATGCTCCAGCACATCCTCATCACCATACTCAGACGAGATTATATCACGAGCCGCTTCAGCTTCTGTGTAAGTTGTGACTTAGTTGATGTAAAATTATGAAGAAAACATATAGTACACACCATCCAAGTGACTTCTAGCTCGTTCTGGGATAGAATGGGGCTCGTTGATGATAGCCCCAATCTTGACACCGATACCTTGAGTACCTGAGAAACCTCATTGAAGTTCAATCTGATCCAGCCGGAAGGCATGTATGGCATTGACACCAATCTGCGATTTCCATTGCCTTTGTAGCTCAAGACTTGGCAGAGGATTGGAGACAAAAAGCTCGTTAATGATGGCAGTTGTTTTCGCTTCCTCATCATGAATTGATGTGCGAAGGTGCCTAACCTCTACATTGAGACGCTCAATCTCCTCATGTGCACGACGGAGCTTAAAATATTTGACAGTCGCCTCCCGATGAGCAGGCTTTGCCCAGTCTAGCTCACAAATATCAGCGCGAGACTGGCAGAGTAAATCGAACTTGCCCAGGAAGGTATATTCCGTGATGTCTTTCCAAGACAAAGACGGACGTGGGGGAGCTAGTGCAGCTGCTTGTACGTTGTAATGGCTCAGTGCATTTCGAATTGCTTCAGAGTGTCGTTGCAAGGCCTTTCCGATTTGCTGACGTAGTTTGTAGCCTTGCAAGTATTAGAATCAAGAACAAATAACAATCAATTGAGTCCATACCTGTGCCTGAAAGTGAAAGCTTCGAAAGTTCAAACAAACGCATGACAACTAAACACTCGAGTTCATCTAATGCAACGCGATATCGGCGCAGGGATGTTTCTCGCTTGTATTTATTGTAAGTATCCTCCCCGATCGCCCACCGTTCTTCTACTTGAAGTTGCATCTCCACATGAGCGGTAAGTGCTTCCGCATTCTGTAGTTTGGCGTATGCAGAGTCAACACGAATTCTGGCCTGGGAAAGAGCAGCCAAAATCTGGTTAAGGTCGCCAACTGGAATTGTCGTTAACACCTGATTGCCAGCTTCTTGGGCTAATTCCCACTCCAAACTTGGGTGACTGAGTCAGAGAAAATCTATGAAAATGATCGGTGTAATACTCACTGTCACTCTGCTAATTCATCGAGGACTTCGACGTAGCGGATCTGAAGGAGTTCTTTTGGAGGTGGAGTCTTGAGGCTGTCCAGATATAATCGTTCTTCAGAGTGAAATCAAATGAAGTCAGCATCCGTCAAGCCAAGATTGTCTTTCAGGACCGAAAGTTCAGCTGTAAGGGTGTGGATTGAAGTTAGTGCTTCTCGATAATGGTTCCATAAGAAATTGCCTTGAAATGTAGAAATTAGTTACTGTTCGGTTCGAAAGGAACACCATACTTAATGCGGCATATTTATCTGCATCCCAGAATGCAAAGTGTTCCTCAATGGTCTGGTGCCGGTGGAATACAGACGCATGCCTAGTACTCCGTGCAAGTTCATTCGAGGCTGAGAACACATGCTCACACCCCTCACCTTCCATATGACCTGTCCCATCAATATACATCGGGTGCCAGTCTAGCTGGCACCGCCGGTTATGAGCGTGGCCATGGAACACACCCACCATCATCTGCAGGTTGAGGGCATGTGCACATCGTCCCAAACTGCTGTTTGCCATTGTCTTGGCAAACGCACATCCAATGTCATATGCGCAGCCCCCCTTTTCCCCCAAGACAGACGTCAGACAATCAAGCAGAGCCAATGGGTACTTTGCCCTGATAGATATGGTGAGTGCCATACAATGACAAGAAAAATACACTCACAATTCACCGCTTCATACCATATCGCAAGCGAGAAGGACGAATCGGTGCCGACACGCTGCAATAAAGATGCCTGATTCCTCAAACACTGCAAACATTTTTTTATGTTGCTCAGGGCCAGCATTCCTCCACCTGTCCATGCAGTTAAATTCGGAACCTTGAGTCTCGTGCCCAACATCCTCCCAGTCATCAAGCCTTGCACGGTTCGAGGTTCCAGACTATAGCTATTATGGCAGTATTGTACAGTATGACATAGAAATCATGTACTGTTGGCGCCCTCACATCATTCTGAAATTTATCAACGGCTATTCGGTCAACCCAGTAATCCGAACGAGCCTGCCATGAGTCTTCTTGTGCGGCTGTTCCGTAAGTTGATGACGCCCATCTTTTGAGGCTGTTGTTGCCATCTACAGTTGTGAGCCAATCAAACACAAGTGGGCGCTCGCCTTCCAATTTATAGAAGCAACAGGGACATGCATTCTGAAGTCACCAGTTTGGGGCCGTTCGGCCGAGAGCTTCATCTAGGCGACGCTTTACACGATATAGAATCTCGAGGTAGACATCATAAGCGGCAGAGAACTGGGTGTTTAAATATGGGCAATAAGGCACCTATGGGCAGTATGAGACCACTTCGTATTGATGATAATGAGAAAACGTACATCATGAAGGTGGCAGAGTGTTTTGCATTGGGCTTGAATGCTAAATCGTGGGCAGGTTTGGTGAGACTGGCGGTATGCTGCCAGAGTGCGCAGGGAGATGGCAACCAATGGGTACAGAGGAGAGCAGCCTAGATAACCGTAATAAATCAAGGTTTTGTTTGGATACATGTGCGATGGTCATGGCCGTAATGTTGTTCTCTGTCGACCTATTGATCATATGATTGAGACACTGATTGATGAAATTAGTAGCACGCACCAAACATATTGACTAGTTCGATGTCAGCAAGCGAGAGACAATTACGTTCATCAGACATCATGACAGTGTCCAGAATACTCGGCATGCCATTGCCTTCATCCCGAGCACAATAATCCAAATACATGTCAACAAGGACGTCGAGTTGATTATCCCAATTTCCAGTCTGGATCTCAATGTGATCATGACGGGTTCAAGGGTCCACATAGCGACTACAAGAAATTGATGAGTGAAAGCAGCATGAAACAACAGTACACACCATCCTGATAACAATGCGACTTGTTGTGATAGACCAGCAAATTCCTCATGCTCGCCACCCTCGTGGCTGAGATCCATTCCTTCTTCCCCCGGCAGCACTGGAAAGTCGGCATTGAAATTAATGCCATTGTCAGATATCATCATCATGACTGCATTCCGATCCTCAGTCGACATTTCTGTAATCTGAATGAGCTAGATAGAACTATTAGTTGAAAAAGGTACCTTGCAATTGCATCTGTCTTTTCATAGTCGCCTCCTCCTTGCGCTGGCTTTGTTTACCTGCCGTCAATACTCCAGACAGCCGGGTTGAGCCATGATAGTGATGTTTGATGGTAGCGCATGACAGTCCTGAGACTTTCTTTGAAGAGGCGCCACAGGAGGCCATGTTGAACAGATATAGCGAGGCCCGTGTAGTGGAGAATGAACAGGCAGGCAGGGCACGTGGGTATAGGTGTGGGGGAGAATGGACGTGCAGACAGAGCACAAGGGCACGCAGGAAGAAACCAGTCTCGGCTCGATGGCTATGAGCTCTATGTTGGCGAGCTCGACAATGTTCAGGATGTAGAGCAAGCAGGGGGGAGAGAGAGCTCAATGTTGGCAAGCTCAATACCCATGTTGAGGAGGAGGATGTGTGGGAAAGAGAGCTCAATGTTGGTGAGCTCAACGTCAATGTTGAGGAGGAGGACGTGCGGGAAAGAGAGCTCGACATTGGTGAGCTCAATGTCAACGTTGGTGAGCTCAACGTCAACATTGAGGAGGAGGACACGTGGGAATATTAAGGATAGGAATACCTTAGATAATGATAATACAGTCGTCAGAATCTCCCGGTCGTTACAAAATATTAGGTTTATTTAGGGCAGTATTTAATGCCGGTGTCGACACATAGTATACAGGCCATTATTGAGGGCGATATTTAATGCTGGTGTCGATATACACATCCAGCGGTACTTACGCCTAAGGTATCACAGTATTTAGGGTAGTGTTTAATGCCGGTGTTGGGATTTGATGCAATTCACTATTGTAAGCCTAGGTGAGGCACATGATCGCCCAGTATTATAAGCCTTACTTATTGGGCAACCCAGGTGCCTGATCCATGACGATGATCTCATCCCTGGTCAGGGGCCCAATGAGGGGCAGTGTAGTTGGCCTTGGCTCCGGGAATACTTCAAGCCACTCTCCCACCAAGTCGGTAAAGAAATTCGCCCAGTTTTTAGCTTTGTCTGATTGTTTTTCATGGTACTTCTCATACCATGGACTCAGCCATTCCTCCTGTTCGGAAGAGGTCCATTTCCAGGGTGCCATCTATATCAGGTGTTATGCAATGAGCCCTGTCATTTCGAAAAAGTTCACGTACATTGCTTCACACAATCATGGGATGGGTATGTTTACTTGGCAAGGGTTGAACAATTACAGTTCAGTCATTGGGCCCCCAAACATCCCACGCACGGGCCATGACAGTAGCAAGCGCACCCATATTTTATAAGTAGCATGCGCACTGGTAATTTGACTCTATTCATGTGCGTAGTCAATTATGTACCGACTACCGAGATGCTCAAATCTTGATCCCCTTCTGATACATCAGCTCTCCCAACAAGTGTGCCGTTGTAAGCTCGGGAACTCCTCCAGACATTTCAAGGATCTGAATGTCCTCCAAATACGCAACACTAGTCCTTAGGAATCGCGAGACTGAGTATGCAGCGTGCCACTCAGGTGAGACTCCACAAAAATTGAGAATCTGGTCTTGAGCAGGGATTACACGTTTGAGTAGTTTTTTGATCTCGGCAATTGAGTTTGCAATTATCGAGATATCACCCTTAGTCGTGCGATCATCTGGGATGCTCTCGACAACTTGGCCAGTTCACCCTCAGCGAATTTGCATGGGTCAGCACCAATCAATTTGAGCATGTCATCCTTGGCGTGTTTGATAGCGAGTAAGCAGCTTGGAAGATCTGATCTATTAGATGAGTCAATAACTTGTGTTCCTATTTTTAAAACAAGAATAGAACTTACAGTGTGTCAATTTCATCATCATCACTGGAATCGTCGGTGTCCAGTTCAGATTCATCGTCATCGTCACAACCATGCAAGGCTTTCTTTACAGCTCTCGCAATCTCTTTTGATAATGCATCTGCTTCCTTGTCGCATTTCTTTATGCACAGTATGAAGATCCTTCCGCCTTTGTAAAATATCGCCTCTATGTCTTCACAAGTTACAAATGGGTGTCAGGAACAGTGTCGGGAACAATTCATAAAACTATGACATACTTGGCATAATAGTGCTGGTGCTTTTCTCTTGCAGCCTCCATCTTTGCTTGGAGTGTTTTATGAACGACCAGACGAGCCATTGATGTTTGTTGGAGAGTGTTTAAGTTGACAATTGTAGTTGTGGTGGTTCAAAATTTAAAGGTTGAAAAGAAGCAGAGGTGAAAGAAGCTTCTGGAGTTTGCCTCACTCAGACGCATAGCTGGAACTTGGTACGACCAAAATAAATACATTGTATTATATGTGCTGTATATCCTATTGAGTCATATTATAGCAGAATGTGTACTGTATTAATTAAGTAGGCCTTCCAGAGTCGTATGTACAAGGTGCTTTATTTCATCACATTATTGCTGTGAATGGTGGCAGTAATGGTCGTACTAATACTTATAAGTACCACTACAGGTAATCATTACTGTCTCGATAGCGCTCTTCAGTCCGACCAAAACTCATTGCTTGACTGTTTCGGGTTTTGGGTGATTAAAACTTAGCAGAATGCATGCAGTATCAACTATGTAGGCCTTCCAGAGTCATACAGTGGACTTTGTTTCATCAATATGACCACTATGAATGGTGGTGGTAATGGTCGTATCACAATATTAGTGCTCTTCAGTCTGACCAAAACTCATTACTCAACCATTTCAAGTTGTAGGTGGTTATAACTTAATTTCACACAACTGTCAGTGTCTCTGGCTCTCCCACCTACTAGTAAGCTTTCAATCTCATCCTATAAGGCCATGACTGCAAATTGGCGCAGTCTCTGTAGTTGTACATGTGTTATTCAATCATCACTTGATCATGCTCGCTCACAAGTTCATTATGTCAATTTGTAGCTTCTTTGATGGATTCGTAATTCTACATGCTTGGATATATCAACAGCACGCATACCGTGAGGCAACTGTGTGACAACGTCCACTACACCTTCAACTGTTTGCTCACAAATTACAATGGTGGCTAGAGCAGGTGGTCGTCCCAGCAAGAAGCCCCGTCTAGTTCGCTCAAGCTATTCTCTGCCACATTCTGTTGGACAATCTTCTCAAAATGTCCACCATCACCGAATATTGACCGCACAACCTACTGGACAAATAAATCTATGCACGAGATATCTTGATGCAGTCCTACCTGCCAGTGACGTCTCTGACGCTGAGAACGATGATGGTGCTAACAGTCACGACATGGATCCCTGGAACGAGACTCAATACAATGACAGTGAGCCTCAGGCTCATGACGATGTCTTTGTTGTGAAAGAAAAACAAAAGCGGACTGCTGGAGTGAGTAGAAATCCTTTCGATTTTTCCCAAAGAAAACAATGAAACTGACTTCCATGTTATCTATTTAAATAGGATGATCCAATGGGCCTCTGGGTGCATGAATGCCAACATTATCTAGACGAATTCATTCGATTAGAAGGGCGTGGAAGAATGCATCATGCATGCCATGTCTGCGGAGACTCAGATGCACTTTATCGTTGTGAAGATTGCTTTTCGGTCAATTTATTTTGCTGCTCGTGCATGATTACACTGCACCAGAATTTACCGCTTCATTAAGTCAAGGTCAGCATTTTGAATATTCAGTGTTCTTTTTCTGATATCATCATTTTAGAAATGGCAGGACGGATATTTTCACTCTGCAACTTTGAAGCAACTCAGATTGCGCATCCAATTGGGAGACAACACTGAGAAACCTTGTCACAATCCCAAACCTGCCAGAAACAATGACTTTGTCATAATTGATGTCCATGGAATACACGAGGTCGCACTAGACTTCTGTGATTGCGCAAATGCATCCTCCCACTACAGACAACTTCTCCGCAGGCGGTTGTATCCAGCAACTTCAACTGACCCAAGGACCGCTGCAACATTCGCAGTACTCGAACATTTTCACCTCCTATCGTTTGAGTCCAAAAGCTCTGCGTATGAGTTTTACCACTCCCTCGCATGTGAAAGTGATAACACAGGCATAGCACCCATCAAGGTAAGATTCATTCCTTACTTCAGTTGCACTGTGCCAGCCACTAACCAATCTACGCACACAGGATCGCTATTCAGTTTTTTTGAGAATCATGAAACAATGGCGGAATCTCAAGTCATTGAAACGATCAGGTCGCGGTCACGACCCTGCTGGAGTGGGTGCGACACAAGAAGGTCAATTAGCAGTCCTATGCCCTGCATGCCTGCAGTTTGGAAAAAATGTCCCTAACGACCTGGAAGATATCAGTCCAAACCAACGGTGTGTTTCCTTCTATCTACTTGTTCTAATTATTCACTGACGAGCTACTCACAGTTGGCTTTACTCATTATTCTTGGCAATTGACGCCAATTTTCAGTCTCAAGCGTCGTTTCATATTGAATGATGTCAAGGATCCCAGACTAAGTCATGGATGGGGTTATTTCATGGAAGAACGACAGTATAAGGCACACCTTCACAATCATGCAGACAAGGTGCAAGAGGTACGTCGTTGAAACTGAATATAATTCTTGTAGACTAATATATAGTTTAGAAGAGCTCGTGTGTCAGCCACAATGCCATCAACATGGCAAACACAAAAACCTCCATAGGTTCAGTTGTTTGCGCACGGCATGACATGCGGCTGGCTAATGGTGTTGGTGATTTATAAAAGGGCGAAAAGTAAGTGATTTCAAAGACAGCATTGCAACAGGTACTTATGATAGTCTGTCGGATATATCAAAATGGACTACATTGTCTTTTCTGCCCTATCTACTTTTTCATCCGCCCCCATAGTCAACTTTTCATATGATATTGCCTGTCAGTGGCATAAAAACCTCTGGCGATGTGTTCCAACTGCCCTTCCCTTGCAACTCCAGCCCAATCACACACAAACCACCTTCAACTTCTTCATACCAAAGTTCCATATCACCGCTCATATTCCCACTTGTCAAATTAACTTCTCCTTCAACTGGACGCCAGGAGTTGGTCGGACAGACGGGGAAGTGCCAGAGCGCGGATGGGCTGATATCAACCATATTGCTGCCAGTACGAAGGAAATGGGTCCTGGCAGCCATAGAGACATTCTTGATGACCATTTCGGGGACTGGAACTGGAAAAAGGTGGCTACACTTGGTATGTCTTCAAAAAGGTTCTCATTGACAGGAATTAACTACAGTTTTGTTATTTCAAAGGTCGGGTCTTGCTCCATAAGATCAAGGAAGCCGTCAAAGCCGAAAAAGAGCATCGACACGCCCTTACAGAGTTGGAAGAGTCCATCAAGGACTCAGACCTAGGTGTTGCCTCGCTCACCACTTGGACAAGCGAAGTCGTAGCATGGGAGTTGGACCACACGAAACCAAATCCATTTGAGAGCAGGATTACAGGTGATTTTTTTCATCTTCTCTCAAGTTCATAGTCTCATCAAAATTTCAGCTGTAACCCAACCTGCTGTTCGTTTAGAGCTGGTAATGCAAGATACACAGGATCTAGAGGATGGATCTTTGGTTTCTCTCCATTCTCATGTGACACCGAGCATTCTTATCAGTACTGGTCTAGATCTCGAGCATGCACAGTAGGTGGCAAGTGGATTTTGAATGGTACTAAACTGATTTCATTTGTAGGCGGTGACTCCGTGTGGATAACGGGAACTTGAGTCAACATGCAACAAACGAGCAGCAAGCAAATGCCCTGGCATGCAGCAATAGTCTCCAGCGTCGAATTGAAGCATGGACCGAGATTCAAGTTTTATACATGCCATCTGTATCTTGACTATGCACTACTGGTATTGGCCTTGCTCATCCACTCAATAGTACTCGATCCAGCAATGAAGAAGAGAGTGGGTGTCCAGGGCCGAAGCCCAACTCTGCCAAACCCGAAGATTTTCAGCTACTATTCCCTTCCGACATCTGCGACTTCACAATGTGCGATCCGAAGCTTCTTCAAATGGAGTGGTCCTTGCATTTTGCGCAGGCCAACGATGCTCTGGATGAGTGTCGTTCCCATATTTGCCTTTGCCATCAACTCTTGTGGTTTAAAAGCTGACACCTACGTGGACAAAGTGCAAACACTCGCGTGCAGAGGACTGTCCAAGCCGTGGAGAAGCGGCTGGTTCTCAGCCATGATAAATATTCACGTGCTCGTAGTGCACTGGTTTGCCTTTCAAGGCACCTTGATCGTGTCGGGTGGGATCACAAGTTTCAAGTATTGAAAAAATCCGACCTCAGACCAATAGGCGATCTTGGGGGACAGACTCAGGGCACGGCAATCATGTCGTGGATCTGGCTTACTCATGGGATCTCTTCACATGACAGCGAGGGGCTGCAAGACTGTAAGTGCTTGCGCAGCGATGTTTTCATTCAGAGTTGTACTCATTTTATGATGGATTTAGCACTCCGCGTTGAATGGTGTAAGACAAGGGCTCGACATACCAGATGGTTAGAAGAAATCCAGCTACTGCTAGTAGAAATGCACCGCGTGTTGGCATTCTTCACATGGGAAGCCAAATGTTGGGACGAGCGAGCAATCCTTCGTGTGGTGGACCGATCAGAGGATGCAGAGGGGTTGATAGCATATGGAAAGCGCCAGGCTGCTATCCATCGTGCCTTGTCTGCGAGCTTCTCTGAGATGTGGTCTAACATTGGAGCTCTGGTAAGTGCAGGTTTGGATGATGGTGCAGAAGACCAGGAGGATGACGGACCGTCTATTAATGAACCTCCCCATGAAGATCTTGATGGGGTTGATTAATGTCTATTCTGTACCTTCATATGTAGTCATCGTTAATCAATCTTGGATCTCAGATTCTCAAAAATGCTCGATATTTACAGTGCAGCCCGGGCACCCTCCATTAAAGCAATGTACCGGTTCTTCACCGGTTCTTCGGATGGAGAATCATGGCGCGATCTCAAATATGCATAGACCACTAGCCTACAGGGATGTATTCTAGTTTTAGGGCTATAGCCCATAGTGATATATTCATACACCAAGATGGGGTGAAGGGATAGGTGTTACTAATAGCCTATATAACATCAGTATGGTATACATGCCCCCCAGAAAAAAGGAAAAGGTTCTGTCAATGAACACTATTAGCGTGAGGATCGGAATCTAGGCAATAAACACTTACAAAGACAGTTTGGCCAGAGCGAAGAGGCCCGAAGACTTACATACTTGGGATGTCGTTGGACTTGAAATGTGATGCAGTGGTGATGATCCATGGAAGAACGGTTCAAGAACCTGAGCAAAAGCTTTGAGGGAATTTGAACCACAGATCATGTGACTGTGAGAGACAAATATTCCACTTTGTTTATTTGTTTACACATGTTGATAATCATAGCTGACCTAACCAGCAACTCTCATTAAACAACTCTCTGTACCAGGCCTACTTAGTGTTCCAACCTCCATCACAGCGCTGGGTGCTCCCACTGTCTATTGCCAATGGATTGGCAAGCATTGTATGTAGTGTCTAGGCAAGAACATGGGTCCATGTAACCTGCACTGGTTGCAGGTAACCGCTATTATGAACTTACTGGCAGTTCTGAGGTTTACTGTATTGCAATCCACGCTCATCTCTGTTGGTCTGCAGTTGGCGCCAGTTGTTTGCTGTGCCTGTTCACTTGTCTTCATTTGTCTCACCTGCTGACACTTGTCTGCTGATGTATGTGTGCGTATTTGGTGATCTATGTTGTTTGTTTGTCACATTGTTTGTGCATTCATTTGCGTTGTTTGTTCATTTGTTCGAGTTGTTCATTTGCATTGTTCGTCTGTTTGCATTGTTTTTGTTTGTTTGTGTCATTTGTGTGTCTGTGTTTGCATCTGTGATCTAGGTGCGCACTTTTCATCAATCTAATGCACTACATCGTTGACAAGTACTTACATGTCTATTCAGTATTGTTCAGTGCATACATGGCACTCTTTTGTGCTTGCTTGCACTGGTCTGCACCTGCCACTGCTTACTTTCAATTGTCTGTGCCTGTCTTTGCAAGTTTGTGTTTGTCTGAGCATGTCGCTGCTTGTTCCCAGCACCATAGGTGTGTTTTTTAAATCTATGTATGTATGTACTTTCATGCACTCATCCTACTCAGTTTTGCATGTTTGTGTACATTGGCACATGTCTGCGCCTGCACCCGCTTATTCCTGCATGCTTGGGCATGTCTGCATGTCTTCGTTTGTCTGTAACTGAGCGCCACTCGTTTTTGCATGTCCGCACCTGTCTGCACCTGCCCCTGCTTGGTGCCGCTTGTTTTTGCTTGCTTGCATTGGTATAGGTGCATTTTTTAATCTATGTATGTATCTACATTTATTACTAATTATATATCATTTGTAGGTGTTACCCGCGGGTAAACCCCGCACAGGTGTGGGTAGGGGTCTGAACTCATCACACCTGGCAAAAACCTGTGCCCATCAGAGCGGGTGTGGGTGTGGGTATGGGCTCTGGTACCTGGGGGTTTACCCATGCTATTGCCTGGCTACTAGTGTTCATCTTATACTGAATTTTGGTGGCATTTTCCCATGAGAGTGGATGAGTGATACGGTTCTGGATGATTGTAACACTTGGTTGAACTCATATTTAGATAGATACACTCTCTATATCTTCAAATAATTCTTGACATTTCATGATAATCACATTGTTCATTATTGTCCTTTAGCGGTTTTCTTCCTAATACTTGTAATATTAGACTATTAGATAGAATTATCTGAATAACAACATTTTTTGCTCAGGAGGGTTTTCCTGATGTAGGAAACACATTGAGTATGGAATTCATAAGAAGAAAAAATTTCCCCTATCACTACATCAAGGTGAATGGGGAGATTGCACCAGCTTCAGGAAATATTTAGCGATGTGTCGCATCAGGGAAAACCTCCTTCGGGAACTTCAGGAAGATTCACAAACTCATGTTGAAAAAAAGTTATTGTTGCTATCAGGATTTGGAGGCCATGGACTTGCTGGCATGCTGGTCAAAGTAGAACGTGTGTGCGAAGTTTGAGGATGTGAGTTAGGATGCTAGAATGCTCTGGTTCCATACCATTGTGGGGAATGTCCCCACTGTAGGCCCGTATCCCGTATAATTCCCAAGCCTTACCAGTATCTTTCCGTGTGTTCCGCTACCGTTCCGCTACCCATCCGCATCTTATCCGACCTGTCCACTACACGGAAGCAAGCGGAACACAATGGAACCAAGTGGAACAACCACGTACCACATGCATTATATCCCTTTAGCCTTCGGAATGTCCTCCTCTGTCCTGTCCCTGTCCTTCCATCCTCACTGGTGAGTCCTCGCTACGTTCCCTGTGTTACTGACATGTTGCTATCTCATTTGACATATGTTACAATACTTATACGGATCTTTCCGCTACTCGGAACCGGTTCCTTATCTCACAGCCTCACTCGGTTGTAGCATAGCGCTTTTCAGAACCCCTTCCTATATAGATAGCAATAGATGGGATCTTAGTTTTTTACCTTTTGATAGACTCGACTCCACTTCCACTTACAGAGTACTTCCCAGTACTCCACTCACTGTTTAAAATATCTTCCTGAATCTATTCCTAATCTCATTGCAATGCTCCTGCATCCGTGAGTTCCATTTGAAACACCTGACATCAGATCCGACAACTTGGAGCAAGTACCAGACACAAGCCTGGTCCGACTTTGCCCAATCTTCCCCATACAGGCTTGTAGTTTCCTTTTCCCTCCATTAGTTCTGTTTGTTCCATGTGTTAGTTCCGTTTGTTCCACTTGTTGCGTGTTAGTTCCACTTGTTGCACATTAGTTCTGCTTGTTGCGCGCTTGTTCCGTCCATTGCGCGCTTTGTTCCGCTTGTTGTGTACCTTCCGCATCAGTGCATTCCCAGTCCTAGTAAGGACCGGAACCCTTCAGGTCACTTGACAGAGTCTAGTCTTTGCTTTCCTCGCACTTACTTGAGGACTCATTACCCAGTACCAATCCCCTTGGGACAAGTATTAGTCTCGCACCCTTGTTAGACTTCTGAATCACCCCAGAGTCTATTTTCCTCACCCACACTGGTATGTGGCCAGCAAAATGTTCAAGAAGGCCGGGATGCAGCTGTTCATGCTGTCGGCTTGGAAGAATGAGGACAGAAAACTCCTGGTGTCAAGGTGTGTCAATACACCTTTATGACCGAACAACTGGATGTCTCAACAACCGACAGCCATGACTACAATGACAAGTTTGGCAATGGGGAAAGTTTCAGCAAGACAGGCAACTGGCAGGTGATATTGCCAGAGTGGGAGCCTTATGTGTCAAAACAGGATTGGTATGGGATCTGCAAGACAAGGAAGTGGAGGATGACGCCATGGTAAGGAAGGGAAGGAAGGACAACACATATGTCCTCAAAATAGGATGCAATTGATTGCCCATCCTCCAAGACCATGGCAAGATGGATTCAGACATATGGAAGGCTGTTGTCTGAGCATTCCTAAATTGGTATTATTGTGAGGCAATCCATTTGACTCTTTGGATGATCTGAGTGAAGAGGACTTGGTCAAGATTCACAATTGCATTGTGAAAAGTTGTTTCACATCTATCAACAACTTCAAACAACAGTTTTGCAACTGAATTCACACATATGATTTCAAACCAGGAGCTCTGGTCCTGTCATATACCAGATCCAACCTCCACTCTGTCCACCCTCCACTTGATCCAGTCAGCTCCCACATCTGCTCCTGCGGTCCCACTTGACTGCCTCATTGGTTACCTTCTGTATTGTTTCCATCCAACTGGAACCTCTTTCCCCATTCACAGTACCTAACAGGTCCTTGTCCTCAACAAGAAAATCAAGGCAGTATCAAATGCCAAATGCAAGCCCCATTATTTCAGTCCAATTGTCATCATTTCACAATCAAAAGGTGGCTCTTACTGACTTGCAGAAGTTGATGGCTCTATTTCCTGCCTCAAATTCGCTGCTTGCCATCTCATTCCCTATCACCCTCACTCCCCAACTTCCCTTGACATTACTTAGAATATCAATACCAAAGAACTTGCTAGTGCTATTTTAGATGAGGGATAGAGGTTTTAGTTTCATTTTGGATTTGTTATCTTGCCGTTTGTTTGTTTTCCTTGAAATTCTCACTTATTATACAATTTTTTTTAGTTAGAAGATCGACCAGGGATGGTCAATATTTGAAGTAGGGAGGTGATGTAAGGACATTATGTCCTTTACACACTGACCATGTGTCACGAATTCCAAATACGAACCATTTTTCATTTCTCAGTTTCCCTTCGGCTACTTCCAGAACCCGAACCGGTCACGTGACTCCTCACCCTGTCACACCTTCACCTCTTCACATATCACCCGTGGTTTCTCTGATTGGCTCCCCTACTCCATGGGCTAGAACAATCTCGCTTCCCAAAGAAGAACCAGTTGGAGCTTGGGTTTCTATTTAGTTGCTGTATTACTCATTTGCTTATATATCATGATGTCATACTTAGTCATCCGCAGTATTGTACGACTCTTTTCTCATTGGCTGATTTCTTTCAGACTCCTATTCAATGTTATGTATATAAGTAGGTTAGTTAGCATAAGTACTCCTTAGACTTAACCTCTTCATTTCCTACGCTTGTAGTGACTTAGACGTTCACGCTCAATACCATCTTGTTCGCTATCCTCTCTGACCGAGTCCTAGTGGTTGTGTGCTCGCCTTCATCATTATTGGTGAACGTTGGTCATAACACCATGCTTCAAAAACAAGATGCATGAACCATACGTTCAGAGTTGTCCACATGAGTCACTGAGTCATGTGGATATATCTCTTTTCATCTTACCATTCAGTACCTTACCTTGTGCTCACATTACACAATCTCTGTTCCTTCATCAAGTATTTTCACGCTCAATCCGGCTTAAACAAGTATTTGAAAAATGTATATATATGTTAGGTACCATGCTTGAATGGAGAAGTGGAGGGGTCAGGGCTTGGCTTCAGCTCTTGTGCTGCACCCTTAGCCAAGTATGTGCCCTGAATTTGGAGCAGGACCAACAATGTCCAACAATAGGACAGGCAGACCGCTTTGGTCCACTTTGCGGGTCAGGAGGTAAAGGCTACTAGCCACGGTCTGACTAGAAGCAGAGCAGGTGAAGCAGGGGAAGCGTGTTGAGGGAGAGGGAAGTCAGGGGATTGGTTGGCTGGGTCAGAGAGGTAAGAAGAGTGAATACTTAGAGCACAGCTCTAAGTTGAAGCGGGGGATTGGAGGTAACAACAAGATATACTTGTGTCTGGAGAGAGCAAAGTCCTATGAAGAATTCCCACTAGTAGAGACTGTGGGAAGACAAGTAATATTAAGACTGAGGAAAGTAGCTAAGTACATGATATGTTTTATATACTTCTAAGTAGGAGGCAGTGACCAGTAGTCCATGGTATGAGGCTATGTACCGAGTATACAACTTGTAAGTATTAACACAGGTGAAAACATAAGTCGGAGTGGATATCAATATGTATGTGACAGATCAGTAATTGAGTGGTTATAGGAAATACCAGTGATCTGGGAAGTAAGGTTTATGTGTCAAGGGGAAAGTATATACCTAAATGGGGAAAGAGGTTCCAGTTGAATGGAAACAATTCGGAAGGTAACCAATGAGGTGGTCAAGCAGGACCGCAGGAGCCAATGCAGGAGCTGACTGTATCAAGTGGAGGGCAGATGGAATGGAGGTGATGGGAAAGCAGGAGGGGTGTAGGGTCGAGTGGAGCAAATATCAATATCATCAGAGCGGACAGATCTGGTATATGACAATATACTACCAATGTACACTCATACCTACAGCAAATCTTACAGTGAGATCCCTGCTCCAAGTACAACCAAAAATCCTCTTAAAAAGTCCTCATCTCCAGTCCTAGACCAATCCCTCTTTGTGTTACCTACTAACATGTCTCATTTCTATCTTTTTTTGATCCCAATTCCCTACTGAACTCACACTCAGCCTTACACTTGTCAACACACACCAAGCTCCAGAGTATGCAGGACATACCATACCAACAAGCCATTGGGTCATTGATGTACACTGCCACAAGCACTAGACTTGATATCGTTTTTTCAGTGGCAACACTGTTGCAGTTCATGCAGAATCCTGGACGACCCTATTTGGAGGCAACAAAGCAAGTATTTTGCTACCTAACATGTACTACAGAGTATGGAATAATGTTAGAAGGGTTGGACATTGGCCTCAAGGCATATGTAGATGTGGATTTGGCATCTCAGCCTCACTGTCACTCAATGTCTAGGTATGTAGTAATGCTAAATGGTGTTCTGGGCACTTGGAGCACGCAGAAACAGCCCATCCTCACTCTGTCCACAGCAGAGGCAGAATATAGCATTGACCACAGTTGCATGCAAGGTCCTTTACTTACAACTTCTTGTCAATGAACTGTACAAACCCACATGCCTCCCCACTCCAGTGTATTGTGATAATCAAGCAGCAATCACCCTTGCATCCAATGTGAAATTCCATGCATGCACAAAGCATATTGACATCTGTTTCCACTTTGTCTGTGCACACATCAAGAATGGGACATTTTCACTAACCTATTGCCCCACTGATGACAACATTGCAGATGCCTTCACCAAGGCCCTGCCCTGACCACACCTTCAGAAATTGTGCTCCCTGATAAGCCTGGGTTGCGCTTGAGGGGGAGTGTTGAAGTCAGGAATGTTGGAGACATTGGAAGAGATGTCAGAGGTAATAGATGAGTAATGAGTTGCGAGTGCAACCAAGGGTATGAGACGACAATGCTTTGATGTTGGTCCAAACCTACCATATTGCAAAGTGTTAAGTGCTATACTACACTAATATGCCAATCTCCATGCTAGTTTACTCTAAAGATACAAGTAGTTTTGTATGAGCATCTCAGTTCATTTAGAGACTGAGATATGAGTACTGTTGATTGTTTTGTCTTACATTATGCTAACAAACCAGTAGTTATATTATCCTACTAGGTACAGCACTCAAATAACAAGTTCATTTAAAGACTGAGATTTATATTATTCTACTAGACTGATTTCTCCCACATCCGCTCACCTCTGATCACCACAACATACCCCTGATATCAATACTCTGACATATTTCTTCCTGATCCTTGCTAAGTTTAGACTTTATATATGTACTAGAAGTCAAATATAAATAGTTTGGATAGTTTGTGCAATGGTAAAACCTCAAAAACATCAGCAAATGTGCACCCCACTGGAATAGTGCTGGATACTCTGGATGCAGCTGGGCCTCTGGGTAGAACGCCCCAGCGCCACCCAGTGGATCACACAGACCTATGCCAGTATACCAGAGGATACTTAAAATTTTCACGGAGCCCAGTGGATCACACAGACCCTACCAGCCCCTATGCCAGTGAACCAGAGGATACTTAAAAATTTCACCAGTGTTGCGAGACTCAGAGTTGAAAGTCAGATATTTAGTACACACAATTACTAGACTAGTTTCCGTATGCCATGTGCTGCCAGTTGTACTTCCAAAAGCTGTGCCTTTCTTGCCTCCTCACACCTTTTGACTTCAGCATCCCAACGATCAGCAACAAGTCTATGCAAATAATTCTGAGAGACTGTCACAGGTGGCGGAGTTTGACAGTAAGGTGGGACAGGTGTTTGAGGGACCTCCAGCTCCACAGGCAAGGGAGAGCTTTGATTGATATTGTAGCCAAACTCAGACAATGCAAACCTCCGGATCAATGGTTTTCTATGACACGATAAGTATCGAGTGACCCATCGAAGATCGCGGAAAATGGTTGACTCGGAGTACTCACTTTTTGACTGGTGAAAAGCCCTGTACTGGCTTTTCACCATCCTCCAGGGATGGTGAGCGCAGGCTAAAAATCAGATCAGCATTGAGCAAGTTGACTGCTGTATGTACGAACCGGCGCTTGCCCATATTCTCTTTGTCAGAGTCCTAAGAGTTCATCAGTTACATTCTGTAGCAGTAGCCTGTTAAAATCATGCACCATAAATATAATATAAATGTCAGTAGACACTCGATGACAAGATAGAAGATGAAGAAACATAATCGAGCCAACGAAAAATGTTGCATGAAGACTCGACCGTGAGAATCAAACAACGCTTAGGTAAAGTTGCATTGAGTCCTCCTCGGTCAAAAAAAGAATGAGTTTATGCCATGACCATTTTTGTGTAGCTACTGACCTGCCTTACAGTACGAACGTGCCCTCACACTCTACAAAAGTGGGGAGAATGCTAAGGAGCTTGAAGGCGAAGATGGCGAGCCCAACTCATCCAAGCGGTCCAAGAAGCACGAATTCGACACTTACTGGGGTGCTGTGGCACGAGGATATACAGCATCAATGAGCTCAATTCTAGCTGGAAAATGGATGCGCATCATCTCGTATGCGAGCTCAGGGCAACAGACCAATAGCAGACAGGCTTTGACACTCGACATTGTTGATGATGTCATGGAAGCTCATGTGAATATCCCGATCTCAGATGATGAGGATGAGGACAATGAGTAGAGGGTAGCATGAGCCTAGCTAGGTACAGAGGATGTCTGCTAATAGAATGTCGCAAATGGTATCCAGCCTGTAATGGCTTGTTTGATGATCTGGGTTGATGTCTGGTTGGTCACTGTGTCTGGCCTGTGTCCAGAAATGTCGGTCTGTTACTGACGGGTTCTATCTGGGTCTATAGACAGGGTTGGTGCTCTGGAGAGTCTGTATCCAGCCACTCCAGATGCTGCCAGAGCATGTGCACATTTGCTGATGAATGCGACAATATGCAGTAGTATAGCCAGGGGGAGATATTCCATTCTAGAGAAGGATTTTGTTGCTATTGTCATGCAGCTATGTGATTTACATACTCTAGATATCCATAGGAACAGTCACACTACCATCCTGGAGTGCTGGAGCTGCAGGAAATCTTTTCCCAGGGGGTGAACCACCAGGAGAGGGTAAGCACATAGCACCACAGGAACTGATCCTGTTGACCTAGGCTCCTGATATGTTGCATATACTATTGAAGGGATGTTGGGGATTGTATTTCAAAGTCTATATACCTAAAGCTCAAAAATGCGTAGCTATTTTCTATTTTATGCTAGTACAGCACAGTACATGATATAGGGTGCTATATGGGGTCTAGGAAGGGCTGTAATATGTTCATATAGGTGTCTAAACGTGCTATAAACACTCTAGAACATCTACATATCAAAGCAGCCAAGAAGTGAGCATGTCTTTCATATGTTTTCCATTGTGTCACTTTTGAGGGGGCCCTGTAGCAGGTATTAAAACCAAATTGTACAAAAAAGCGGTTTATTGTGTTCTAATATATGCATATAACCTAAAATACTACTTATCTACAAGCTATATCTAATTGTGGTGTGGTGTTGAGCTAGGGTTGGGCTGGCGAGGGTGTGGGAAGGTTTGATATTGTGGAGAATACCCAAAATGAGCTATGTTTTAGGTGCTGTGAGGAAATTCCCACAGTAAGTGGCAAAAAATGCGGTAGGTAGGATTGTTCTCACCTAATGCATAAGCTGAGGGAATAATGCATCAGTGATGCACAAGTACTTGGTGGGCTTAGAATTGTAGCATTAATGCACCACTACTAACCTTACAATTACAGGGATTGATGCATCAATATGACAGGAACCTGTGAACAGAGACATCATTGTCTGGCGTGGAGAAACTGGGGAACCTCACCGAACCATCCGAGCAACATGCATCTCAGGCTCAAGTAGCAGTCATGCCCAAACTTTCAACAAAGTGTTGGTTCCACCTGCATAATCTGTGACTTTAGTCTCACTTGATCCCGCACGTTCAGGAATATTCAATGAGAGTCGTCTAATAAGTAATACACATTGTAACTACTTGGCAATTCTCGAAATATATGGTAATCTACTGACCAACACCCGGCTGTCTGCAGACAAACATTGCTCCTCCTGTTGGGCATCTCTCCCCTACCTCTTCGCATCACGCTGAGCAGTGATCCTGCACAGTTGCTGTAGCCGGACAAGATTCATATCCTCCTGCCGACTCGCCATTACCCTAATATGATCGCTAGCATGTCAACCGAGAACAATGAAAGGCACAATATCCAGAAAGCACTTACAGTGTGATATGTACAGAACACGCTGCTACTTTCGGGCGGGACATGATCATAACTGCTGGCCTATCAGTCACTTTGTTAAATGAAGATGTGTGGGTGCAACACACGTGCAATATGTGAACTGGCCATTTGTGAAGGCATCATATAGTTTCTTGGCACTACCGCAAACATTCAATGTGGCTGGGCACTGTACACACGCATTGGCGCCAGCGAGGAAGCTGAGCACAAAGATGATGGAGGGGGAAGTAAACATGATAGAATTTGTGGAAGGGAATGACGTAAAGCCATAGTAGCAGGCAGGTGTCTTATAGGCTGAAACTTCCAGTGTGAACATACCAAAGGCGTTGCTCACTTTAGATGCCCTGCTTTAGGCGAAAACAGGATGAGAAATTGGTGTGGCAAGTACTCAAAGGGATATATGCGGCACCATGGTGCGAACGAATCTCCGGTTCCCGGGCGACCTCGACTTCGCATTGCTCATCAGATATGTGCACGTTCATCTGACGTTGTGAATAACATTCTCCGTATTATGACCATCCTTGAATGGATGAAGCTCAGCACAAGGGCTGCCCGATAATGCCAAAAGTCCGGCGCAACGTTTGCGTTTTGATCTTCCACAGAAAGTTTGTGGTCAACAAGATGGAACTTCATAAGGTACGGTTGAAAAGTCGATGTCAATAAACAGGTGTTAAATATTATTTATCACCTGTTAAAAAGTCACTCCGTAATTTGGCCTGTTGGAAATTGTGGACAATTGTGGTCATGCATGGCCGGTGCGCTGTCCGGACAACTTCATAGCTGCAAAACTGAGTCCTAGATACCGTCACGGAAGGTATGGAAATGATCATAAATAAGGCCGATATCGATCACGGACGTGTCGGGGCTTCTGCCGAGTATGTGGGGAGGCAAGGGGTACCAGGCTGAAGAATGGTTATCGCTTGGGTGTGCTTACCAAGATCTCGGAGTAGGATGGAGTGCCAGTGCACGCAAGAGGATTCAGTTAACACTCTAGTGTGCCAAGCTCACCAGTCACCAATATCAGACGACGTGCTTCACTGCAGTTAGCCAGAAAAGGCGCAAAGATCTGGAAGGCGTTGGCAGTGTTCACCATGTATTCTGGTGACGGCTTCGGCATCTTGAGCAGAGCGATTTAAACCTTTCGCACATGTGTAGTGTAGCACAACTTATTGCGAAGAGATTATGTCATAGTAAGAACGACCGGTTTCATCAATCGGAAAGAACACTAAGAGGAGAGAACTGCAAAAAAAATACTGGAACAAATGTCCGGTTCGTATTGTAAGAAATTCCACATTCTGCACACAGTCATACGCGACAGGCAGCTGCTGTGTTGCTTCAAGCGGTATGAGAGAACAAATCATCATGAAATCGGCGTGGTGATGTTTTTCATAGATATCCTTCACAGAATCAGATCAAAAATCCATGGCGAAAGACGGGACTATCCCAATTTGATAAATGGCGATCTATTGATATACGCTTGGCTGCACTTCTTCACATCACACGTTCAGCAGAACTGCTGATTCTTCACAGTTGCTGTATCCGGACAAAAATTAGACCCTCCTGACCACTTTCCGTTACTCTGATATGATTACTAACATGTCAACAGAGGACAATGAGCTGCACGATACCCAGATCGCACTTATGGTGTGATACTGACAATCCACTGGAAAATTGTACCTGCCAGCCTGTCAGGAGCTGTGATGTGGCCTATGGGAAGGTAGAGCGTAGTTTCATGATTTTATGGCCGTCATTCATTATGGCTGGGCACTGTATGCACGCATTGACGACAGCGAGGAAGCTGAGTAGCACAAACATGATGGAGTTTGTGCAAGGGAATGAGGCAAAGTCATGGATAGTAGCAGGCCGGTGTGTTATAGGCTGAAGCTTCCAGCGTGAACATAAAGGCGTCGTTCGATTTGAGGCTGAGATGCCACAAGACGGAACTTCGTAGGGCACGGTTGAAAAGTCAATGTTTATAAACAGGTGCTAAACATTCCGGTTATTATTTATAATACTGCTAAAAAGTCGCTGCGTAATTTGGCCTGTTGGAAATCGTGAACAATTGTGGTCATGCATGGCCTGTCTGGACAACTGCAAAACCGAGGCCTGGATACCGTCACGGAAGGCACGAGCAGGATCATAAATCAAGCTGATGTCGATCGTGGACGTGCCGAGGCTTTCTGCCGAGGATATGGGGCAGCAAGGGGTACTAGGCTGAAGATGGCTATCGCTTGAGTATGGTTACCAAGACCTCGGAGTAGGATGGATGACATACTAATAAAAGCCAGGAGGGTTGCATCGGAAGACCAAGAGAACCAGCTAGGTTATCCAATGTACTTCCGGTCTTACGATCCCTTGAAGCGTAGATGAATATCCCGATTCGCAGGAATGCCGCGAGACAAGGAAAATAAAGACGGGCTCGCTGACGTTTTCGAGGAAGACCCCGATTTAACCACTGTCTTCGAAAAGTAGTTACGGCCTGCAGTGAAATTTTGTATGATAGTTTCTGCAGTAATGACAGGCCTGAAAAGTAAATGTCAGTAGACCATCAGGCTTACTTCATTTTCATTGTCCTACTGACGAAAAAAGTGCGCTGCCATAGCTGTGACTCGCGTGGTAAGAAAAAAGCGCAAAGAGACACAAGGTAATGGACATTGGATACCAGGCGAAAGCATAAATCGAAAAGGAAAGTTTGACCACTCTGATCAAGAGTTCCTGCATCAGCCAACATGCCGGCGAGGTTCACTAACGTAGAGGCACTGTTTGAATGTGTAATATTGTACCTTTGCAACAATTGGACCAATATCCCATTCCGATATCCTATTGTTCAGGTCATGAGCAAAGTTACTATGACGCGTCGTGGGCCAAGCTGTTGGACTAGCCGGATTCCAACTGACATCACGGTCATCTTGAATGTCGTGATACTCACTTGGTCTCTCGGTGGTCCAAGGATTGGATCCATTCGTTTCATAACTGCCATTGATTGATAGTGTTTCCGAACACTCGTAGCGACAGTCGGTCAATAATTGGACGCAGGGCTCGCATAGCTTCGACTGCGGTAAGAGATCACCAGGGTTAGCAGAATGAAAATTAATAGCCGTACGCAGGCCTAGAGCGCTAGCAGCCAGATTTTGGGGGATCGGTATACCGATTTGAGGCGAGGTCACGCATTTTGAGAGCCGTGGGGATACGGGTTGGGGCCATGAGCAGAGGCGCAGGGGAGGATATATTGTCGAGGAAGGCGCGAATGATAACAGGGAGCATTCTTGCTGCAGCCTTGACGGAGGTGTGGAGGCGGATAGCCTCGAATGTCCTGGGCGTCTATGAAGATATGAGGCAGGTTAATGCTGTGAAGCAGAATAAAAATGCACAGCACACGCACATCTGTAGCTTAGAGCAAGACACTTGCAATCCCTCCACTCGGTCCTACCTCGACCTCCAGTAAAACGTTGGACCTGGTTTCAAGCACCACGCGCGATCAAGAGTTCAAAGATCATACAGACGCCTACGCGCTGTAGCAGTTTTGCCCAAGTGTCAACGCCCCCATTGTGACTTTGGTCTCACGTGATCAGGCGCGTTCAGAAATATCAATTAGATTCGTCTAATAAGTAATACACAATACCTATGCAATTTACATGGTGAAGATCGTAATATTAATGCTACGAGTGCGGATGAAGATGGAAGTGGGTTGATATAGATGAATAATCATGATAATGTCGTGTTCCAGTCAAAGTGCAATGTTGATGCCGGTGATGATGATGGTGATGATGATGAACAATGTAAGTAGTATGTGACAGCGACTCGATGAAGAATATGAAGTGACGATTTGAAGTTCAATAGTTATAACATGCCTTGATCCTCTAACAGATTGTAATTTAAGTGCTGGCAATGAGCATACACCCAACTGTCTGCAGACGATCATTGCTCCTCTTGTTGGGTGTCTCGTCTCCCCCACCTCTCACATCACGTTCAGCAGTGATCCTTCACAGTTGCTGTAGCCGGACAAAACTGAGACCCTAGTACAAGCTTGCCGTTCCCCTAATGATCGCTAGCATGTCACCGAGAACAATGAGCTGCACAATATCCAGAAAGCACTTACGGTGTTATACGAACAGCCCACTTTTGAGTCATTGCCAGGCAACTTGGCATCATGGTAACTGCGAGCCTATCAGCTACTTTGTTCGATGAAGATGTGTGGGTGTGACGCACAAGCACAATGTGACGTGGTCGTCTGGGTAGGTCGCGGATAGGTGCGAGGTACAACCGTCAACCTCCAATAGGGATGGGCACTGTAAACACGCATTGGCGCCAGCGAGGAAGCTGAGCAGCACAAAGACGATGGAGGGGGAAGTAAACATGATGGAGTTCATGCAATGGAATAAGGCAAAGTGATAGTAGCAGGCATGTGTTTTATAGGCTGAAACTTCCAGTGTGAACGTAAAGGCGTTGCTCGCTTTGCGGCTGAAATGCTCTACTTTAGGCGAAAACAGTTGAGCCAAAATGCATAATAATCTCCGCAAAATCGAGGACAACTGTGAACCTCATGAGAAGTTGATGTGGAAGGGCGATCTGCGGCACAATGGAGTTGTGGGGCACAAATGAATCTCCGGTTCCTGGGCGGCCTTGGGCTTCGCGTTGCTCGTCCATTATGTACACGCTCATCGGACATTGGGACTTCCTAAACAACACTCTTCGTAGATGACCATCCTTGAATCGACGAGGTTCATTACGGCCGCCCCATAGATACCAAAACCCCTGCGCAACATTTGATTTTTGGTCTTCTGCAGAAGATGGTCTGTGGTCAACAAGACGGAAGATATGAGTAGGATCACAAATAAAGCAGATATGGATCGTGGATGTGCAAGGTATTTCTGCCGAAAATGCGGGCGGAAAAAAGTACCAGGCTGAATATGGCTATCGCTTTGGTCTGGTTACCAAGACCTTGGGGTAGGATGGATGACAGAGGCCAGGAGTGTTGCGTCAGAGAGCCAAACCAGGCTGATTTGAGAAACCGGCGATAAGAAAAACGTTGAGAGTATGGAATCTGTAAGACAAATAAACACTTGTCTTACTTCATCAAAGCGAGTGGGGAGATTGGTCCAGCGTTTCAGGGAACATTCAGCGAACGTGTCATGAGATGTGTTTAACAGGTACTCCAGTGTCTCCTTAGCGTCCTGACTTAGTTTGATGATTGTCAGTCATCAGTTGGATATCAGCATGGATTCAAAGACGTCGGAAACGAAACTCATTGGCAACAACCTCGGTTGTCGCAGATGCGTCCATTACTCTGCTAGTTCCCGTGGTACAGTTCGTACTCTCCTGCTACATTCTGGCTGCATGATACCCTCTTCCTTCTCCGCTTTCTCGTACGGCGATGGTCCACCTCATTTTCCACGTGCCACGATCGCGTCCGAGTGATGGGAATGCGATTGACCAGGCATCGTGAACGTGAGTGGTTGAAGCTCGTCCTCCATCTCCTCTCCAGTATCACCAGCGTCGTTGTCGTTGTCGTTGTCGTTGTCGCTGGGATTCGAAAGACGTGGACTTGCAGTCATGCCGGTCAATGTAGAATGTGTGTGCGAGGAGTTTGAGGATGCGAGATAGGGCGCTAGCATACTCTGGTTCCATACCATAGAGCCTTCGATGACTTCTGAGTCAGTCGGAAGTGAAAGGAGGGGACCAGCCGCTGGAGTTTGGAGTCAAAAAGTGTAGCAGGAGCTGTAGTGTGGCTCAAGGAAATGTGCTGGCAGCGTGCATCTCAGGATCAGAAGTTGATTCAGAATTTCAAGTGGTACTTGGTCAAAGTCAAAGTGCCTTCCATTGATTTTAGTCTCACGTGATCCGTCGCGAAGGTAGTAAGACGTAACTACCTATTTGGCAACGAACGTTACTCTTCCTGTGTTGGGTGTCTCGTCTTCCCCACCTCTTTACATCACGTTGAGCAGTGATCCTTCACAGTTGCTGCAGCCGGGCAAAAAGCATACGGTCCTAACGACTTGCTACTATCCTGATATGATCGCTAGCATGTCAATCGAGAACAATGAGAGGCACGGTACCTATAAAGCACTTACGGTGTAGTAGATACAGTAGTCTCTGGTCATGTCGAGCGGGAGGAAGAACGAAGGGGAAAATCGAGAGCAGCTGTGAACAATTGGTATGAATTTCACAATCCCAGCGTCCTCGTCAATTTCGCGCTCCCACTTTTCGCCCCAACAAACTGAAAATTGATACAGATTGCGATGCAGTAGAAGACTGTATTATTATGTCATTCACTGGAATGTGAGGGTATTAGACCTATGTAGTGTTATTTCTTGTATGTGTACCCGCGGGTAAATGCAACACCGCGGGTAAGCTTCCATACCGCGGGTTAGCACGGGTAACACCGTACCCGTACCCGTACGGGTACGGGTACGGTGTTGATCTTCTGACCCGCGGGTATACCCGTGCTATACCCTATGTACCCTCATAGTGAAGCATAGTCGAAGTTCGCCCTCACAAAAAGGATACGAGTCAGAGAACGACGCCTCACTCTTTCTTCTTCTCTGTGCTCTCCTTTTGCGCGTCGCTGACCAATTTTTCCATCCACCCACCTCTCTCTCTCAATTCTAGTGTGTATTGGTCTGGTTTCGTGTTTCAATCAGACCCGCGTCCAAGTGATGAGAATGTGAACGGTTGAAGCTCGCCCTCCGTGTCCTCTCCGGAATCATCAGCGTCGTCGTCGTTGCTGTCGGGATTCGGAAGACGTGGACTTGCCTGGTCAAAGTAGAACGTGTGTGCGAAGAAGTGAGGATACGAGATAGGCCGCTAGCTTCAGTAATCTATTGACTTTGGTCTCACATGATCAGTCAAGAAGGAAAGCGCAATTTTCGTAACAGATGACTTGATCTAAGTACTGGCATACACACGGCTGTCTGCAAACGAACATTGCTCCTCCTTTTGGGTGTATCGTCTCCCCCACCTCTTTACATCACAGTTCAGCAGTGATCCTTCACAGTTAGTGCAGCCGGACAAAAAGTAGTACTCAGAATGATCCACCAACTTTCCGTTATCCTGATATGATCGCTAGCATGTAAACCGAAAACAATGAGGGGGCGCAATACCTAGAAAGCACTTACGGTGTTGTACATACAGTAAACATTGGAAGCGTAGAGCGGGACATGATCGTAGCTGCCGGCCTATCAGTTACTTTGTCCAATGAAGATGTGTGGGTGTAACGCACTTGCAATATGTGAACTGGTCATGTATGTTGGTATCGCGTAGTTTATTGACACCACCGCCGACCCTCATTGTGGCTGGGCACTGTATACACGCATTGGCGCCAGCGAGGAAGCTGAGCAGCGCAAACATGATGGAGGGGGAAGTAAACATGATGGAGTTTGTGGAAGGGAATGAGGCAAAGCCATAGTGGTGTTTTATAGGCTGTGACTTCTAGTGTGAACGTAAGAGTGTTGCTCGCGTTACTGTTGAGATACCGTACTTTAGGCGAAAAAGGTTTAGCCAAAATGCATGATAATCTGCGCAGACTCGAACTCGAAGGGAGATGTGCGGCACGATGGGGTCGTGGGGCACAAATGAATCTCCGGTTCCTGGGCGGCTTTAGCTTTAAATTCGTGTTGCTCGTCAGATATGTGCACATTCATCGGACGCTGTGAACAACACTCTCCGTAATATGACCATCCGTGAATCGATGAAGCTCAGCACGGCCGCCCAATAATACCGAAAATCCTGCGCAATATTTGAGTTTTAGTCTTCCGCAGAAACTTCGTGGTCAAAAAGACGAAACTTCGTAATGTACGGTTAAGAAATCGAGGTGTATAAACAGGTGTGAAATATTCCGGTAATTATGTATAACACTGTTAGAAAGTCGCTCCGTAATTTAGGCTGTTGGAAATTGTGAACAATTGCAGTCATACAGGGCCGTCTGCACCGTTCAGAGCTGCAAAACCGAGGCTGGCTTAATTTAATAGTGCTGCCGTGGTCCGGTTCGGTCCGGTTCAGAGGGCTCTGGACGAGAACCGAGAACTGGACCATGGACCGGTTCTACAAAATCGTCGAACCCAGAACCGGACCATCAAGAACGGTTCTTAACGGTCCGGTTCGGTTTTTTTGCGGTCCGAACGCGAACCGAACCGTAAATTTTTCAAGCAACAAAAAAAACATTCATAATGCGTCTACATGACATTGGGTAGCTAGTCTAACTACATACCAGCTGCATACCCTTCTGCCTCTACTGCTGCTGACACATGTCCATTCTTATAGGCTGCCTTCATCAATTGTAGTGCGGAGAATGTGGATGATGCGAGTGTGTTGCGGCGCAGAGTCAATGTGATCCCTGCACTGGAGAAAGCGCGTTCAGATGGTACTGCGCTGCCTTGAATGGGCAGGTAATCACGCGCAACACGAGCTAGTGTTGGATACTGCAGCGAATGTAACTGATGAAGAATGTAAGCAGGGAACAATGAATTCGAGGGCTGACTTACACCCCACCACACCACAACATCGTCCGTCTCCTCCAATGGTGAAGTAAGGTATGCAGAGAGCTCTTGATGAGGGTCGCACAGTGCGATGGTCTGTGGCTTGACGTTCCATGATAGCGTCGCACATCCAGGAATCGCCATAACGAATTGAAGCTTTCGTCATCATCGACGTGGCCATTGGCTCCTTGGCATGCAGGTCCTGGGGCCGGAGGCGCTTGATAATATTTGTCAAACTAAGCATCCATCTGAAGTTAGAGGCTGGCAGGATACTTAAGGTTGAATACTCACCACCACCTGAAGACGAGCCCTCCCATTCGCAACCTTTGTCCCAGTCCATCGCCGTTCGACATATGCTAACTTGTAGTTGGGGTCAAGAACTGTAACAAAATGAGACATGGACTCAAGCAAAAGAATGATACTCACCTAGACAGATAAAGTAGACGTCCAAGTCACTAGCTTTCTGGTAGTACTTCTCAACATTCTTGAGACCCTTCCTAATGGTGTCCGCAATTATTGCATATTCTGGATTTTCTGCCATTGTCCCCCACGCACTAGTGAGACATTCTAGTGTAGGTATGGTCTGCCAGGCTGTTGGGTACACGACCGAAGAGAATGATTGCTGTGCAGTCGCAGGTTCCTATAACAATCAGTAAATGAAATAAAAACGGATATACAAATAAGTACCTTGAGGATGTCATGCACTAGCCGTATCTTTCTCCAGTCGGCTTGATCGAGCTTGAAGTCGCTATATGACTTGTTGCGCAACTTTGGGACTTCATGGCTCTCGTCAGCAAGCAGAGTGAAGTGGTTGACAGCCTGAAAGATGTTAGATACTAAACCAGTGATTGTATGTCTCACTTACCAGGCGAAGAGACAAGAAGCAGCTCGAGGCACTTGAATAAGGATGCCCAGCGTGTTCTCACCCATGTCAAAATCTCGTGAACAGCAACACCTTCTTCCTCGCATGATTTCTTGAAAAACGCTTGAGCTTGCGGTGATTTGTGGATCTAGTTATTGGTCGTGTCAATGAGAACTTGAAGACAAAAAAAGAGAAGAGGACTTTACCTGTTCAATGAGTGCCAATGCTTTTCCAACAGCGTCGCTGACATCGAAACCATCTTCGACAATAGCTTCAGGGTCATGTTCCAATGCCGCAAGTTGTTCAGTTGAGCTGGTGATGTCAGTATCCTCATCATGATCGATAGTGTGACAGGATCTTGCGTAGTAATGTTGCCTGTGGGGTGGGTGCGACTCCAGTCAATGAAATGTCGCGCAGCAAGATTCAAAATGTGCTCTTGACAGCGGATACTGGCGGGGACCTGGAAGCCAGTGGGTGCCATCCTCATCTATGGCCTTCACTACTTCGCTCATAGTGGTATCGTTATTTGAGGCATTGTCCGACGTCATCCATCCGACCTATGCAAGCAAAGTCAGTTCACAGCTGAAGCCAGGACTCTGGAAAACATACCTTATTGCGAATATCATACCTGTCTATCATCATAACGAGTATATTGCTGATATTGTAGCCACTGTGGTTGCCTTCGATCCGCATGAAATCAAGTTGCTCATTTCTCAGCTCCCACTGCAGCGGTTTGCTGGGAGGACTCCAAATGTAATGGCCAGTAACCGAAAAAAACGGTTCACCGATTATCGATGTCCATGAGTCAAACATCATGGAGACCGCACTGTCAATGTGCTAATGAAATGTTTTAAGACTGGCGCCACAATATAAGTAGGTCAAGACTCACCGCTAGACGCTCCTTAATATTTTCGACCACAGCCATCGCTCGAGACTTAATAGTATCCGTTAACTTGGTGCAATGCGGGATGTCCCTTTCAGTCAGGGATGGACAGTGCATACTGTAATAAACGTCGAAATGCTGGCTTATTGATTAATTGTATTGCCTGGCGTGATGTAAATAAATTTTAAATGAATACAAATATAAAAAATAATCAACGTACCTCAGTCTTCCATCACGATGAATTCCATGATGTATTCAAGCAGTCCTTCCTTGGTGAACGCAGGTGGTTTGCAAACAAGCTTGCCATTGAGAGTTGTTTGCGATTGCGTCATGGTGACATCTTCTCCAGGTGGGATCGCATGAGAGTGCATTGTGATGCCTGCGGCATCACAATGCTCCTTGTAGACTTGAAAATGCGACTTTTTGTGGCAGACAATGTGTGTGCGCAGTGTCAAAGTACCTCCGTGAAATGTGTGCTTCTGTACTGGTTCACCAGCGTCCCTTGTTTGAAAGTTATTAAACAAAATATCGAAAACAATATGGACCACTTACTTGCACAGTGTACAGACCCACCGATCAGGCAAGCGGGTAAATATAGTCCTAACGTCTGCTGTACGTTCGCTTTTTGAAAGCTAAATACAGGCGTAAGTCAAGACTCAAGGAAGACAATAAACATATGAGTACGTACAGTCAAAGTGGCGCACCCGTTCTCGGACTTAGATTCATCAGCTTCATTGTCGTCCTCTGGTTGGGGGATCAGCTCGTCAGCAGACGACTCTCCTAGATCAGGTGTAGAAGGTATGTCTTCATCTTTGGAGTCGAGAGGAGATAAGATTCGCATGGCGATTTTCTTGGGTGCTGGATGGTCCGTAGCACTTGATAAAGCATGCTTCCTTGTGCCCAAAGATGAAGACAGCCTACAGGCATTGTCAGCATCACGAATATGAGCTGATGGTTTTGAGGGCCGGCCAGAGCGCCAAGAACCAGCTGTGACTGTTGCTGGGGTGTGTCCAGCCTTGAGCAGAACAGAGAAGGCATCCTTTGTAGATGTAGTTGAAGATGATGGCTGGGCGGAAGATGGAACCTGGGGCAACGGTACTTTGTCGTCAGGATCATTAAAGAAGGTGATATTGGAAGCATCCTTGAGGGAGCCGTCAGCATTGAGAGCACAGCAGTCTTCAGACATCGTCAGGCAAATAGTAACTCACAATTTCGTTGTCGGCACCTCGTTTTATGCATGGAGCAAACCCTAACACCCCAGAGCAACAATATGCAAGGAGATCCGTTAGAGTTGACAGCCGGTGGAGGATCACGACTATCCAGGAAGTGTATAGACTAGAACAAGTAGATATATGTGATATAGTTAAACATATGTCAGTCAGTGAGAGTCTTGAGAGTTGATTGATTAGTACTAACCTTCAAAAAGGCTAAAGGTAGCCTGTTTAACCAATAGTGCAAATCTCGAAGACAATACTTTGACGTCGACATGGACACCGACGTCATCGTAGTTGAAGTCGAAGTAGTTGAAGTCGAAGTTCAGTTCGGGAAGGTTCGGGAAGGTCAAACCAGAACCGGACCATGTGGGAATACCCAGAACCCAGAACCGTTTTCCGGTCCGGTTCTGGCTGGCATGAGAACCATGGACCGGACCACGGCAGCACTAGGCTTAAAGTGAATGGTAACGAGTGGGACAGGACGATCTGATAATAAACAAAGTATATCTCAGTCTCTGAAGGAGCTCTTTGTACGAGCCTAGTACCTGATAATAAACAAAGTATCTACGGCTCGTTAGTAATGTAAAGTAACGGGAAAATAACTGGGGCTTACATCTCAGTCTCTGAAGGAGCTGAGATGTTCATATGAAAGTAAACGACCTCTTATAGTAGATTAGCATAGAGATGAAAAATATATGTATCATAGCACAGGCTATACTGTCATATTGAAGCATCAAGGTATGTGATAAGACACACACCTTGATGCACAATGTGTCTAGTTCCCTGACGTCTGTAGCTTGATGCTTCATGAAGCATCAAGCCTCTGTGTCTCTGCGGTGAAGCTTCACACTTTCCCACAGAGCTTCAGATCTTTGATTTCACCCTTTTTGGCTGGCGCAGCCCCTTCCCGGCTTCCTGGCTTCTCTCTCTACCTTCAAATTCCTGTCTTCTCCGGTTTGTTCCTGACCTGCCAAGGTACTACCTCCCGCATCTGACCAGCTAATAATTTTGCTGCGGCTGCTGCCTACCCTTTGGTAGCTCCCTCTAGCTGGCTGCTGCCCATACATCACGACCCACGGTGACCCCTGGCAGCCACCCATGACAGGGCCCCAGTGCCTGCCTGCTCCAAACGGACATTGGCAACTCCTCACAGCCCACCACAGCCTCTCGCTACCTCCTACCACTGCACCCCTTCCCAGACCGCTACAAGTTGACAACTACTTGCTAGTATCAAACTCTACAAGTTGGAGTCTGTATTATTTCCCTTAGGTTTGAATTCACAACACTGGCTGCACTCCGCACACCCATATATGCATTCTGTTGTGTGGACCTGGTCCTCGGTATACTTTTTTCCTACTCCCATGGTGCTTGCTGTGCTCCTTACATGCCTATGGCACACCTGCTGCCTCCTCGCATGCACACCTTGCATATTTCATATTTCACATGCGAGCGCAGCAAATTGCAACTAGTATAAATTCATTTCGTAGATACATTTTTACATGTCATTGTGATATACTTGCTGGATGAGAAAAAATTGCAGCGAGGACTTGATGTGTTTTAATAGTATAGGACCCTTAGGCCTTAGGAATTTATTATTTGACCTATGATACTGAATGTAGTTGTGAATGCAGACCGTCAACAGGTTTAGCACTTGATCTATCTGTCCCGAAGTGTCCGTGCGCGCAGTAATTGAAATGGTAAAAGTGCTATTACATTTCATGTAAGTCACATGCACAATCTACAATAACACTTTCCAACGATTTTCCAATGGCATTCATTGCTTTCATGCCTAGCTTGTTTCAATGTCTTCTGTCTGGTGAATAGTGAGACGTCGGTAGGAGCGCACATGCTAGAACACAAGGTATGATCTCAGTTTCTCATAAAGAACTGTTATTAACAAACTCTGTACCTAGAACACAAGGTACACTACAGTCTCGTCAGTACGATATTTTGAACGCGAGAACGAACACTAACTCACATCTCAGTTTCTCATAAAGAACTGAGATGTAACTGCGCTGGAGCTGGTCCTTTTAAGGTGAGTGGTATAGTAACGGAAAATATTTGTATCATTGCATAACATATTGCAGGGCACGAGCCGACGTCAACACGTCGCTCATCTGCGCAGCACATTATGAACTTCGGAAGCCCTCCTTGAACAGACGCAGACGACTCTCAAAGATCCCAGAATGAGAAAAGGACTAGAGGAGAGCGAGACAGCCCAGCACATGCCAGCAAAGGCTGGCGTGGCTTGAACAGATGCAGACACTGGACAGCACTGGGGAGAGGGAGGAAGGAGGAAGATGAGACAAGTTAGGTATGGAATCCCCCGCATCATGGACTCGTGGTGGGGCTTTTGCACGTTTTCTGTCTGTAGTCAATGTTAACTAAATATGGCAATGTTTGATGCCAGGCTGCTCTTCGGAGGGCTATGCAGGACAGGTTCCAGGAGATGTGGAGTATCGTGCCCGCTCTGCTCCAGTCTCCTTCCCCCGCTATAGAATCCGCCACATCGTAGTGGAGCTTTTGATGTTTTCTGTTTGTATCGCATGTTGACTGAATATGGTAATTTGATTGGAGTACTGTGAACGATGGAGAAGCACCAACCACCAACGATGGAGAAACACCAACCACCAACGACGGAGAAGCACCAATGATGGAGAATGGAGAGGCACCAACCACAGAGAAGCACCAACCATGGAGAAACACCAACCAAGGAGAAGCCTGAAGAAGTACCAATGATGGAATCAGGCACTGTCTCTAGCTTGATGCTTGAAAGCTAAGGGTTTAGTAGGGCGGACAACAGTCTCTGGATTGATGCTTCACTGTCGAAGGTTTAGAGTCATTTGTACATCAAGGTCCATGTCTAATCTGACACCTTGAAGCTTCAATGGTACAGGTACAGGTGCGTAGCACACGACACATTGCAATATGGACGAGCTGCAGCCGACGTCAAAGTGTCGCTCGCTTGGACCACTTTCGGTTTCGCTCACATCTTACTCTTTGGCTGTCTTCACTGCCTCGGACTCTTTGGACTTCAACATGGCTACTGTCACTGGAAGGCATGAGAATAAGGCTGATGTCAATCGTAGATGCGCCAGGGTTTTCTGCCAAGCATCAGTAAAACCTCGACTTATTTAATCAGACTTTTTTGGACTTTTCAATGGTTTTTACTTCTTTTCGAAAATGAGTGGCCTTTTTTTCAATTGTTTTTCTTAATTCATTGCCTGATCCAAATATACATGTTCCAATATGATTTATAAACCCGAGAGACATGTTTAAAAACATAAAAATACAAATTTGTTACCACCAAGTGGCACAGAGTGCTGATAATTTTTATTTTCAAATACTCTCCTGAAGTGGTAATCTTTACAAGTTGTGAACTCCAACCATTGCAACAGCCATGAATAATGATAATAAACTATTCCTGATACTCAAGCTGGGACCAGGCAGTGAATTAAGAAAAGCAATTGAAAAAAAGTTTGAAAAGATGTGAAAACCATCGAAAAGTCCAAAAAAGTCTGATTAAGTAAGTTGAGGTTTTACTGATGGAGGATATGGGGCAGCAAGGGATACCATGCTGAAGATGGTCTATTGCATGGGTATGGTTACTAAGACCTTGGAGTGGGATGCATGACATACCAGTAGAGGCCAGGACAGTTGCATCGGAAGACCAAGACAGCCAAATTAGGCTGATCCTGAGAAGTTCGTAGTGCTGCTGGAGTCCGGTTCAGAACCTCAGTTCAAACGCAAACTTTTCTGGACCAGACCATCGGTTCGGTCCAAGGTTTGACATACTGTAAGGACCGAACCTATTATTAGGTTCAGCGTTCAGCTGATGCCTCAGATTTGTGAAGCCGTCCGGACCCGTCCAAACATTGTGAGTCCAGTGTTTGTCCTCCTTGCCTGAACTGGACCATTGGTCCGGTTCAGGGTTCGCATTTAGAGGCATAAGAACCGGACTGCAGCAGCACTAGAAGCTCGCGATAAGAAACACATTGAGTATGGAATTCATAAGAAGAAAAAACTGGCCCTATCACTACATCAAGGTGAATGGGGAGATTGCACCAGCTTCAGGAAATATTCAGCGATGTGTCGCATCAGGGAAAACCTCCTTCAGGAACTTCATGAAGATTCACAAACTCACATTGAAAAAAAGTTATTATTGCTGTTGGGATTCAGAAGACACTGGACTTGCCAGCATGCTGGTCAAAGTAGAACATGTGCGTGAAATTTGAGGATGCGAGTTAGGATGCTAGAATGCTCTGGTTCCATACCATAGAGCCTTCAATGACTTCTGAGTCAGTGGAAAATGAAAGGAGGGGACCGGCATCAGTGCTCAAGTTCTGTGTGAATGGGCAGTGCCTCTAGGAACAAATGGCTGAAGGTGGTTGAGGGCCCTATAGACAGTGATGAAAGCCCTGAGGTCAGGTGATTCTGACACCCATAAATCACACCAGATTGCACTTCACTAAAATGGAAAAGAAGGCGGTTACTCACCATCTCAGGTTGCGTCACTGATAGTATATTTGAGACAGATTTGGCTGGATGTCTGTCCAAAGATAGCAAATTTTGGACCCCCATGTCGGCCCGCCTGACCACACCATGACACAAATAAGGATGTTCGACTCACTGAGGAGTGCTTCCCCCTGTCATCAATCCTATTACAATCTTTCATGCAGCCTCTGATTTTGAGCATACTTACCATCATTGCTGCAGTCTCTTGTTGAAAGCACACCTCAATTGTCAATCAAAAGCCGCCATGCATTCCGAATGTGTTCAAGTTGTACTTCTCGACCCATAACTTCATGGCACTCTACTGGACGTTAAGTAGCGTGGACCCAGCACAAAGATGACCCACCTCAATATCTTGCCGTCCTCTAAATGCAAGATAGTAGTTTTGCCCCAGTTCAGAAGACATGAGGTTAGAGTGGAAAGAAGTGCCAAATGCAATCAGTCACTAGCAGCCTGCAGGTGTCCAGCCGCCTCCAAGTAAGTTATAGTCTGTCCCTTTCACTCAATGCTGACAATTGTGGGAATTCCTGGCAAATCTTGCCACCAAAAATATATCTACACTCTTCCCCCTCAGATGTGGCTCCTATGCGATCACACATACAATCATGAGTTTCTACATTGATAGGAATTGTCATATATGTCACACACGTGACATGTCTGTCCGGAATAGCAGATTAGAGACCCACATCAGGAAATCACGAGATCACTTTTGACCCACTTATGTACCGCTTTTCGCATGATTTCATATGCAAAGTAGCACAAGGTCAAAAAAGTAGAACCTACTTTTTTCAGTAGATCTCATTACTGATATTCCACTTCTTCTCAGCTTTTTCACACTTATTTTTGCAAGACACATTGAAAAAAGCACGACACTGATTATTAAAAGTGGACTATCAAAAAAGTGTGAAAAAGTAGTCTAGAAGAATGAGTAAAGTCCTCTAAAAGTGCAAATATGTGTAGATGCTAGAATGACGGCTTGAATGATTGGAGTGGGGGGACCACAATGGGTATTCTGCCAGTGTCAGATGCGTCAGTGGTAGTTGCAGAGCACATGACAAGGGGAAAATATATACAAAGCAGGGCACACCCAGCCTTGGGTTTTGGGTCCTCAGCAGGAGCATTCTTGAGCTTTCGGATCACTTCCTGGCACTGGCACACCAATGAAATTGTGTCCATCATATACTTCGTCCCCTGCCTCTTGAGTGATTGGTAGTATTCAGCTGTTCGCCAATCCACAATTTGCCTCTGAAAATGCTGATGCAGAAGTGCTGTCTTTGCCACTGGATTTGTTGTGCTTGAGGGGTAGTATTCTGCAACCCTTGGTAGTACTGCCCTTTGCACTGCTAGTGCTGATGCTTTGGTCATCGCCGGAAGCTTTGGGCTTTGCTGATAAAGTTGAGAGTGTGTTCTAGCTATGAAAATGAATGGTTAGTTAATGAGGCAGTGCATGTGGCAATCACAACCTGCATACCCTTCAATTGCAGATCATCTGTGTTGAGCATGGGAACATCAAGGAACCCAGCGATTGCATTCATATGTGTGCTTTTGATCATCTCCAACATAAATTCAGACCAGGTAAATCTGGTCTGGGTCACAAACATCTGGATTGTTGTAGAGGAAGGCCCACTCGTCGAGAAGATTTGCTGCCAGTGTTTGTTCAAAGTTGATATCGTTGTCTTTGTCTTTGGAGCGCTGGAAGTAGTTTGTTGGTCTTGATGGACCAAAAATTAGGCTGAGCACCTGCCCACAGAAAAACAGTAGGGATAAAAGACCTTCGCCACATGCCGTCCTCCAACATAATTTGGGGAAGATTGGTGTTTCGCCATTGGTTTCCACTTTTTGGCTTCATCATCATGTCAGCGGACATCAAATCGGGCTCAGGTGATGCCAGAATGCTTGTAATCTGGGACACTGGTTATAACTTAGCTTTCTTGGGTGGGTTCGGGTTCTTGCAGACTGTTACACTAGTCTGTCGAGTGCCTCAGTATAAATAGAATGAGATATGAAGAAAAAAGCCTACCTTTGAAGTGATCTGTGCTAGCTCAGTAGGAATGGGCTTGACTTTGGGAGTCATGAACTCAGAAGTGTCAAGTATAATGGAGTCATCAGCAGCAGTCTAGGTCCTCTTCAGATGAACTGATCAAGTTGACTGCTTTGATTGGCCTCTTCATGAACTAACAGTGTGAGTTGATTGAACCTGTTCTATAGTGAATCGCACTATTTCAGCTTGTTGAGTGAACTGCAATAAATTGAATGGTGTTGACACTGACAGTCTTTTGGAGGTGTCATCATCTGAAAGTTCTGTGATCTCATTAGTGATCACTACTGACACTCTAAAAATGCATCAAACTGTGTCAGACCTTAATTTGTTGATGTTGTTGAATGCTCACCTGCACCCCCCCCCCCTTCCTTTTCCATTAGCAATGAGAGACGACAAGTGCTCTTCAAATTCTTCATTGTCTTCATTGTTGTCAGCATCAATGTCAATGTCAATGTTGACGTCTCCATCTTCATCTGATGCAGGAATGTGTGAAGTCCTGCATGAGTCTGTCAAGGAAGGAGGTGGATCTTTTGCGAGTGAGACTGTGGTCATGACTGTTTGGCCTGTTCTTGCTGATGAAATGCCCAGAGAGTTGGTGAAAACTGTTTCAGTGGGAACACTGGGAACAGGGGAAGGTTTTGCAGCTCCCTTCAACTCAGGTTCAAGGTGAGCGTGCCAGTTATGGACCTTGCACAAAAGGCCATATTTCTTATTTCTGAGCCCCCAAGTAATGTTCATAAAGTGAAGCGTAGACTCTGTGAGCATCAATAGCATGATGGTGAGAAGACAAATTACTGACAGGTTAACATTTCCTTTCTTGTTGCTATCAGGTGCTTGAACTTGATGGATCTGCCTTGTTGCAGCGCTTACTGCTTCACGCGATATGGTAGGGTTGGCCTTCTTTTTCTTCTTCATCACTCTGCCCTCATTCTCAAACTCCTCATTTCCAATCACCTTGCCATTGCCTGCACCCACACCTGTGCTATTAGCTGTGCGGTGACCACCCACAGTCTTGAACTATGGCTTGCACTGGATGATTCTCTGAGGTGAGCTCACTAGTTGCCTCTTGCATACTCTCCTTCACACTCTCCTTCTTCTTCACTGGTCTAGCCTGGGGTTTTACTGGTTTTGCCCTGTTGGCTGCCTCAGTCGCCTGCTGCACCTCCATGGCAGCCTCGATGGCTTCAAGCTAATTAACTCCACACTGCACAGCAGCTTCCTTGATAGCCTGTGCTTCCAGGGCACACTCATTGTCCTGAGCGATCTGGGCTTTGGTACATCACTTCTTTTGACCTTTGAGAAGCACAAGTCCAGGGTGCTGAGTTGCATTTTTAGGGCATGTACGGCAAGGAGAAGTGGGAGGCACCATAGCCGATATGAAAAGCAGGAAGGGGCAGAAGAGAGCTGGAAACGGGTAGGCCTCAATAAAATGTAAGAGTCAAACTGCAAAAATCCCGAGTAGTAGTACTAAATGCAAACAAACAACCTGTCATATACCAGATCCGAGTACCCCCAGTACCACCTATAAGCATCCCCACACCTGGTCCGACCCCCTGTTTCCCCATCTGCTCCATTCCTCCTTCCCTGACAATGCACGAAGTGCATCTCAGCAGGATTAGCCCTGCTACCTCCTGCCCAACCCCGTTCCGCTTTTCCGACACTACCCCTATGTCCCCCGACCCCATACCCCTTCCATCCGACCCTATCTGGGGTTCCACTCCTCCGCCCTATCGGTCCGCTCGATCCTACTCCTACTCCCTCTGCTTTGCCAACCCACTGGGGGTCCTTCAGTTCCGCTTGTATTCCCCCACCCGACTGTTGGTCTGTCCGACCGCCTCATTGCTCCACTCCTAGACTAGGAACCACTCAACTGGTCCTATCCCCATTTAGTATCATAGTTCTACTTTTCAGATCACCGGTAATTCCTATACCCTAGCGATTATTGATCCATCACGTACATACTGTTCTCCGAGCCTTATTCTCGTATGTCTCAGTCATCCTATTGTAATCCTGTACACTCAGCACATAGCCTTCTGCTATGCTATGCTCATCACTTAGAGTATATAAACATATGTACATTTGTCTGTAGATACTCAGTCTGAATATTACCTTTTCTAAGCCCTGCTCTTCTGTTCTTTGACTTGGGCCTGATCCTAGTCAACTCCTATTAGCCAGCCTAGGGGATAGACTCCCTAGGTCAGCCAGCCCTCCGATCCTCCGTCCCTCCATTCCCCTGTTCCCCTGACCCTCTGCTCCTCCATTCCCCCAGTTCCCTCGTTCCCCCATTCCCCATTCCTCCACTCATCCAACTTCCTGTGCGTCGGAACTAAACCCTGCACTCTCACATCCATCCCCTCCGTTCCACTCTGCTTCGGACTTCGTCCAAGCAGTTCCTTCTGCTCCTGCTTCTACTGTTGGTCCCGACTGCGGTAATCTCCCGCCTCCCTCCTGTTGGGCTGGAAAAACCCCTGCCCGACTTTCCCATGCTCACCTAGTAGTCCGTCGGTCCTCCTTCAGAGGACCTCTGCTCCAACGTCCTGTCGGAGCTCATAGAACTTGAGTTGGACTACAATATGAAATTAGGGGCATGTACTCAGGTAAGGGGTGCAGTGTACTGAGCTGAAGCCAAGCCCCTCAGACTCCGCTTTACCCCTGAGCATGGTCTTAACACAACCCTTCATAACCTAGTACTGAATACTTCATGCCACTTTCCAAGTCTGCCTATGCTTCAGCACTACAACAACAGAGTGCGACTGCCACAACTGGTACTGCTGCCCATCCTAACAACAAGCTCTCATCTAACTGCAGATTTCTGTAGACATCCCAAGCTGGTACCAGCAATTCTACCAACAAGCTTCCTCCCCCAACTCCAAATACCATTAACTCAACTGCCAGAGCTGGTATTGACTATCCTACCCCCCAACTCCAAATACCATTAACTCAAGTGCCGGAGCTGGTATTAGCTATCCTAACCCTGACTCCAAATACCATTAACTCAAGTGCCAGGAACTGGTACTGGCTATCCTACCGACAAGCTCCCTCCTGTGCATCATGTCCCAGACTGGCCCACAAGCGAGCCACCTGCGCCATGAGCCCATTGGTCTTTGCATCCCTTGCACGAAGCCAGGGTGCAACTGTTGGTTTAAGAATTGGTTGGGGCACATGCAGCATATGAATGTAAAGCACCCTGTGTTCCTACAACAACTTGGATTGACTCAGCCACGCAGGCCTCATTCGCCAAGTTCTGGGCTGCCTGACACTACCAATTTGGGTGATACTGGTGCTATGGACTTTGGTGACACTGGTGCCATGGAGTTCAGCAATGACAAAAATCCTATGCAACCAACAGTTGGATTTTGTGGCACTGGTGACCAGCTGTATAGAAACTACCACCCTTTTTGTCTGGTACATTTTTTGTCCCATTGAATTTTTCTAATATCTCATTCACAACATATGAAGCTTGCCCCTGCAATTCAGAGGGCAACTTCCTTCCACCAGGAACTCCACCTCCACCACTCACTGACAAGATGCCGGACAACTGGACTCCATACAAGAGCCGGGTAGAATTTGAGCTCGCTGATTATTTTTTTACAAAGAATCAAACCCCCATGCATTTGATCAACCAGTTGCTTGATATTTGGGCAGCTTCATTAATGCAAGTGACCAAAGGTTTTTTTTCCATTGACAGGCAATGTTGTAAGATATGTTGAGGATGTGAACACCATGTGAAGAACACGACTATGATATGATCAATGAACCAATGCACCTCTCCCCCTTTTGCAAATCACCAACTGAACAAGGGCATTTAAAATTTTGCTGTGCACAATCAATGGTTCTTGCACCCATTGCTGCAAGTCCATGCAAAGCCCTTGTATCTGCCAGGTTGACTGCAGAGTGGCTAGAACACGTGCTCTTCTACATTTGATCATAGTCAGTGCAGTGACTTGGGCAATTGTGTTTGACTTACCTCCTGGGCATTGCCCACCCTGTTGCGTGAAGCCAGTATATCCTTGTATTCAGTCTCTTCAACAAAAAATGCATATCTGCGATTCAGTCCGGGATCAACGGCATCTGATGATACATTATGGCGAACGAGTCGGAAATTCGCATCAATAGCAAGGAATAATGCATACAAAAATCTGTGGCGAGGGTAAGAATCAAGGTTAAAAATTCATCAGACATTCTTACTGGAATTCCAGTGGCATGTTTTCCCACCTGACAGGTAAATTTTTGCTTGGGTGGGGACAGGCAGGGCATAACACAGTGCAAGTGCCTGCTTCTATTTTTTTCAATGCCTCTGGGATGATGACCCTGGCCACAGTGTTTCATTTGCATTATGAAGCACCATTCATGTATCATTCAGAGGAAAGACTCATAACGATCCTGAATGATACCATCAGTGAGGATGAACGTAGATGTAAGACATGTTGCCTACCTTTAGGACCTGGATGCCTGTGTTATCTGTGAGGTGAGCAATCATATTATAAAATCCCCATACTGAGGCTTTAGATTTGAAGGACAGCATTTAAAAATATTCCAGCACACGAAATGTGGCAGCTGATTTAGGGTCTGTTGTAGTTGAGGGAAAGAGGTGAACATGTAGCAACTGGGTAATGTGTGGCTGAGCAGACTCACATCCTGCAGAAATCGAGTCCAACTTCATGGACACCATTGCAGTCGAGGACGACGAAGTCATTGTTGGATGCAGACATTGGATTGATACATTGAATACCAATGGGATGCCAAAGTTGGAAGTGGACTCCCAAGGCCTTCAATATGGTGACCTGAAATGAAGTACTGTTCCAACATTGCAACATTGTTCAGATTGTTGTTCATGCACAAATAGTGCACATACCTCCATTCTGTGAAGTGGTTGCCTCTCATGTACACAGATAGTGCATGTATGTGTTAGGTACTGTGCTGGCTCAAGAGGCAGAGGGGGTCGGGGCTTGGCTTCAGCTCTTATGCTGTGCCCTTAGCCGAGTACGTGCCCCAAATTTGGAGCAGGTCCGACATTGTCCGACAATAGGACAAGTGGACCACTTAGGTCCGCTTTGAGGGTCGGGAGGTAAGAGCTACTAGCAGCAGACCGACTAGGAGCGGAGCAGAGAAGACAGAGGATAATGGGGAAGGTGGAAAGGAGCTGGGGGAATACTTGATAGGAGCGGAGAAGGCGGAGGGTAATGCGGAGGGCGGAGAGGAGCAGGGGGAATACTTGATAGGGGTGGAGAAGTAAAGAGAAGACTTAGAGCACGGCTCTAAGTCAGAGTGGAGGGTCGGAGGTGACAACAAGGTGAAACTTGTGTCCAGAGGAGGCAAGGTCCTACTGAGAATTCTCACAAGTAGTAACTGTGAGAAGACAAGTAATATTAAGACTGGGGAAAAATATCTAAGTACAGGATATGTTATATACTTCTAAGTAGGAGGCAGTGGTCAGGATAACTATGTTGTAATGCTATGTACCAAGGATATGATTTGTAAGTACTTACACAGGCAAAGACATAAGTCAGAGCAGATATCAGTATGTACACGTTGGATCAGTGATAGAGCGGTAAGAGAAATTACCAGTGATCCAGAAGTAAGGGTCTATGTACCGAAGGGGAAAGTATATATCTAAAAGGGGAAAGAGGTTCCAGTTGAATGGAGACGTTATGGAAGGGGGCCGGTTGGGCAGTCGAGTGGAAGCATAGGAGCAGATGCGGATGATGATTGGACAGAGTGGAGGATGGGTGGAGCAGAGGTGGTCGGAAAGCGGAGCAGATATCAATATTGGAGTGGTTGGATCAGGTATATGACAGTATGGCACATCAGATCTGTGCCATAACAGTCTTCACACTGAAATATTGGGTTTGCTTTGCTGCAGAAACACATTGCCTGTGCAAAGTCACCACGGCCCTCCAAGCAAAGAAACTCCAGCAAAAACAGGTTGGCATCAGAGTTCCATACACACAAAGGATTGTCCTAATGAGAACATAGTTAGAATCGCCACAGCAATCTCAACTGACATACAACTTACTCCAGCAGGGCGCTTTTGTGTGTGAGACTTGGTAGATGTATCGTAGATATCCTCATTGAAGCTATTAAGTGATGAAAAGTTGAATTTGTCATTGTGCGCATCTTCTAAGTCAGACTCTTCAAATTGGTGTTTGGTGGGTGAATGCGGAATCGTATAGTAAACAGAAGAAGCTGCAAGATGACCACTGGATTCTGCCTCGAGGCTGGTGTGTTTGTGCTGCTGTTCCTGGCAAGTCGGTTGTGGAGTATCGTTTGTCTCATTCCTCACTGCTCTTCCTGCAGCATCACTATGAGCAAATAAATTCCGCTGGAATTTCCGGAGTGCTCGCTGTTTTTGACTAGTAACCATAGTCAACAATGGTGTTGAATCAAATGGCATATTTTGCCAGATGGGTGTTACTTCTAAGCAGAGTCCAGACTCCAATTTGAATGTGACTACACGCAGTAAAATAACAAACAAGCGACTCATTTGGATGGCATTTGCCAGCTAAGTAAACCTGCTAACATAATGTCATCATAGGCTTCAGTACCACCCCAATCTACAAGAGTGGCGAGTTCCCTTTCTGCAGCAAGCTGTCGTGTTGTCAAACAGAGCAATTCCTCACACTGCTGCAATAGAGTATTGTGTCTGATCCCCGATGCACATAGCTGTACAGTCTCTGACAGCAAGGTAATGTGCTGGTGCAAATTGTGCATATAAGCGCACACATCTTTGAGCTCAGGGGATATGACATCCCATCCTTCTGTGTCAATGCATTGGAGTACTGCGAGAAAGCGATTCTGGAGGGGATTATACTCAGGAACTCCTGCTTTGTAGCCAAGCTCAATGTATAACATGTCAAGGCTGTGAAAGTTTGAGATGTTGGACTTTGTGAATCAGCAAAGATGTGCACTATGACCATCTCGAGAAAGACATACATTGCTCATATGAGACTCCCTTCGCCAACAATTTTGTGACTTGGCTTGCTCTGTAGTCTCATTTCTAGAGCACGATGAATACAATGACCATTGATTCTAGAGATAGTGATTAAACCTAACCTTGCATAGTGAGCTCATTTGCTTTGCAATCCAGCATTACGATGATCTTCCTCAGACTTGTATTTTGGTGGCATTAATGATATGGGTAAGTAAGGTCTGTATTCACATACAGTTCACCATATCAAACACATCGGGAGCCACACTTCGGGACAGATGGATTTGATTTGTATATACTATATAATACCATGTACTCAACAACAAATAATCTCAATGTGCAGAATACTTGTACTGCTTGCTGTACTTACCTATATGTCAACCGATCACATCAATCATTTGGATGAACGAGAAAAAATGCACATTCACCAGACATTGTAGGGTGTCTCAGAGAGTTGTGTGTTTTGCACCATGATATACCATGCTGCGCCCATGTCAATCACTCTTGGCATGCTGAAATACCTTGGTACCAAGTGCACCAATATTATGGAGCATATCCGGGTTGAGCACAAATGTTACCGGGATCAATTGATCAATGGTTGTCTGTTTGGTGTTATAAGACTCATGTCCAACTCATGCATGAAGGCTGATTGGATGCCAGATCTAGCAGCAACACACTGGAAAAAAGGTATATAAAGCTCATTGAGCACATCACATGATATTTTTAGTATACATGAATGACAGAGTATCTACAGTGCAGAGATATCAAGCTGCCTCACTGCACCATACATTGAAAACATCCTTGAAGTGCACCTGGGCTTCATGGAGTGTAGTAAAATAATGCACTGATGTGCCAGTGGGGCGGAGTTTACAGTGCAGTGCAGCTCAATAGGTATCGTTAGAGATGGTACAGATCAAATAAATGAAGGAGCCTACATGTCACTGAACAATCCAACTCCATAATGACCAACAGTTACGAACCACTTAAACTGACTGGCAGGGTCAATGTTGATGAGTGTCTCAGCACTTGCATTGGCAGCCTCCAATTCTTCCCCCTCACTAGAATGATACTTGGGCTGGGAACCAGGCAGAACATCATTGGTGGCATCATTGGTGGCACCAATCCAAATGTCTTTGATGGAGGTGTCAACATCTGTGGAGTTGTCACCCGGACTGTCCATCACATCCCGGTGAGAGCCTATAAGTAGTGTGAGCAGAAAGAAAATGCAGTAGATACACTGTATGTACCAAATTGTGTGTGAAGTATGCATTCTTCACCTTCTGGTCGATAGGGCCAAGCAAATGGTTGCGGAGACGACGGAGGAACTTTGCAAAAGTGTGTCAGTACCAGAAAACATTACAGAGAACCAAAGAAAATAGCTTACCATGGCCACACTGAACCAACCGAATGGCCTCAATGAACTGTTTGAGTGTGAAACAAGGATGGGGTAGCATTTGGACGCGGCAATTGTGGAGGCACCGGATATCTGGCTGGGACATGTTCACAAGTCTGAACAAGGTGGCAAGGTCAAGTTGCAGGGAAGAGAATAGTATTTATACCGCTTGCCGTTTGACAGGTATTAATTGGTCAACTCTGAAAAAAAAACTCAAGCTTAATAATGCTAAGGTGAAAAAGTTTGTGCTTGGTCTAGAACCTGAAAGGAACCTGCTACAAAAGTGCGCTGGACAAATGTGAGCAAAAAAAAACATACAGACAAACATCACACTAACATTGCAAGTACAGATGGCCCCTCCGAGATGGACAAGTGCTGAACAGCTTATGCGGCTGCAAAATGAGGTTCCAACATACCTACAGATGCAAAAAGAGAAAAAGTTGGTCCAGTTTTTTGAGCTGCTATACCCCAAGTGGTTCAGTGAGTTCCCAGAACATATGAGAGTTTGGCCCATAGGATCAGAAAACTCACCTGACAACAACAACGCCAACATCGACCAATCTAGTCTTGACTCAGATGCGGCCATCAATGAAATCATTGCCGAGCTGGACCATGAAAATGCTATAATTCCTATCAGCGATGTTGAAAAACAGAGTAACTTGGATGTAGAACTTGCCAAGGTACTCAAGGACACCATAAAACATCAATGTAAAGTGCGTTTCTTGACACTGAGCTAATTATAGGTCGGAATACTGATTAGCCATTACACAGAAATTGCAGGAGTGGTTTCAAAACAACACCAAAGGAAAGACTAGACCAGGCGGTACTTTGACGAGCAAAGTCCTATCTACATTGCTTGGACAGCGTGCACGAGGCACTCGAGACCTGAAAGAAGTCAAGGTGTACTCACAACTTCACTATGAATCAAAAGTCAAGCCCTTGGTTTCAGACAACATCAGGGAAAACAAGCTTGCATTACCTGACCAGAGGCTTTGTGCTGTCCGGCACCACACAAGTGAATGTTTTGCAAAGGAGTCAGAAGATGTGAAGGATGGGGTTTGCATTGAGACTCAACATATTAACATTGCCAGAAAGTTAGGTTCTGTCGCAGCGGGGAATAATCGGACAAAAGAGGAGATTTACTGGTAATTAATTCCTCAGGATTCATTAGACTTCAACTGATTTCTTCTTGGAAGCGCAATTCAAGAGCTGCCAATTGTCCTTGGTCAGATATTCAAGGAACTCTCAACTTTGACTGGCGGATGGCATTACTCACTCGTCATGGGTGGACCAGATCCTTTGTGTGAAGGTGATATCATGACATTAAGGCATGTAGTCTTCCTTACATATTAGTCATATGGTTGATCTTATTTGCACAACTCGTCAGTTATCACCATGGCAAAACCCCAGATGGTCTGAGCTTCAAGGCGTCAATGCCTAACTTCCATGAACAGTATTTATTACCATTTGAAAGACATCTGGATCACATCTATGGTACGTATGATTTTTAGTCAGTTTGTAGGTCTACAACTGATATATGAATAGGTGGGTCTTCAAAGGGAACTTCAGTTCCCACATCTATACCCAGTACACCTCTGTCAACCACTGACCTCATTTCAACATCTGGACGCAGTTCTCCTCCTTTATTTGCCACAGACCTCATCTCGCTAGATGATTTGTTAGATCAGCAGCATGTGTCCAATGTCAGCCTGCCACTACCTCAGAGGCCTGCACATTTTGAGGACATCGACTTCAACATCACGCCACAATTGAATGAATGGCAAGGTCGCCTGCATCCCGACCTGTATTCTTATGATCCAGCAGCTCCAATGCACCCAGACTCACCGATCACTGCCTGGTGAAAGGAGTTTGTGTCAGGTGAAAATCTGACTATGTCTACTGCACTCCCTCAAGCACAGGAACCATTCACACTGCTGCAATTTTCATTTTCAGATGACGCTAATTTGTTGCCCACACGTGATCTGTCGCTTCCCGGTGCAACTCCACTACTCCATCTTCGCCAGCCTTCCCCAGTAATTTTTTCACCACAACCCTCTCCACCACTCTCTTTACCCCTGCTTTCCTTGCCACTCCCTTCACCTGAGCCTTCCTTACCGCTCACTACACCCAAGCCTTCCTTACCACTCACTATGCCCAAGCCTTCCTTACTGCTCACTATGCCTGAGCCTTCCTTACTGCTCACTTCACCCAAGCCTTCCTTACTGCCCGCTTCACCCGAGCCTTCCTTGCCACTCACTTCACCCAAGCCTTCCTTACTGCTCCCTCTGCCCAAGCCTTTTTTTTTTTAAAAAATCCATGTTTATTGTCCTTTGGGGTCAAAGACCCTATGTTGGACATAACCCTATACACAGGGGGCTTACTCCCGCTACACTATCATACATATTTGTGGTAATCTATGTTTGTTGAGTGGATATACGTGTACTCCATTGGTATGTTGTCGGGCAAAGGCCGACACCGATTTCATACAGAGGGAATGATGTAGTTAATGAGTTGCTTGTGGAGGGTATTGGTCAAATGTTGCACAAGACTTTGGCTTGGTTGCAGCTTCGATCCTGGTGTCTGTTTGTCCAAAATGTGCTCCTTTCACCTCTCTTCTTCTACAGTGACTGAGTGGCCAGTGCTAGTCTTTCCCTTTAGTCTTGGAGGTCTATTTGCTTGGTGTGTTAGCTATGTGCGTTTGTTTCCCTGTTGATATATGAAGTGTGCTTCAGTTGTGTCCAGTATTATGTTTCCGGGATCTCACCAAATGTGGTTTTAAATCTTCCTGTGCCATTAACGTATCACATGAGCGGTCTGACTGCGTCATCAGTGGTTAGTAGGTAGGTGAGTGAGGTCGCTTTGCGGCATAGGGCATTTGAGAGGATGTGGCATTCTCTTGCATATTGACAGCAGTCGAATAGGAAGTGGGGGACAGTTTCTACCATTTCTGGGCAGAATGGGCAGTGAGGGGGTCACTTTTCCCTATGAGATGAAGATGCTGGTTGAGGGGGGAGTGGTGGGTCCGCAGTTGGGTGATGATACTGGTCTGATGTCTAGGAAGAGTGGCGATGAGCTTAATGAATTTGTTGGATGGCATGCTGGGGTCAATGGTTGATGCACGTGCATAACGAGGTGATTTCTTCCAGGTTTCTGACCATCTGGTGTTCAGGTCCGATTGGTGCCATTGTTTCAGGGCTGAGATGCTGTCTGGGAGTTTGCCAAGTTGGAGGAAGGATGGTAGACATTCACGTGCGCTTGACTTTCTCTCCTTCTGCTGCTTCCTTTGCTGCTTTATCCGCTAGCTCATTGCCTGCCACTCCCTTATGTTCTGGGATCCATCTTATCATGAGGTCAAAGTTGAGATTGCAAGTGTTTCTGCAATTAGCTAGCTGTGCTGTTAAGGTGCGGAAATGTTCTACTAAGTAACTGCCCGAGTTCATGTACTGACTCTCACTGGATTGTATGGCCACCTGATTGTCTACAAAGATTGATGCTGGGTAGATCATGTTCCTTTCCATAGCGATGAGCTTCACTGCAAGTGAGAGGCCAACTACTTCCGCCTCATAAACAGTATGCTTTCGATCCGAGCCGAGGTGGTACTTTAGGATATGTGGGGCTTGTCCTTCTCATATCAGAACTGCTGCTGCTCCTATTCCTCTGTTGTGTCTCGAGCTGTCTGTGAACACTTGTACTTTGTCCAGTAATTCTTTCTGCTCCTTGATAGCATCATTTTCCTCTCTAGCAATGTGGGAGCAATATGCATTGGGTTGGTGCTTGTCTGATCTGCTAATGGGGTCGATCGTTTTGATGTTCTTGGAGAGGAGTTGGTAGGTAGCTGTGAGGTTGTGAAGGGATGAATGGTGATGGGAGGTGTTCTGGTATTTGGTGATGTGCTGCAGGTGTGAGTGTAGCAGATGTCGCTGTGGGAGGGTGGTGAGACAAAGGGCAGTGCAGTGACAGATCTTTTGGAGGAGTAGTGGGATCAGTAGGAGGTTAGCATGGTTGTTAAGGATATCTGTGGCCATCATTCTCATGGCTCTGGTTATGCTTAGTGTGGCTGTTCTCTGGACTGTGGCTAGCCATTTAGCTATTCCTAGTGACCCTCGCTGTTCTTTTGTTGCGCTGTTATGGTAGATGGGTCTGAACCATAGGTTCACTCCGTATGTGAATTTTGGTACTGCTACGGTTAGATATAGTTGGCGCATGAGTTTTGCTGATATCCTGTTTGCTGGTCTGGAGAGTCGTCACAGTTGCAGGATGTATTCCGTTCCCTTAGCTATAGCGTGTCCAGTGTGATATTTCCATGTCAGTTCTTGGTCAACTAGAAGGCCAAGGAAACAATGGTGCTCAGTGGGGTGTATGGTGGTGTTTTGCAGGACAAGTGGGGGGCAGGGGTGTGTTTTACTATGGGTAAAATCAATCAGTGCAAACTTGTTGACTTCAAACCTTGAGTTGTGCTCCTTTGACCATTGAAGCACCCCATTCGGTCTCTCCATCATGTCTTTGAGTGTGTTGTGGGTGTCTTCAAAGGATGGACCTATTGCTATGTATGCTGTATCGTCTATGAAGGCCAGTGCTGTTTCCTTATTGCGTGGGTTGGCTATATCAATGAGGTCAGCATTGTAGATTAGGTAGGTGATCATAGATAATGGGTCTTCTTGTCCTATTCCATTGCGCACGTGTATCCAGTCCGATATCGAGTCATTGAACCTTAGTTGTGTTTTGCGTCCTGAGAGCATTCTGACCGTGAACTGAACTATCTCTGGTGGAAGGTGTCTTTTCTTCATGTTGTGGGCTAGTCGGTCAGTAACTGCGTTGGGAAATGCTCCTTCAATGTCCAGAAAGAGTATTGAAGCTACTTTTTCTGTTTTACCATGTGTTTTTGACTGTTGCTTCTAGAAGGTGTAGGGAATCCGTTGTTGTGCGCCCGGGTCATCCTCCAAAGTGAGTGTTGGGTAGTAGATTGTGGTGTTCCATGAGATCTGTGACCTGTTCAGCTATGATTGCCATTAGTAGCTTGCACGTTGTATTGATGAGAGTGATGGGACAATACACTTTGTGTGTTGTATAGTCTGCTTTCCCAGGCTTCTTGAGGACTACCATTATGAATTCGCGCCAGGGGTCGAAGTAGGTGTTGAGATTGAAGACGGTGTTGAATAGGTGCCTGAGGTATGGTGTCAGTATGGATGACGCTCGTTTGAAGATGATGTTGCAGATTCCATCTGGTCCTGGCGCTTTGTAGGAGCCGGTGTTAGCTATTGCTTTCTCAATTTGGGCTTCCATGATCATTGAGAAGGCAGCTATTGGGTCAGGGTAGTCGAAGTCAATTGGGACAGAGCTGTTGGCTGGGGGCAGGGGGAAAAAGGCATTGGCGAGTGCTTTGCTTTTCTCATCATTGGTGATGGCCTCTACTAGGTTGCCTTCCTCATTCTTGACTTTGAGGACTGGTATGCTAGATCTCCCTCCGTTGCCGTAAGGTGTCGTTATGTATCAATTCGCTGTGTATACTGATTGTTGATCCAGGTCCTCTAGGAAATCTATCCAGTGCTTGTGTTTTGTTTTTTGGATTGCTTCGGTTACATGGTTGTGAAAGCAGCAGTGTTCTTCGTGGACAGGGTGCTCAGGGAGTCCTCTCAATTTGTAGGATAGATCACTTAGCTTGTTTTTCTGTTTCATCATCAGCGTCAATTCTTTTGTCCACCATTGCTTCACATAGGGGCTTTGTTTGGTCTTTGGGACTTTCTGCTCGACTGTTCAGCATAGTGCGGTAGCAAGGTTGGCAGCGGCAATTTGGAATTGTTCCTCCGAAGTGATGGTCGTTGGGTCTGGATAGTCAGCTAAGTTCCTGTTGAGGGTGCCGCAGAATTCTTCCCAGTCAACATCACGGTAGTTGAATGTGGATGTCATAGAAGCTGCAAGGTATAGGGAGGTCTAGGGTACTGTATATGGGTACATGGTCAGTACAGGGAGGGCGGTGCCTAGGTGCTGTGTCACAGAGAGTGAATGAGTCAAGTGTATGGGTGGTACAGAATACATTGTCCGGCCTTGTCCAGTTTCTGCTGCTGGTCGATTGGAGGGTAGGTTTGTCTCTTGGTAGCACCATTTGTAGATCATAGTCAGCCATTAGTTCGATTATGCGTTGTGCTACTTCCTGGGCCTCCAGTGGGGAGCATAGGTAGGCATTTCTGGCTTCTTCCCATAGCTGGTGATGCGTGTTGAAGTCGCCTAGGAGGACTAGGTGGTCCAAAGGTGATGATCGGATAGTGCAGCTCTCCCTGTCTAAGAATGTAGTGAGTGTGGGTAGTGTCTCCTGTTTTGTGCTGTCATCGTAGATGTTAATTAGGGTGAGCTTTCCGAATGTGCCTTGCATTTGAATGATTACAATGTCTGGTGATGGGAACGGGATTTGCCTCCAGTTGTTGGTGTTCATTCATTTGTGGACTAGGGTGATTGCGCACAATCAGTTTCTGAGGGTGAGTCTGTGGGTTGGGTAGACAATGTTCCAGTCCGGAGTGGCTCTCATGTTGCCTAGCACTGTTGATACATGGTTCCTGTAAGGCGACTATATTGAAGGCCTTCGCTATAAATGGGCCGCTTAATATACAGTGTTGTGCTGTTTCTGATTTATTTAGGTTTTCTTGCCATATACATAGTCTTACAGCTTGTTCATCGGGTGTATTAGACATTGATTGAGGGTGTTGAGGGAGGGTCTGGCGATGGGGAGCAAATGAGGGAGATAGGTGGCGAGCATCGTGAGGGGAATCCGGCATTGCATGGTAGATGGGAGGTGCCTCATTGGTCTTCCTCCTCTCAGATTCATATGCCTGTCCAGAGTATCCTGAGTTCACGGTTGTGTTATGTGTGCCTGAGTTCGGGTGGATTGGGGGGTTGCTTTTGATGGGGCAGGTAACTTGGGTCCAGGATTTATTTGTTGGGAAGTAGGGCATGGTGTTCTCTGGGTATCTTTTGTTGAGGTCCATGCATCTATGTTCAAATTCAGGGCAGCTTCATTCCCAGCTAGCATGTCCTTTCATTTTGCATGTGACACAACATTGTCTGTTCCTGTTGTTGCATTCGCTGGTTCTGTGCTCTTCAGAGCAATTGGTGCAGGTATCGCAGTGTGAGGTGCATTCTCAGGCTATGTGGCTGTAGTGCTGACATTTGGCACATCAAATTGGTTCTCTTCTGTTCTTCTTCATTTGTAGGCGGTTTTGGTTTAGTGTGATTCTGTTGCGTATCTCCTTGTTTGCGTTATCCGGGTTCTTGAGTACCATCAGTAGGTGGGCGACCTGTTGGTGGTTGGTGCGTTTGTTGGGTGGTTTGATCCATCTCGCCGATGTGATGGTTCCTTGCTCCTAGTCATTTTCCTTCTCGAGGTCGCTGATTTGACTTTCGCTGTCAGGGTCAAATGTCAGCTGGGACGAACTGGATGACCACCAGATATCCTCTGTTTTTGACTACAGCTTTTGGGTCTAGGTTCTTAATGAATCTTTCCTTAATATCGCTTCTCTCTAGGTATTCTGCAGCTTCCGCATTCATCATTTCCAAGATTGTTTCGCCATTGCAGTATTGATTGACTGAGCGAATATTCAGTTCTGGCATGTCAGTGGAAACAATGGTTGAAAGGGCTGCTTTGATCTTCTCAACTAGTTGTGCATGTGAGACTTTGGTTGGAGCTACTGGGCCATCAGGGGCAACATTGATGAGGATTTGATGGGCCTTGATCGCGTCTCTTGCTGCAAGATAATTGGTTTGATTGTTGGCATTGTTATCTGGTCCAGATAATAAGGCTGTCCTGTAGCTGGATTTCTGGGTCGTTTCCTTGATTAGGGTCGTTACTTCTTGTTGCAGCTTCTCCAGTCGGGAGTCAATGTTACCGGTGTCAGTGAGGTTGTCTTGGATCAATTTGATAGATGGTGCAAGCTGAGCTACTGACTCTTTGATCATTTTCATGCTGTTGGTTATTTCATTTACTGTTGATTCTGCTTTCTTTATTGTTTCATTTAGAGTCTGATTGCCATTTGCTTCATTGGTACTAATGTCCATTAATTCACTTAGCTTATTGATTGGGAACAGTTGAGCCAAAATGCATGATATCTCTGTAGACTCTGTGAACGTCATGAGAAGTAGATGTGGCAAGTACTCAAAGGGTGCGAATGAATGTCCAGTTCCTGGGCAACCTTGGCTTCGTGCTGCTCGTCAGTTATTTTCCCATTCATCGGATGTTGTGAATAACACTCTCCTTAATATGATTATCCTTCAATCAGCAAAGCTCAGCACGGCCGTCCCATAACACCAAAAATCTTGCACAATGCGTGAGGTTTGGTCTTCCACAGAAATTTTGTGGTAAACAAGATGGAACTTCGTAAGGTACGGTTGAAAAGTCAATGTTTATAAACAGGTGTTAAATATTCTGGTTATTCTTTTTATCACTGTGCAAAAATTGCCCCGTAATTTGGGTTGTTGGAAATCGTGAACAATTGTGGTCATGCATGGCCATCTGCAGCATCTGGACGACTTCATAACTGCAAAATTGAGGCATGAGAATGATCATAAATAAGGCTGATGTCGATTGTGGACGTACCAAGGCTTCTGCCGAGGATATGGGGTGGCAAGGGGTACTAGGCTGAATATGGCTATTGCTTTGGTTGTGGTTACTGAGACCTCAGAGTAGGATGGACGACATACCAGTAGAAGCAGGAGGGTTGCATCAGAAGACCCAGAGAGCCAAAGTAGGTTGATTCAAAGAAGCTCGCAATAAGAAAAACATTGACAGTATGGAATCCGTAAGTACAAAAAAAAGGTTGTTTTATCACTGATTCAAAGTGAGTGGGGGAGATTTGAGTCAGTAAAAATGTCATCAAATGTAGCACTAGAGTTGCTCCAGTGTCTCCTTAGCATCCTAACTTAGTTTGATAATTGTCAGTTATCAGTTGGTTATCCATGGATTTACAGATGCCGGCAATGAAACTCACCAAGTAAAGTCACAGGTAGAGGAACATCAGACACAATGTTGATAGTAAATGTCTCATTGACAAGTATAGCTGGGTGGTAGGCAATGCACTCATCTGGAGGGTAGAACTAGAAAAGAAATATCCACTCAGAAATATCAGTCTATCATGATGAAGGGGAAGAATGAAGGGGAAATTTGAGTGCAAGCTCTGAACAATTGGTATGACTCAGAATTTCAGAATCCCAGCGTCCTCATCAATTTCATGCTCCTGCTTTCCCCCCAACAAACTGAAATTTGATACAGATTGTGATGCAGTAGAAGGCTGTTGTTCACTGGAAAGTATATCATCAAGAGACAGAGAGGAAAGAGACAGAAGAGAAAATATATGGATGATTGAAATATAGAAAAAGCGCAGAATGAGCTGGTTGTTTCAAGTGGATCTCGAGCGAAACTTGGCCTTTGTACCCTCATACTGAAGCATAGTCAGAGTTTGCTTTTAAAAAGGATATGAGTTGCAGAACGACACCTCACTCTTTCTTCTTCTGTGCTCTCCTGTTGTGCATTGCTGACCAATTTTTCCATCCACCCACCTCTCTCTCTCACTGATTCTAGTGTGTATTTGTGTTTCAATCAGACCCGCATCCAAGTGATGAGAATGTGAGTGGTTGAAGCTCGCCCTCCATGTCCTCTCTGGAATCATCAGCATTGTCGTTGTTGCTGTCAGGATTTGGAAGACGTGGACTTGCCTAGTCAAAGTAGAACGTGTGTGTGAAGAAGTATAGGCCGCTACTATCATTCTGGGTAATCTGCAACTTTTTCAGCAAATCTTTTGTAGCTTGTCAACCACTTCATTTTATCTTCCATGAATTTAGAGGGTTGTAGATTTGTACCACCTCTATATAGATCTGATTTTTGCTCATTTTTAGGACATTGTGGTGTGGTGTTGGATGAAAGCCAAGAAAATTCAGGGTCTGACTACTAATCTGCAAAATATGGTCATGTCATGTCACGCATTGGCGCAGCACCGGCACTGTCAACTTTGACTCTCTGCAGCTCTTGATCTGTTGGCGTTGAGTCGTCAAACTTGAAGCTTGAAACGTGAAGCTTGAAGTTGAAGTTGTGCGAAGCTCTGAAAATACTGAATACAGCAATATATTATTATTAAGTATTGTGATTCATGTAGTTATTGTGATTGTACTGGTGTGCTCTAGCAGCCGGCGCAAAGTGAGGAATATGTGGAGGCTGAAGCTGAGGTGCAGAATGGTGCATGGGATAATATGGGGGTGCATACCCAGGTGGGGGAAGATCCATGTGCAACACTGAGGGTTGACTTGGAGGGATAGGCTGTGGTTGATAGCCACCAAATGGTTCATGCATTGAATTTTGATGAATCATGTCTTGCTTTGGCTTTCTTCTGACGGATAGTATGCCTGTGGTTTGGTGCCATTGTAACAAGGATGCAAGAATGATGCAAGAGGAGACAACACAACACAACACAATGCAAGACTTTGTGTGGAGAGTGCAGATGCCATGCACTAGCTGAGTGTGCTGTAGAGGAGATTGAATTTCTTACACTCTCTCCTATCTGCTGTCATGTTTTCATACATGTTGTCAATTCTTCCTCTATAGCATCTTAAAACAACAGGATGACCTTTATTGAAATTGTGTTCTGGAATCCTGACGAGGTGATTGTTATTGTGATGTTCGTTAAAAGACCTAGATGGTTACCAATTAAGATATCAATCAGCTTTGATATATTTCTTATTAGTTCACCCTGTTTCTTCCCTCCTTAATTTCTTATTCCTACTTTCCCCGATCCTCCTTATTGTATATAAACTAGTGTACTTAGTGTAGGATTGGGAGTTGATCCTTCCCTCAAAATAAAGCTTAGTTTGGCCAGTTTACCTCTGCTCAAACCCTAAGTTCTCACAAGTTGACTCAATTCCCGTGTGCATGTTCTAAGAACGCCACATATTTTTAAAACTTGAATTCTAAAGCTCTACCTATATCTTTACTCTATGGCCGCCGATTGACAAGGATTGATCACCCTCTGAACCGACGACCCTTCCCACACCTATCCCTTACCACCTTCTGATAAAAAGAACAAGAGATGTTGACCATCTCTATTGATGCATCTAAGAACTCATCTCGAAGCTCCTCTCCCCATGGGAACGAGTCGAGCAGAGACGGAGGTGCTCTCGAACTGGGTGTCGAGAGTGCCTGGATTTGTGATGAGACATTCGTCACTGGAGTTAAGCTGTCCAACAGTCAGAGGGCAGAACCCCCGACTAGTGACCAGCTATCCACCAAAGGCGCGGAAGGAGCACTAGGTGCCCCCATAGAAACTAGTACCCCCCTCATTTTCTGCGATGGGAGTGACAGGGCCAAGCCCCTGTCCGATAACACAAGTAGAGGCTCAGCTCCGATGAGCATCTCTCCACTTCTCTGAAGTGTTTCTGGGCAACCTTCTCCAATACTACTTGACATGACTATTAAGAGCAATAATAGCCCATACCGTAGTACCACCAAAACGAGTGAACCGTGAGTCAACGTCAGCTGGGCTGACCTCCCTATCGATGACGACGAATTAGGCGACTTACCCAAGTTTCCAGCACAAAGCCCAAAGAGCAAGGCCTCGTCATTGGGTTCTCCCCCTTGTTTCCCTGCTGAACTCAAAGGTAAATAAGTGGATACCCGCGAACAGGAAAACATGCCACCAAAAGACTGGCTAGACCAATGGTTGGACCTTGATGAAGGTCTAGCAGAAGCATTGCAACCAGGATCCAATGACCCAGACACCTCCTTACGAGATATCTGGGATAACGATAACAAATGGTTGTCTATACAACTGCAAAACCTCTACCTGAGACAATACCACAACCAGGTGAAAGAAGAACTGGTGGAACAGTCCACCCTGGTGACTGACCTCCAGGAACGAGTCAGAGAGCTCAAAAACCTAATTATTCAGAGTCAAACCAGAGAGGAAGAAGCTCAAAAGCAAGTTAGAGACACACACAGAGCCCCCGTCATCAGCATCCAATGCCCTTACTCCTAAACCAAGAAGCGAAGATGTGACCAATGACAAAGCTACTTCTCACTGTCACTAGGCCCCAGAAAACTGAGCGAGCTAAGTCGACTCCCAGCAGACCTGAGCCGACAAGGTACCAGAGAGCCTCATCCGTACTCCCAACTAGCAGTTCAGTTCAAACGGGCGATGCTTGGTAGCAGCCATAAAGACCCCGACCCTGATGACTCGCTGTCCAACTCATCAGAGGACAACAATGAATCCTCAACAGAGTCCTGCTCTGAAGATGAGATTCCCATTAGCACACAGAAGACCGCGCCCCTAAATCACCCTAGCCATGTGAAGTCTAAAGACTATGACAAACCGGATCATAATAGCCTCTCACCCACCAATGACTTCGGGGCTGATTTTCTCACTCTCGAGCCTGAATCAGACCATGCTAGTGATTCCGCAGATACGAAACGCTCAAAAAGAACTGCTAGGAGACAGTACCAAGCCAAACTGAACCTGCTCAAATATCAACAAAGTTTCATCAAGAATGAGCCGCCATTCACCTATAACAGTGACACTAACTCCACTACATTCAAGAAGTGGGTTCGTGAGGTCTGCAATTGGAAAGATCATGCCCAACTAACGACAGGTCAAAGCCTCTGCATGCTCAGGAAAGTACCTGAGTGGACAGGCTTACCGATTCTATGAATGCAATATACTTGACCTAGAGAAATCTTACTCTCTCACCGAGTTCTTTGAACAACTCTTTGACTACGTATTTCCCCCTGACTTTAGGATGCAACAGCATCAGAAATTCATCAAGTGCCGTCAAGAGAACAAGCAGAGCATTCACAATTACTTGAGATGCCTTCGAACTCTCGCAGATATGGCCGGAGACATGGATGACCGTGAAATAGTGAGACAATTCTGGATGAACTGTCTCCCCTACCTGAAAGCTTCTTTAGTTGACAAGGGCTACGAACAAAACACTGTAAGTCTCGAGATGATCAAAAGGAAAGCACTGCGTACCGAGAGAGCATTCCTCGAGAATTCCAAGGATCCGAACATCCTGCTAGCCATCAACCTGACATTAGCCACAGGATATGCCCAGAATAACAACCAGAACGACCATAGGGAGACGTCTCATGGTAATAGGCTTGACAGATGGCCACGGACTCAATCCATTTCAGCCAATGCCATTCATCATTCAAGGATCTCGTGATCCACAAGGGTGAAGTCACCCTTTCCCAGGAGTACCCTCCCCCAGAGCCTCTGGACACCTGGAGAGACCAAAGAGATCCCCTGAATACCTTAAACGACTTCGTGACTTAAACCAATGTTTTGAGTGCAAACAAATGGGACACTTAGCTAAAGACTGCCCAAAACTCCATTGTCTGACGTACAAGCCCCCTGGGCGCAACACCCCCACCATCCGAGCCAACGCAGTGACCATCTCAAACACTGACATCAGATCCGCAGTGATTGAAGAAGGTATCACCTCTGGACTGTATGAGATGGCGGTAGGATTGGACAAACTATCCGAATTAAATGCAGAAAAGCACTGTATTGTCAAGCAGCAGACCCTTGCTACCCTCCTACTTGCTGTTCCCCTCCCAACCGACGAACTGGTAGACCCCCTGTATGACCCTTTTGCAGTTAGACAGATTCTGCCTTTCTAACCATGGCGGCCCAGACACCTACCTTTTATTGGATTGTCACAATTATGATGACTACATAATATACTTTAGTTCAATTATGCGACCCCAAGTTCGATGCAGTCGCTTGGCTGGTCAATTTGAAACTTCGGAACTTCAATGACCTCATCCTCACCAAAATGTCTTTCAAACTGTCCTGGAATAACTCCCCCTGCTCATCACTAGTAATGACCACATCATCAGCTGACTACCCATCCGTCGACATTGCAGCTGACTTACCAGCTGAGCCCAAACGAGCATGATGATCGAGGATACTTATCCCCCTTGCCTCAGGTTGAAGACGATGAATTACCCCCTTTGTTAGAATGTGAGACGTCAGATGACGAAGAACGCGCTAGCATTAGCTCTCTATACTGCATGAGCAGCAGTAAGCATACCAATCTTCCGGATTTGAGAACCCTCCAGCGACAATCTGCTAGACCAAAGTCTACCTCAAGGATTCTTCCACGGTCCATCGTAGTCATTGTCCTTGTGAACGGCAAGCCCTGTAGAGCCCTCCTAGACTCAGGCTCACTGACGGACTTCCTTTCGACCACTATCATTGATCAGCTTAAGCTCCGATATTCCATCCTAGAGAAACCCATACCCCTACAATTAGCCATTTCAGGGTTGCAGAGCGTTGTCAAAGCCAACATGACCATTGAATTTTTTTACCAAGAAATCAACTGCGAACGTACCTTCGACATCACTAACCTCAAATCCTATGATGTGATCCTCGGAATGCCTTTTCTGTTTCAGCATCAGGTCCTCTTGGGCTTTAATCCCCCTGAAATTAAGATTAGAAGTATTGACCCATTGCCTATACGTGGATCACAGACCCAAGTACTTGAACTGCAACAATCCAGACACAAGACTAGTCTTATTGACAGATATTGTGAAGAGTTGTGAGCTTATGCCCAGGATATCTGCAAGGAAGCCAATGAGACCTCACTTCCTCCTATCCGAGAAATCAACCACATTATTCCATTAATAGACAAGCATCAAGTATATTCTTGGCGCCAATCTCACTGCCCTGAGGCGCTAAGGCCTCTCTGGCGGGAGAAATGTGACGATTATATCCGTACTGGGAGATGGGAGTTCTTCAGTGGTACCAACGCTGTACCCATGATAATGATGAAGAAAGTTACTAAAGACAATTCGCTTCGTCTTTGAACCATCCTGGACACTCGTCAGCAGAACAAGAACACCAGGAAACTCGCGTTGCCACTGCCTGACATTGAGACCATCCTAAGAAATGTGTCTACACACCCTTACCGCTCCCTACTCAACGGTAAAGATGCATACAAACAGATTCATATTGTCCCCAAGGACATCCCGAAATCACAGTTTGCCACCCCTGATGGTACTATGATTAGCTATGTAATGCAGATTGGAGACTGCAATGCAGGGGCTACCTACCAATCCTTGATGAATCACATCTTTGGACCGTTCATTGGCATTTTCATGGACATATACCTCGATGACATCGTCATATACTCTGACACGCCCGAGGATCACGTAAAGCATGTTAGAACCATTATAGACACCCTAAGAAAGAACAAGTTCTACTTGAGCAAACACAAGCTACAGTTCTTTATGCCCGAATTATCGATCCTCAGACACGTTATTGATGACGCTGGTATACGATTAGACCCTCACAAAGTCGACAAAATTGTCAATTGGAAAATGCCCACCTCCAAAGAACTCTTGATGCAATTTATCGGATCTGTCGGCTACCTTGCCGCCAGATGCAAAGGAGTTCAAGTGGACATGCAACACCTGTCGAAAGTGGCCTCCAAGACTACTCAATGATCGTGGACTCCTACTTATCAGCATGCCTTTGACCTTGTCAAAGTGTGCGTACAGGCTCACCAAGACATTCGGCGACGGACCCTCAGATTAATCCCTGCACAGGATAGTACCTGTCGAGTAAACCTGAGTACTGACGTGTCATTCACTGGCGCCAGTGGTGTCCTGTCCCAGGGCCTGGATGTTAAGGGTGCAGACATAATTGCATTTTGGTCCAGCAAATTCGATGCAGCCAACAAAACTACCCTGTCCATGAACAGGAACTGTTAGCAATTGTCGAGTCCCTGAAACGATTCAGACACCCACCAATCGGCTTCAGATTCTGCATATTCACAGACCATAAGGGCCTTGAGTGGCTCGGGTCTCAAAAGAAACTCTCGCCTCGCCAAGCACGCTGGCTAGAACTCGTTAGCAAGTTCGACTTTGAGATAATTCACGTATCAGGGGTTGACAATAACCTTGCTGATGCGCTGTCCCGCATTTACAGTGATGAACCTGCTGGAACGGTCAGAACCGCTAGTGAATATGTTAGCATTAGCAAAGAAGACGTTCCGCACTCACTGCTCCTAAACTTCGTAATTGCACCCATATACACAGGAACCCCACTATTCCTAGGGGTGACAGAAGCGCGCCATTCAACTTGCATAGCAATCAGACGCAAAACGTGCACGCGAAGCGACAAACCAAGCAACCACAAGTACCCAAGGATCCTCACTGAAAGCGCAGGCCCCATCTGTCACAGACCTCACTGAATCCCTGGTGAGACTGTCAACTCAACCAGCAAAGATGAAGTGTCCGACCATGGACCTGAAACCCACATGGTCCCTGAAGATGAACACATAAGCACACCAACCCAAACGGCGGCATCTGCGCCAGCTCAGGAAATCTCTGACTCACCACAAACCGCTGCACCACAGATACCATCTCAGCGTGAAGTGATTCTGCAAATGGGTAAAGACCCAGCAAAATCCCTGGAGGGCGAGAGCGCAGCAGCTACCGAGACAACCCCACCAGTAAAGAACTCACCAACACCAGAGGCAATGGCAGACCCATCGGAATCAGGCTCACTGGACAGCCTAAGAGCGCACTCAGACGACCCGAGAAGTAAAGAAGTAAGCACAAACAGCACTGAAAATGCAAGTACAAACATGGACCCACAATTACGTCCTGACACGTCGACACAAATCACAGAAGATCTGCTGTCAGAACAACCTCCCTCACTCACCGAATTAATCTCCCTCAGCGACCCAACGGTCGACATCCACGAAAGCCTCGTCAACCAATATGACGAGGACAAGTTCTTTACCAAAATTATTGCCAGCCCCAATTCCTACAAAAACTTTGAGGTTAGTAACAGCAGGATATTCCTGAAGGACAAAGGGAACAGAGTACTCTATGTCCTGGACATCCTAGTCGGTAAATGACGCGTGTGAGAGATTGTCATCTTGCACGCGCACTCCCTACTTGCTCACTTAGGCCCGTCAAAGATGTTAACTTACCTTAGAGACAATGTTTGGTGGAAAGAAATGGCGGCAGACATGCAAGCATTCTGCAACTCGTGTGGCACACACCAAGTAAACCAACCCTCTAATCATCAACCTTACGGATTACTGGAGACCCTTGAAGTACCCTCACGCCCCTGGGAAATGGTGGGAATCGATTTTGTTGGCCCTCTACCCAAATCACGAACCCTCAACGGCTCATTTGATATGATCTTGGTCACGATAGACCACCTAACCTCAATGGTACACTTAGCCCCCACCAAGCAGACCTACCACACTAAGGACATCGCCAAAGTCATGTTCAACTTAGTTTACAAACTACACGGGATGCCCTCCAACCTTGTTAGTGACCAAGATACCTTATTTACGAGTACATTTTGGAAATGTCTCTATCAATTAACGGGTGTTGAGCTAAGGATGTCCACATCTTTTCACCTGCAGTCCGACAGCGCAACTGAACAAGCTAACCGTACAATGACCCAGATGCTGCGACAGATCATTTCTGTCGATCAACGCAACTGGGCAATTAAACTCCCAGCAATTGAGTTCACTATAAACTCAGCTAGCTCAGTCTCATGAAAGTACTCTCCCTTTGTACTGATCTACGGGCGACAACCCCCGTCTATGATCTGGAATGCTCGATCTGAATACCCCAGGGTACATATATTTGCCCAATGAATAAAGGACACGCTGATGAGCACTTATGATGCCCTCATCGCGGCTCACATCAAGAATACCACAATAGCTAACCACAAATGCAAGGAGTCGCCCTTCGTAAAGGGTGATCTTGTCTATCTTTCCACCAAAAACCTCTCACTCCCAAAGGGCAGAGCTCGAAAGCTCGCCCTGAAGTTTATCGGTCCATTCAAGATACTTGAGGATTACCACAACAACTCCTACCTACTAGACCTCCCCGCAAACCTTAAGCAATGTGGGCTTCACCCTGCCTTCCATGCTCACCTGCTGAGGATTCACATTCCAAATGATGATCAACGGTTCCCTGGGAGACAACTGGACCAAGTCACCAACTTGGGAAGTCTCGAAGAATGGTCAGTCGCCTGAGTTACTGATCACAACAGTCAGGGGACAAACTTGTTATTTGAGGTTGAATATACAACTGGAGATAAGGTCTGGCTCCCATATTATGAAGTATCGTGATTGGAAGCCATAGGACAGTACCTTGAAGCACTTGGTGTGCCCAACATAATGCACTTACCCCAGAAGATCTCTAAGGCAACCCATGACATTAGCGTCGCCTCTGTCACTACTGTCGATACAGCCGAAGGCACTAGGCGTTGTGTCGACCAAATTATAGCCCAGATGCTCGCTAACCTCCCAGTCAAGATGTCCTTTAAAGGCTCCGATCTGATTGGTATAAGAAAGACTCCACACAGGCCGTCAAATAGCATCAACAAGCCCACCAAGTCTACCATGCCTCAAACGGCCCCAACCCATCTTACCTCTGAGCCAATGAATGTCAATGTTGTCGCTCATCCTCCCTCGTACAAACCAGGCAAGGTCCCGGCCTCTGAACCTCATCCCCCCTCTTCGAGAACCTCTCGTTCGAGTAGGAGGAATAACTGCCCCAGAGGGCGAGGTGGACGAGGGTATAGGTCCTCCCACAGGGAGCCCAATGTTGAAGCACTCGATGCCTTCACCCAGTTCTTCAGAACCAAGGCAAAAGCTAGTAAGAGATTTAAAGCCCCTCCCCAAGCTTGTGGCCTAAAAACCAGCGCTCCTTTAGAGGAACTGGCAATAAAGAAGGAAACTCACGCGTTCAAACAGCAACTTCGAGCCAAGCATGAACGCTCTTACATGTCCTGACCCCGTGTCGCACCTAGTAGCAACCCCTCTATCGACAATTGTTGTCGTAACCGTGACCTTGTATACCCACGATCCCATCCTCCTTCCTCGAGCTCCACGCTCCATGCGAGCACTCCTGTGCCCTTAACAGCCACACAAGTTATCTCTTCCACAACTGCCCAGGCTGAAACTTTGAAGAGTACTCCTATCCCTGCTTCCTCCACCCCTCAAGTAGTGGATCCTGGAGCTGATATCGATGATATCATTGCTGCCACTGAGCAGCTGGACCTAGAGCGTAATGCTAGAATCACGGACTTGTCCAATGCTCAATTCCTGGGTAGAGTTGCAGTTCTCGGTCTCATAGTATCCCAAGTACTCACTCTCCTTGTCCTGTTAGCCGCATTTGGCGCTGCCATGACCAATGTCACCATAACTTGAAAAGAACTCCTAACTCCCACACGACATTGCAGCCCCTCCCCTTGGATGAGCTGGAGGGTGTATGTGACATTTGTTAAAAGACCTAGATGGTTACCAATTAAGATATCAATCAGCTTTGATATATTTCTTATTAGTTCACCCTGTTTCTTCCTTCCTTAGTAGTTTCTTATTCCTACTTTCCCCAATCCTCCTTATTGTATATAAACTAGCGTACTTAGTGTAGGATCAGGAGTTGATCCTTCCCTCAAAATAAAGCTTAGTTTGGCCAGTTTACCTCTGCTCAAACCCTAAGTTCTCACAAGTCGACTCAATTCCCGTGTGCACGTTCTAAGAACACCACAGTTATGCTCCAGGTATAACTTTGTGAATATATCTGTAGGATCTATGGGATCTGGATGATTTATGTTCCTGCATGGTTATAAATTACCACTATTTCATCTCTCGCAGCTGCAACACTCAAGAAATTTTCATTCTACTTGGACAATACACCATCTATAAGTAGTCTACACATGCCTGGATTTTTTTGAAGTGAGTCGAGCAGCGCGTTGAGGTGTTTTGAACATTTTGCATATTACATGCTAGTTGCAGATTACCCGGAATGATAGTAGCTTCAGTAATCAATTGACTTTGGTCTCACGTGATCAGTCAAGAAGGAATGCACAATTTTCATAACAGATGTTGATCTAAGTACTGGCATACACCTGGCTGTCTGCAGACGAAAATTGCTCCTCCTGTTGGATGTGTCGTCTCCCCCACCTCTTCACATCACGTTCAGCAGTGATCCTTCACAGTTGCTGCAGCCGGACAAAAATCAAATTGATCTGCCACCAACTTGCCGTTATCCTGATATGATCGCTAGCATGTAAGCCGAGAACAATGAGGGGGCCCAACACCTAGAAAGCACTTACGGGGTGGTACATACAGTAAATAGTGGAACTGTAGAGCGTAACATCATCGTAGCTGCCGGCCTATTAGTTACTTTGTCCAATGAAGATGTGTGGGTGTAACGCACTTGCAATATGTGAAATTGTCGAGTGTGTTGGTATCGCGTAGTTTCTTGGTACTACCGCCGACCCTCACTGTGGCTGGGCACTGTACACACGCATTGGCGCCAGCGAGGAAGCTGATCAGCGCAAACATGATGGAGCGGGAAGTAAACATGATGGAGTTTGTGAAAGCGAGTGAGGACAAAGCCATAGTGGCAGGCAGGTGTTTTATAGGCTGTGACTTCCAGTGTGAACGTAAAGGTGTTGCTCGCGTTACTGCTGAGATACCGTACCTCAGGCCAAAAAGGTTGAGGACTCGAACTCGAAGGGAGATGTGCGGCACGATGGGGTCGCGGGGCACGAATGAATCTCCGGTTCCTGGGCGGCCTTGGCTTTAAATTCGCGTTGCTCGTCAGATATGTGCACGTTCATCGGATGTTGTGAACAACACTCTCCGTAATATGACCATCCTTGATTCGATGAAGCTCAGCACGGCCGCCCAATAATACCGAAAATCCTACGCAATGTTTGAGTTTTGGTCTCCCGCAGAAAGTTCGTGGTCAAAAAGATGGAACTTCGTAAGGTACGGTTAAGAAATCGAGGTGTATAAACAGGTGTGAAATATTCCAGTAGTTATGTATAACGCTGTTAGAAAGTCGCTCCGTAATTTGGGCTATTGGAAATTGTGAACAACTGCAGTCATACAGGGCCGTCTGCGCCATTCAGACAACTTCATAGCTGCAAAACCGAGGCTGGCTACTGTCACGGAATGCATGAGAATAAGGCTTATGTCGATCGTGGACGCGCCAGGGTTTTCTGCCGAGGAAATGGGGTACCATGCTGAAGATGGTCTATCGCTTGGGTATGGTTACTAAGACCTCGGAGTGGGATGCATGACATACTAGTAGAGGCCAGGACGGTTGCATCGGAAGACCAAGACAGCCAAATTAGGCTGATCCTGAAAAGCTCGCGATAAGAAACACGTTGAGTATGGAATTCGTAAGAAGAAAAAACTTACCCTATCACTACAATGCATCAAGGCAAATGGGGAGATTGCACCAGCTTCAGGAAATATTCAGCGATGCGTCGCATCAGGAAAAACCTCCTTCGGGAACTTCACGAAGATTCACAAACTCGCGCCGAAAAAAAGTTGTTGTTGCTGTCCTGTCAGGACTCGGAAGACATGGACTTGCCGGCATGCTGGTCAAAGACTAAAGTAGAACGTTGTGCGAAGTTTGGTTCCACGCGCTACATAATGTGACACGTGACATGTCTGTCCGGAATAGCATATTTGAGCCCCCAAAAATAGCAGATTGGAGACCCAGAATGGGGTCACCAGACGGACAGACATAGCAGGAGTGGATCGTGGACATGAAATATGGAAATTATGGAAATTGATACAGCAGTAAAAGGCTTGCCGTAGTATCTTATCAAGGGACAGACACAAGAGAAAATGAAAATATAAGGATGATAAAAAGTGTGGCAGGAGCTGCATCAGTGGTATATAGCTCAAGGAAACGTACTTGAACTTGTCAAGTCGTCGACTTTAGTCTTACGTGATCAGTTGCGAAGGTAATTCTCGTAACAGATGGTGATCTACTGACATACACCCTACTGTCTGCGGACGAACATTGCCCCTCTGTGATGTCTCTCCCCTACCTCTCCACATCACGTTCAGCAGTGATCTTTCACAGTTGCCGTAGCCGGACAGTTCTTATCCCCAGCTTGAAACATGCCGCTATTCTGATATGAACGCTAGCATGTCAACCGAGAACAACGAGCTGCATAATATCCAGAAAGCACTTACGGTGTTATATGCACAGCTCACTGGTGCCTTTTCATACCAAGGTTGCCGCTGGTAGCTGCCAGCCTATCAGTTACTTTATTCAATGAAGATGTGTGGGTGCGACCCACATGCAATATGTGTTCTGGCCTTCTACGCGGGTACCTATTGTGTACAAGGTAGTACCGCCAGAGTAGTTGAGTGTGGCTGAGCACTTCACACATACATAAGCATTTGCACCAGCGAGGAAGCTGATCAGCGCAAAGATGATGGAGGGGGAAGTAAACATGTGGAAGGCGATGAGGCAAAGCCATAGTAGCAGGCAGGTGTTTTATAGGCTAACTTCCAGTGTGAACGCAAAGGCGCTGCTAGCTTTGCTGCTGAGATGCCTTACTTCAGGCGACAAAGTTGAGCCAGAACACATAATAATCTCTGCAGACTCGAGAAGAGCTGTATTGATGTAACAAGTACTCAAAGGAAGATGTATGGCACGATGGGATCGTGGGGCGCAAATGAATCTCCGGTTCCTGTGAGGCATGGGCTGCGTGTTGCTCATCAGATATGTGCACGTTCATCGGACGTTGTGAACAACACTCTCCGTAATATGACTATCCTTCAATCAACGAAGCTCAGCACAGCCGCCCCATATATGCCAAAACCCCTTCGCAACGTCCGAGTTTTGGTCTTTCGCAGAAATTTCGTGGTCAATAAGACAGAACTTCGTAAGGTATGGTTGAAAGGTCGATGTTTATACACAGGTATTCAATATTCCGGTTGTTATTTATAATACTGTTAAAAGTCACTCCGTAATTTGGGCTGTTGAAAATTGTGAACAATTGTGGCCATGCAGGGCCATCAGCGGCGTCCGGACAATTTCATAGCTGCAAAACCGAGGCCTGGATACCGTCACGGATGGCATGAGCAGGATCATAAATAAGGCTGATGTCGATCGTGGACGTGCCGGGGCTTTCTGCCGAGGATATGGGGTGGCAAGGAGTACCAGGCTAAACCAGGAGGGTTGGATCGGAAGGCCAAGAGAGCCAAAATAGGCTGATCCCGAGAAGCTCGCGATAAGAAACACGTTGAGTGTGGAATCCGTAAGAAGAAAAAACTTGCCCTATCATTGCATCGAGGCGAGATTTTATCAGCTTTCAGGAAATGTTCAGCGGTGTGTCATCAGAGTACCAGTGCTCCAGTGTATTTAACGATTTGTCAGTCACTGGTATGGATTTACAGACGGCGGCAACGAAACTCACCAAGTCGATTGAGGGTCCAGTGAGAGGAACTTCAGACAAACAGTTGATAAATGTTGATAGTAGATGTTGCATTGACGAGTACAGCCGCTGGGTCATCTGGAGGTAGTACTAGAAAAGAAACAACAATGCGCGAATTTCATGTTAATTTGCTAAGCCTCCTATCAGTCCGTCAGCTATTCTCATGAATAGGGAATAAAGAAGGGGGAAATCGAGCGCAGCTCTGAACAACCAATTTCAGAATGCCAGCGTCTTCGTCAATTTCGCGCTCACACTCCTTATACCGACAGACTGAAAATTGATACAGCTTACAATGCAATACGATGTAGTAAAGGGCTGTATTACGTCGTTAGCTGGAAAGTATGTCGTCAAGAGACAGAGAAAATAGAGAAGTGTGGAAGGAGCTGTAGCGTGGGTTCAGGAAACGTTAGTTTCCCCCAGCCAGACCAATCGATTGAAGATAGTCGTTCCTTGGTGTTAGGAGGAAACGTGCTGGCAGCATGCGTCTCAGGATCAACTGGTAGTTACTACTAGTCGTCCTTTGTGACTTGTGACTCGAGTAATCTATGACTTTAGTCTCACGTGATCAGTCGCGACTGGAGAAGGTGTGACATGGCAGTGTAACCTTGTCGTCCGGACTCCGGAGCCCTACTTCTGGGCTCAACAGATGCATCAACAGAAGGGAGAAACACAGATAATGGAAAGCACGCACTCGTACTCGACAGCTACCCGACCCGGTGGCGTGACTATATGCGCTATAAATGAGCAATTTTGATCAAAAGAGCAGCGCTACTAGTTAGTAGTACATACCCATGAATAAAACGACAATCCAAATTGCAACCTGGATAGCTTCAAGCTTCAAAGTGCATTTCCCTTGAATCAACAACGCACTTGCATGCAGCTAGGTTGGTCCGGCCGCTGAGAAATGCGCGACCGGTTAGCTAAAGGTAGCTGGGACATGTGGGCGGTGGGATAAGTTGTGCTGCTGCAACGAGGTTGCATGATGGTTCTGGTTGAAGGGACTTGGCGGAAGAAAAAAAAAAGGAACTCACTTCATATAAACTCGAGGGTCGGGTTATGGGTGTTAACAAGGTGGAGAGAAAGGCAAAAACTCAAGTCTGCATTGGGTCGAGTTAGGACAGTTTACTTTTGAACCAAGGTCTGATTTGCATCCGTTTACGTGGTATCGCAACTCCTAGACGCTCGAATTTCGTCCACGTCGAGTTTGGGTCTGGAATAGGTCTTGCGTCTGTACCACGTCGTGTTATACACCTAAACACCCTCGGATTACGGTGGAGCTAGAATCTCGTTTCCGCAGTGATTGGCACTGGACTGCACAACTTTCTCATTCGGAACTGTCTTTGGACATCATTCTCACCATGGTTTGAAACCGCCGTCACATTCCAGCAGCCATCTGTCAGATCATCTTGAGATCATCAAAGTCAAAGTTCAAACATTCGAGAAGACGAGAAAGCTGTCACGCTAATGACCAGCCTGTTGCTAGCCCTCAGCGGATCATGTTGAAACCTGCGAGTACTAATGCTGAGCTCATGCTGGAATGATCAGTAACAGAGACGATGTTAAACATACCAGCAGTGAGCTCAGAGGGGTGTCAGACGCAGCATACCGTGTCATAGAAGTTGCGCAGTCCAGTACCATTCTGGGATATTTCGCCCGACCAAGTATCGTAACAGGCGGGACCCTTTTGTTTGTCCAAGTAAACAAAAGCGGTGAATGAATTCTGGTCTATCGATCTCAAGGTAGCTATCTGTACCACATCCTTCGTCCTTCATCCTGGTCACCGTGACCACGGCATTCGAGCCACTTGGACTTGTACTTGAACTGACATGTATTCTCGTATACGCAACAGAATACCCTACGTTTTCACTCGTACTCAGCAGGACCGATCTCATTAGTATTATCGATCTCTATCGTAACTCATACTTAGCGTCATTGACGCTATCTCTCTCTCTCTCTTCTGGATCCGAACTAACATTTCTCGTTCTCGCTGATGCCATCTAACGGCATATTGAAGAGCATCTCTCAAACTGTACGCGTATCAGTGTTTGAATTTCCGCTCATTTAGTGCGTGTTCGTGTGGCCCTGATCCTACTCGATTTTTTTACTCATCGAGTCATTCAAAGATGCTAAACAATGAGCTACTGAGGGAGTTGCGCCATTGCAGTCTCGTCTTTTGGACCTCATTCCCATCGTCTTTAGGTTCGTGCTCCCAGCTGTGTCCTTCGCTTTCTTCATTTAACTTGTTATACTTCGCTAAGTGGCATGGCAGACAATGTGGAACAGTGTCGAGCGGTCTTACAGGAGTGTCCCCGACCCCCGTTTCTCGAATGCCTTGCCGATAGTCTTCTGAACAGATTCAAGCAGCGGGGTGTCCTGTCCGACCTAGATGAAGTCATTAATCTCCATCGAGCCACACTAAGATGCCGCCCCCCGGGCCATCCATGTCTTTCACCAGCATCGCTATCAGTCTTGAAACCAGATTCGAGCAGCAGACCCTCCTGTCTGACCTGGACGAGGCTATCGAGCTCCGTCGAGCTGTACTGGCTATGCTTCCTCCTGGCCATCCTGTTCGATGCGATTCCCTTGCGGGCCTTGCAAACGGACTTCAAGACAGATTCCAGCAACAGGGTGTCCTGTATGACCTGTATGAGGCCATGAACCTCCATCGAGCTGCATTAGCACATCATCCCCTTAGCCATCTTCATGGATTCATGCATTTCAACAACTTCGCAAAAGGCCTTCAAGCCAGATTCTAGCACAAGGCCGTTCTGTCTAACCTAGATGGGGCCATTGAGCTCAATCGAGTTGCACTGGTACTGTATTTCCCTGGCAACCCTGATTGACACGCTTCTCAGCAACCTTGTCAACTGCCTTCAAGCCAGATTCCTGCGACAGGAGACCCTGTCCGGCTGTCTTCGGCCATTGAGCTGGATCGAGCTGCACTGGCACTCTGTCCCCCTGGCCATCTTCACCGATCTGAGTCTCTCAACAACTTTGCAATTAGCCTTGACGACAGATTCCATCAACAGGGCTTTCTGTCTGACCTGGATGAGGTCATGGAGCTCCAACGAGTTGCACTGGCGCTCCGTCCATCTGGCCATTCTGATCGATCCGCGTCTCTCCTCCACCTTGCCATCAGCCTTCAATGCAAATCCCACTACCAGGGTCTATCAACAGACTTCGATGAGATTTTCAAGCTTTATGCACAACTCTCCCAAGTTTCTCATGCGTTCTCCCGTGACGATATTCGTGCTGCCAAGGTATGGATCGTCTCAGCCGAGTATGCGAAACATGGTTTACATTTGTTGCCTACCAGACCGCATTGAAGTTCCTGGATCAGTATATCGCTATTTTGTCATCTTCTTCGCACCATTTCGATGTGGCTAAGGGAGGCTACCTCATCCCTTGCGATGGACGCTTTCTTATGCTACATCCGTCGTGGCGCTTTAAAGAATGCCGTGGAATTGATAGAGGAAAGCCATGCAGTATGGTGGACCTAGTTGGCACGCTTCTGCACACCGCTGGATGAACTTTCCGTATCAGATGCCTTGGCGGAGGAGTTCAAGCAATTTAGCTTCCGCCTACGTAACATATTTTATGCGTCTACTGAGGACCAATCCCCACAAGTCCGGCAACTGACCATGCAATGGAATAATGTTGTCTCTCGCATCCGCCTGCTGTCCTGACTTTTCCCGTTTTCTCCTGCTTCCGACCTCCAGAAGGCGGCAGAAGGTAGTCAAATCATTATTGTCAATGCGAGCAAGTATAGCTGTGACGCCTTGATCATCACGAGCACCCAAGATCCTATCCACGTTCCACTTGATATTACACCTAGCGGAGGTCTCCGAGTTGTCATCCGAGTTCCAATCACTCACAGAGCGTGTCGGTTCTTCTGACCGTGGACTTGAATTATACATGATTGTCAGCATCCTACGCACGCTTTGTAATCGCGTCGTTGCCCCCATAGTTCAACTTCTCAGAGATGTAGTTGTCCCGTGGCTCGCGCATCTGGTGGTGTCCTACTGCGAAGTTCACGCTGCTTCTTCTACATGCAGCGGGGCCGTATGAGAAGAAGAAACATAATTTGTCTCACTTTTACGTCTCCTCCTACACCCCAACTTTGGCGGACACTCATTCGAGCAAGACAGCATGTTTCTCAAGATGCGTCGGTCCAGCATTTTGTTGCCGTCGGTCAAGGAATGCCGAATCGAAAACAACCATTCGAGTCTTCCTTCGCGATGGGAGACGGTCCTCTCACCATCAGGGACGTCATCTGATCTCGCTCGCAAAATCCAGAATTTGCATTCTTATCTGCTTGCCACGCTACTGTGGGCGATGAATCGAGCCCAGACGAGGCAATCCATCTTGCTGCAGCGATGCAGTTCTTCGGATTTCGTAGTGTAATAGGTTCTATGTGGTCTGTCGATGATGAAGTTGCAGGCCAGGTTGTTACTGCTTTTTACGACAGCCTGGTTGATGGTTCGGGGAGATTGGACTGTCGACGCGCTGCAGGTTGCGTTGCATAAGGCTGTGAAGTACGTTACGGAAGGAAAACTTCCACTTGAACAACTAGATCGTGTTTATTCACATAGTAGGTATCTATGCATTTGCAGTAAGTAGTAATGCGCACAAGTAATTCATACCCTGTTGGCATATTTTCTCGCGATGTAATCTATAGAGATGTCCATGTACGCGATTTTGAAGGTGTTTCGAGCAACCAGTGACGTTGATGTTTGAATGAGGATCCGAATTGGATCCGAGTTATAGCGCCAACGATCTCAGACGATCTCTCCATCTGTATTCCACCGAACACGTCCGTCCACCCTCCCGCACATAATCGTCTTTTCGTCTAACAAGAAGTCCTGTATCGCAGTTTCACTTGCGCATCCCGTCATCCACGAACTACTTACGATGTGGATGTTGTGTCGTGCAAGAGGACGAAATCCCTAACACTCTTCTCATGTCCCTCCAATTCGTGCTCCGGAATTGGTCTTGCCGGGGAAGAGGTTTCCTCGGTGGTCGGCGTTGTAAGGGTTTCAGAAGTCATAGCCCGTCACGGCCAGTAGTCTGTATGTCCCTCTTTTCTTTTCGACTCTGACACATAATCAAGAAGGAATGACTGTCTTCTTTCTATATGGTATGGCTAAGGGAGACTAGCTCTAGCCCTATTCCTGATCAAATATCACAGCGAACCAAGTTGACCGGTACTCACCAACTGTTCTGCTGGTCGCTCGCTGATGACAAGCCAACGACTACCGCGAGTTTATATATACCGTACGCATGGATTCCATGAGGCAGCGCTAATGGTGCATATTCTCATGCACTCAAGCTGTCTTCCACCTCAGCTGGTGCAATGTTTGCAAGCTACGATGCCCACTCCGTTCCTCTTCACAATCATTCGCCCATCTCTAGTCATGCTTGCGTGGTGGACATGGCATAGCACATATAAAGGCAGACATGGCGACCTTCAACTGTCAACATAGCTTCTGGTGCTCATTCGTTATTTTCTTCATATTCCACCTTACCAGTCCGTGATTAACTGAGCTGCGAGGTCTCGCGATCTTGCACACACATATCTTAACTTGCCAGATGAAAACACAAATCAACCTTTCGGTGGTTACTTGGCTCTGGACAAGCTATCATGAAGACTGGCCAGGGATCTGGTGACGTGGTTTGAAGGTGGAGGAGTTAAGCAAGTCCAGCAGGCGACGTGAGTAGATTGTGATTCCTGTCCTTTCACCATGAGAATACTCATCCCTGTGCTAGCATTCCCGATCGGCATGTGCATCATATTTTGCCGCTTTGAATCACAAGCGACAGACTGCGGATGTCCTAAATGCCTGCAGCGTGGATGTTTCAACCCGCGCCACCAACTTTTAACTTGCAACCCATATGCGGACTTCTCTGGTCAAGTCGTTCACTTCAACCTTGTCGGAGCAAACGACAGTATTTGATATAAATCTGACACATGTTACAGGAGCGTTACTTGCAACTGGTTGATACATTGTTTAGGTGGCCCTGTACCAAGACAGGAGACGAATACAGCAACTGATATCATGCACCATATTAGAGCACGCTGATTTACAAGACAGGCGGGCTAATATTACCGTCGAACGCGGACCTGTTTGATTTGGATGAATAGCCCGAGTAAGTATGCATTGTGCTAGCAAGGAACGTGTAACGTCTGTGACAGAATCCGCAATCTGGAGGATGGCACTACATGATGAGCTCGACAGGGGTGTGCCAGTGCACTGCCAGAATCATCAATATTCCTCCGAATCGGAAGAGTTTGACGGCAGAGTTATACAGCCTAGTCTTCACCCACAAGATCAATGATTCCATGTCTGCTCAAAGTTCAGTCACTGTCCGCAAAATAGTCTCAATGTGACCTTTTCTGCCCGACACGAGCTGCCACGGCGCTCCAACCCAAGCGGGGACAATGATGCGGTCCCTTACACACCCTTCTCTACTGATCGGAAGAAGCAGGTACGGTTAGATCACATTTTACACCTCTTGGCTCTGCAAGTATTAATACACATGACATTAGCGCCCAGTAGAATGCTCGCGGAACCGTTACTTAACCTCAGCGGCCATCCGAATTCATCACTTCGACCGTCGGTCCATGGAATGATGCCCAACGAATCATATCCTGACCATGACATACTGGTGGGCGAAGGTCTGCATTTTTTGAACGGTGAAGATATAATTAAACTTGCCGCGTTGGCTTGTCAGGCATGTATAGGTGTCTCCAGAACAGTTTCTCATGACAGGTGACGTGCCACGCATCAGGGGGTAAAAAGGTAGAAGAAGGTGACAGCTTCTCGCGCTCTTGAAAATTGCCGTAAGCCAACTTCTGCTTCTAGAGCCTATTTAAATCTTAGGCAACTACCATGCAACGCATTTGGGCGGCATCAAAATGATTCGTCAAAGCTTCTGCTTGTGGACTAGATTCATATCCGCGGAGTTTTGAATCAGGTGCTGTCAAATTTACTGCAGCTGTGCCTCGCACCGCTTCTTGAAGGTTGTAAGTGTTGACGCTCAATGACTCGCAGCTAATGTCTTGATACTGGCGTAGGTTTACTAGTGACTGGACGCATTCTGCATGCAAAAAACAGCCTGACGGCGGTAACATGAGAGCATAGCCGTTGCCAAATATCTTCCTTTATTGACTAGCATGGGACTGGCATGGACATTTATTCAGGGAATGTGCTGCTGTACTTCTCCCGGTTATGAAACTTCATTTCCGCACTTCAGCGAGTAAACAGGTCCCGTTTGGAAGCTGTAATGCTGATGACCAGTATCACATTCCGAAGGCGATGGCTTTTACAAAATTTTGACTACAAGTCCGTAATGCACTGGCATTCAAATTAATTGACGGAAACCTACGCTGGCAGCTGCCCCGACGATGCTCCTAGCAGAATTACTACCTCTGACGGACTAAACAGATCGAGCGTTGGGTCCAAAAGGCAATGCCAGGAGCTCTACTTAAACCAAGGGATGTGTTGTGTCTTGCTCATTGTCCTCCTCCAATCGGCTTAAGCATTGGGTCATGTTCCTATATTATGTGTTCATGTGCTTTCTGGCAAGCCTCCAGAGTTATGCCGTGACTATTGGCCCAGTTTCTGAACTCGTCGTTGCCAATGGCAATGTATCTCCAGATGGGTTCCTCAAATCGTCAGTTTTGCTTCATTTTCACCTCGTTTGATCACTCAGGTCATTGCAGGGCGGTTCTTGCTGGCGGTACTCATCCCGGGCCTATTATCATGGCTCAGAAGGTGACATTTACTTCGCGTGTGCAAACTGTCCGATGACCTTATGTGTCTTTAAGGGAAATAACTTCAAGATCAACGTCACGAACCAGTTGAGTGACGAGACGATGCTCACGAGTACCAGCATCGTAAGTGCCAAACTTAACACTGTGTAGGAGTATACAATGATGTCCTATCCCCAACAGCATTGGCATGGAATATTCCAACATCATAGCAACCAAATGGACGGCGTAGCATTTGTTACGCAATGCCCAATCGCCCCAGGTCACTCTTTTCTCTACGAGTTCAATGCTGGTGAACAAGTAGGAACCTACTGGTACCACTCTCATTATGGAGTTTGTGGCTCGATTTATTCACGTGTTGGTGACTAATTGACTTTAGGTCCAATACTGCGATGGTCTACGAGGTCCATTAATAATTTACGACCCCAATGATCCATACCGTTCCTTGTACGATATTGATGATGGTGAGTGAGCCCGACGAAATAAATTTGCGTTTCTGACATCTGAGCGAAGAGTCTACCGTCATTACGTTGATGGACTGGTAAGCAAAGCCTATGAATATTTTGCTGTTGTTGAATCGGCTCGCTTCGCAGGTATCATATACCATCCCCTCAAGTACAGAGACAAGTGACTGCCGACTCGGTGCTTATCAACGGTGTCGGGCGTTATGACGGAGGGCCGGATGTGCCTTACGCTGTCATCAACGTTCAGCCGGGCAAGCGATATCGTTTCCGCTTACTGAACATGGCGTGCAAGCCCAACTACATCTTCTCGATCGATGGCCATAATCTTACCATAATTGAAGTTGATGGCCAATACGTCAACCCGCTCGTGGTCGATTCTATCCAGATCTACGCTGCACAGCGATACTCATTCATTCTTGAGACAAACCAGCCTGTTGACAACTACTGGATACATGTTAATCCTGACGCAGGTACAAACTCCACAGCCATCTTACGATATGCAGGTTCTCCCGACGTGGATCCCAAGAACCGAACAATTTCAAGCTCAGCGGCTCTGAATGAGACTTACCTACACCCCCTTAATCTGCCTTCGTCGCGTTTGCTGCAGGAACCAGATGTCAAACTTGACCTTGTGCTTGGAAAAAACCTGTCCAATTTCAACTTCCTCATTAATAACGTCCAGTACACTTCTCCTAGTGTCCCTGTTCTACTACAGTTACTGAGCGGTGCCATGACGGCTGCGGACCTGGCACCCAATGGGACGGTATATACTCTGCCTCGGAACAAGGTCATTGAGGTTTCCTTCAATACCGATAATTCCCCAGGCGGCCCTGTGAGTCCTTTTCAAATTCTTATGTATGCCCTCGATCAACAGAAGACTGAAACTTTGACAGCATCCGTTCCACCTGCATGGGGTGCGTCTTGACATAACATCTACATACGTCCCGTCGACTAATAATAAATGTTCACAGCACAGCTTCGCTGTCACCAGAAGCGCTGGGAGTAGTGGGTACAACTATGTCAATCCTGTCATGCGCGATACCGTGAGCGTCGGCAACCCCGGTGATTCTGTGACTTTCCGCTTCATCACCGACAATCCTGGGCCTTGGTTGCTGCACTGGTGAGTGTTATAGTTGTGTTTCATTAGCTGGTAATGACATTTGGACCTTGTTAAGTCACATTGATTGGCATCTTTACACGTGAGTTTCTCCCTCTACTGAGCTTGGACACAAATTGATACGCTTGTAGTGGATTGGCTTTGGTATTTGCAGAGGCTCCTGAAGATGTGGCGGCTTCCCAGCCTCTCAATAGTAAGTACCGAACAATACGAATTAGAGCAAGTCTGAAACCGAGCGTTAGATGCTTCGAAGCAGCTCTGTCCGATATATGACAGCATTCCCCAACAATATTTCCCTCTCCCTCCAGTTGATTGATATTATCGGTCTCGGTTTCTTACAAACAATTCTTCTCTTCAAACAGGAACTTGTATAATTCGCTACTCGTGATAGAGAGAACTGCCCTGTGTGTACCCTAATAAATAGATTGACGCTATCGTACTTCTTGTATGCGACGACTCAGATGGATTGCTTTCGTGTATGTAGAGAAAGAATAACTAAAGACCTGGATAGGTATTTATATGAGAAAATATGTTTGCAGAAATGCAGCGGTATGAAAGCAGAGTCGATTGAAACATAGTAAATGACAACATAAACGCATGTTAGAATAATATAACAAGGCAGCTGGCTGAGCAGCGGAGATAACATGACGAGGGCGGCTTGGGGTGCATAAGAAAGTTAAATGTTGTCCATAGTCATAAATCATTCGAAACCCTTCACTCCTACTTGTTAAATGTTGTTGAAGGGAGATAATTGGTGTACGTGTCTTGAGAATGCCGTTTGGAAAATAGTACACAGGTACGTTGACACAAAGAGGACAATGTTCCCGTCCACGCGCTCTGGTTGCCGAGTTTGGTAAAATCGAAAGGCGGTAGTGCGTGTCTAGGCAGCGTTTGAGATCTGAATGATGGACGAGCTCAATGATAGCCTAGACATGATCAGTGGTAGAAACACCGAAAACAAACCTAGGTGATATTTGCAGAGTTACTAGCGAACAAGACCAAGGCTCAGACTCGAAAACACAAAACTGCCGCTGGTAGAAGTGGCGCTGACAGATCGAGGGAGCACGTCGCTCGTACGTCTCGACTGTGAACAGTTCAACCTCTTCTCACAAGGGTTAGCAGCGCGACAAAAGAAGCACTCAGAGTCGTATTACCTTTGGGAACCTCGTCGGATGGTAGCATCAACGTGACAATGGGCCAGCCTCTCCAACACATCCGACATTGTTGGTCGCTTTTCTGGGTCTTCATCCATAAGTTGCCAACATATCTCGAGTAGTGTATCGCGATCCCTGGATTTGCGACACTTGCGACATAGCTCCTCTAATGTCTTTCCACAGGACCACAAGTCCGCCCGGATCGCGCTGTAGAGGCCACCAGCAGCTACCTCGGGTGCAATATACCCGGTAGTGCCCACACTGCCGCGGAACCTCTGTCTGATGCCCTTGACGCGCAAGGACGTGTTAAAGTCGATTATAGACAGACGGCCGCCAGCGGGAGGGATCAAGATGTTTTGTGGCTTCAGATCCATGTGCGCCACGCCATGTCGGTGCATGAATTCCACTGCTTCGAACAGCTGTTTAGCCACAGACCACAGGTGCGCATTAGGGTTTCCTAGGCTCGTAAGCCAACCGCCAGCCACAGGCATTGATATGACGTTGCCGCCGCGTACGGGCCAGATGCGGAAGTCGGAGATGGTATGGTTCGCAGGGGAATTAATCCCTGCGAGGTACTGCAAGATTTCAATTTCCTTCCGCCCTTCTTCCACGAACTTCAGGTATCCATTCTCTGACTCGTCAGGCAACATTCGACACTGAGGCAATGAGGGGAAACTGCAAGGTGTGTTGCAATTCATCAATATCACATTCTCGGACGTTGCGAGAACATATACCCCGAAAAGAATGAAGTTGATCTTGTAATTCATCCTCCTTAGAAGAGCTTGGATATCATCCGCACCAAATACGCCGAGATCATCTTGAGCCTCATCTCCATCACCCTCAGGTATTGGGGCCAATGCCGATAGGGTCGGCTGTCTCTGCGTAGCCTTAGATGAGAGGGAGATCACCTTGGAAGCAGCCATCTTGACGTTAAGAAGGTTATCCTTTTTGGCGCCATCAAGATTCGCGGCCATTTGTTCAACTAGTGCCACGAGATTGTACATCTCACGAAGGAATGCGACCGCACCACCTGCCGTGGTAAGGTCAAAATCTTTCTGAGAAATGTGTACCTGGCCTTTCTATGAGGAAAAAAAGGAGATGATAAACAGCATGACAGACCTCTCTTTGCTCTATTTCCTGACTTTCCTCGCTTTCCCCTCTTCCCTCATTGTCTTCGTTTTCCTCACTGTCTTCATTTTCCTTGTTTTCCTCGCCTTCCGGCACAATATGGGCAATTATATATCTTTCCACAATCAAATTTGCACGAAGATAGATTGCGACGACGAAAAACTGTGATCCTGCCTGAATCAAGTACTGCCCTGCCCGCGCAACAGCGATGGCTTGGAGTAGCATACGGTATCGATCTTGCTCATTACCCTGCAAAACCACTTCGGAGATGAGGAGCGGACAAAGAAACAAGCGCGACGAAACCATGAAATCGCTCCTCGGGCGAAATTGGCACCAAGCGTTGGGTTGATCACGAGTACCGACGAATATGGGGAAGCCCCAGGCCTTCTCTCTGAAACATTTCATGATGAGTAGTTGAACCTCGACATGAGTTGACCCACATACTGCTTGAATTCGAAATGTTCATTGAAAGAAGAAAAGAAAGCCGGCGATATAAAATACACAACGAAGTTGCTGGCCTTCATGGCGGAGGATCCGTCGCTCTTTATGCGTGTTGAGTCCTCGCCAAAGCACCGAACGACATGGAAGAATGTTGCGAATTCCCGATCGGTCACATTGTGCACCACGTTCGGAGTCTCCTCATATATGGCCCGAAAAAGTCTATCGTGTTCGTAAGCATGTTGTAAGTCCTTGTTCGCTTGGGCTTCCGCTGGAGAGAGCTTAAGAAGAATGAGTGAAGAGTTGTAGAAGCAGCAATAGCGGTGTTTACATTGAATGTACGGCGCCGGGCCAAGGATTCCTCTATCACGGCGATTGCGGCAGGGTAATCATCGTCAAGTAAATTCACCGAACGCCACAAACGGCCACCTTGCAAGTTATTTTCGACGTCCTCCATCGTCCACCGTTGCAGGTTGGCTACTGTGATCTGCAGGCAGCTAAATATATCTCCATGATTTGCCTCGAGGCCTGCGATAGCTGTCTGTGTTGGATCTGAAGAAGTGAATGAGCTAAATTATCAATAGATAATCTGACGGCTGAGGCTCACCGCTGCAAGGCTGAATCACCATGTAAACATGCCTAGCAACTAAAGTTGGAACCAGTCCATCCAAGGTATCGACGGCAGACACTGCTTCCCATCTGCGCTCATCCAGACATGCCTGGACGGTCGCGGCGGAGTTACTGTTTGTGATACGACGAGGGAGTGGCACGGGGTTCTTGAGTAGGTAATACTCGTATTGATCACACAAGGTTCTACCGAAAATGCGACGCGCTACCTCCGATGTGGATTTGAGGGAGTCAAAGATATCAAAGATGCTAGCGTCGTCAGAAACTCGAACAGGAAATAATTCGGTTTTCAGCACGACGAAGAAAACGGGCATGACGGTCTGATGCGATAAGTAAGTTAGATGTATAGACGTTATTATGCGAGCACGAACCTGCCTAGATTCGCGAAGGTTAAGAGACGATGATTACGGGTGGCGGACGAGATATACAGAGATTAAATATATAAGTGAGAGAGCGAGCTGTAAGTAGGTCAAGACTGTCGTCCCTTAACCGTTACGCCAAAAGGCAGTGTTAATGAAAGCTCATGTTTCATTATCTCGGACAGTATTTATGCTGATTATGGGAACTCAGGTAAGCCACCGGGCTTACACGAGCGTGTTATTTGCAGCCTCCTTAACATCCACAGTTGGGTCACCACTTCAAAGAAACGAATATTTCGACAATCCTAGCGTCTTGCATGAACGGGGCAAACAGTCAGTTAAATTCACGATAGATAGGAGCGTTACTTACAGAACACTGGTCAGCTGTAATGGAATTATTGATCCCAGATAAGAGAAAAACACGCTCAGCAACTGCCCCATTCTCACCATGCATACTTCATCCGGCACGAAGAAGAGTGGCAAGGAGCGAAGCGCATCTGCGGCGGGCGTGAAGAGTCCTAGCTCATCCGTTACGGCTGCTTCCTCTACTTCGGTGGTCAAGACCTCCGCTATAACGGGATTACACTACTGTCCAACACAATGGTCACGAAATCCAACACACGCATGTCATCGTGCGGATTTGAATATAAGTAGCTAGATGGTGAATGAGACATTCTATGGTAATTGGTCTCGTTAATGAACCCCGTATTTCAGCGATTGTAATTGTTGCGGTCATGCATAGCCCTGTCACCGTCACCTATCTGATATGTACCTTTCATCTCATTTTTCCAATCTCACCCTTTTTGTAGGTATGCACGCATCCTACCTCGAGCAGAGCCAGCGTCTCAGCGAGAACCTCTCGTGGCGTCTTTGGCACCCGGAACATTTAATGGGCGACACCGACAATGCTAAGTCAAAACACGAATTCGAGAAACTCTCAACGAACATGGGTGATAATCTCGACAAAGAGAAGGGTCGGTAAGTCCTTCTGTTTAACTCTTTACCTCCCTCGACCTTAATCTCATCACACCCTAGCGCTATCGAATCTCTTGAAGCACCGGACTTCAAGCGTAACACTTCTACTGACTTGATTCAACAACGTGCTGTAGAATGCGAGCGCTCTAGCGAGGCCTCACAGAATGCCTGTCGCGGCATGATTAAACACATGTGATTCACCTTAAGTCCCTGCTCTTTCCCTGCTACTTCCTCTTCTTCATACACCTTCTCCGGCGAAGGCTCCACCGCTACCGCTTCCACAAAGCCCGATTTTGGGCCCAGCACCGAGTTCAGAGAGGAGCGTAATCGCGAGAGGTACCCTCCTCGCTCCAACGCCACCAACGGCCCATCTGAGAATCCCTCGTCGACATCTGCATCAGGTTCCAGCTCAAACAACAATGCCCAAAGATTTAATGTCTCTCTTCTCTATCAAGCTCGCCATGAAATATGCCCAGCTCCGGAGATCAAGAGCATGCGTGCCATTGCTCTCGCATATCAGAACCGGAACCTCGCAGACTTTGAGACGACCCTTCGGCATTATAGACATGGTAAGGTTTGCTCAATATATACAACTTGTTGCTAACTCGTCACCGCCACAAAGAAATTTCCTCAGACCCTACCATTCGCTCGCATTATGCAGTGTTGTACGACACCCTCCTCCAGCGGATCCTACGGTGTGTCGTTGAGCCGTACTATCACCGTGCTGGTGGGCGTTAGGCCTAACGCCCACTCCAATGGTCCAGCAACCCAATGCACAATACCTCCCACTCGACATCATAGTGGTAAGTACACGATGAATGACGATGATTATGATGGTTGTATTATACGCGACACCGCGGCTGCGATCATGAGTTGAATAAGATAGTTTACATTGTCGTATTTGCAGGTCATCGATGAGCCGCACAGCATGACAGCCACTTGTAAGTACTAAGAATCTGCACGCAGCACCGAAGTGAAGGAGCGTCAGATGAAATCAGTTCTCGTCGACTCAATGGACACTGGCAGTACTATTGCGGAGGGTCCCTAGCTCGTACATTTGTCCGAGAGTCTCATCTTGACGCTGTCGGATAGCCTTTCGTGTGTTGAGCCTGGAAAAGATGTTCAGAAGTTTATTCTTGGCTCGTCAATGTCCAATGGCAATGCTCACACAGCAAGCATAGAGTTGAAGTAACCTGCAAGACCAACGGTGTCAACTCGGTGGAACATAAAGATTTTGCAACTGACCCTTTGTCAAAAGTGATCCAAGGGCCAACGCCCAACGTTGTCTAGCTTTCAAATCGGGGAGCGAAAGCTACAGACCGCTCTGAGTTGACCAGATTCAGCGAACAAGTGACATCAGCCCACCATTATAACAAGCAAAATGTGGATAATGCTATTAGCATTCAATGGGTATACATCCTCTTTGTCAATTTCTGTACCACCATGTCATCAGTCCCATCTCCATGAATACCCTTTTCAGCTGGCGGATGTAATTTTCTCGTCTGTGATATAGTATCAGTGGACAATGGGATGACGGTTCAAGCAACTTAACTTTCGCCTCCGTAACATGTTTGACGCGTCTACTGGAGACCGTTCCCCACACACCCAGCAACTTACCACACAATGGGATAATGTTGTCTCTCGCATCTGCCTGCCTGACTTTTCCCGTTTTCTCCTGGCTCCGCCGTTCTCCGACCTCCAGAAGGCAGCAGAAGACGGTCCAGTCATTATTGTCAATGCAAGCCAATATCGCTGTGACGCCTTGATCATCACGAGCACCCAAGATTCCTATCCTCGTTCCGCTCGATATCTCACTTGCCGAGGTCTCCGAGCTGTCATCCGAGTTCCAATCTCTCACAGAACGTGTCGATTCTTCTGACCGTGGACTTGAATCATACATGATTACAGGCATCCTGCGCAAGATTTTGGACTGTGTCGTTGGCCCCATAATTCAACCTCTGAGGGGGTTAATTAGCCGTGGTTCGCGCATTTGGTGGTGTCCTATCGCGGAGTTCGCACTGCTTCCTCTACATGCAGCGGGACCCTATGAGAAAAAGAGCCATAATTTGTCTCACTTTTATGTTTCATCCTACACCCTAACCTTGGTGGCACTCATTCGAGCGAGACAGCGTGTTTCTCAAGATGCGTCCGTTCAGCATTTCGTTGCCGTCGGTCAAGGAAATCAGATGGAGGAAAGGAACTTCGGTGTGTAGCCGCCGAGTTAGCCACCATCGCTGAGCGTGTGGCATCCATCCTGTCCTTTACATCACTCGAGGACAACGATGCAACGGTCTTGGGGGCATCCGATGCATTCAGTCGAAATCAGTGGCTTCACCTTGCCTGTCATGCCATGCCAAATCGGAAACAACCATTTGAATCTTCCTTCACGATGCGAGACGGTCCTCTCACCATTGGGGACATCAGTCCGATGCCGCTTGGAGAACCCAGAGTTTACATTCTTATCGGCTTGTCACACTACTGTGGGCGATGAATCAAGCCCAGATGAGGCTATTCATCTTGCTGCAGCGATGCAATTCTCCGGATTTCGCAGTGTAATAGGTTCCATGTGGTCTGTCGATGACGATGTCACATGCCAGATTGTTACTGCTTTTACGACAATTTAGTTGATGGTTCGAGGAGATTGGACCGTAGACGCGCTGCGGTATCGTCGCATAAGGCTGTGAAGACGTTGCGGAAGAAGATTCTACTGGAACAGCAGATCGTATTTGTTTACATAGGTGTATAGTTTGAAGCTCGTCTCAGATGAGGGCGGACTGAGGGTGGATTTATGTCCGAGTCGGGGCTCCCGAAATGTGCCCACCATGCTGCCACGTTGAGAACATATTTATTATGCAAGTCGTATGGATAGTTCTGGTATTTTCTTCTGATTTAAAAACGTTGGCATCAGCAGTGTGACGAATGAGAGTGTTTGGGGGTTGAACTTGTGAGCCCGAGTTGCGATGCTAGCTTCGAATACATAGATGGTCCATTGTCGGTATAATCTTCTACAGGTAAGGTAAGGTTGAGCACGCGTGGACCCGCGGGTCACTGAAGCTAGACCACACGCACCGCACCGGCTAGTCGGGGTCTACATCGACCCGCAAATTCTACAGGTATGGGCGGTCTTTGCGGTATATCGCGAGTTTTTCACAGACCTGCGGGCTGCGTAGTTTTTTGAAGGAAACGAACCCACACATCTAAATAGCACTACTGTGTTTCGTCACGATCCTGGGGAAGTTCTGCGTGTCTATGAGATCATGGCGAGACCAGGAACCAATGCATAGAGAACACGGATGAAAGCTGAGGACGAACATTTGCGTGTGATGTGTAAAGGTTGTCGTAGCTTGCAAAATACGCATTCGACAGCGGTCGAGGAAGCTGTACATAGATTCGAAGATGTGTGAAATCAATATATATATAAACCTAAAGCGCTCAGCAACCCTAACGCCATACGAGACAGATTAGGATACTTTTGTGGTGCGCACTGCGCAGACCACCATTGCAAGGTGCCATCCACCTTCTCAAGGGGTTGCTGGATAATCGCTATGATCCAACAAGCTGATGGGGGTGGAGTCACAGCAAAGAGTAGTCTCCGGACCCGAAAAAAGCCGTCGGTTTCTGCACGGTGACAGGTGAACGACGGGCAAGGTATGTATCAGAAGTGCACAGACCTCTTTCGAGCCAGCTGCCGTGGTTAACTCTGTTGCCGGTACGTGCGTAGTGCGTCAAATATTCCTGTTGATCAAGTCAGTCTTACAGCATCCTCAATCCATACAGCTTTGGTCCACCCTATCGATAGGTAGTTGCCGTTTGGAGGCAAGGCTGAGAGGTCTGTGTCCGGCTTGCCTCCATGAGTGCAGGTGGTCGCGAGAACGCAATGCTAGCTAGGGTCCTCCGAAAAAACGACGCACTTCCAGCGGGAAGCCTGCTGGCAGTTGAAATGATGTGATTCTGGAATACCGTCAAGGAGTCAACGATCGCAAGTCACAGCACATAAATTAACCCTGATGCCTGATTAGCATGGCAAACGCTGTCCTATGAATCGTAGTGTTGGTAGTGTGACAAGCTCTGGAACTGCCTTATAACAATTCAACAATATGCCACACTATCAGTACCACTAAAGGTCGTTGCAAGCAACGGACACAAAGTAACCCACGAAATTCATTGACGCAGACAATAACACGATGCACTTGTCTCAATGAGCGCCTCATGGACAAAACAGCCCACAACCGAGTGGCGATTATGAACACGTTCCAAACGTGTGCTGCCGAGGAAGTCCAAAAGCCCGAAGTTCCTCTTCCCTTTCATACCTCTCCAAGTGTCAAAAATACCCTACAACTACCCCCCACCGCCCTGCGCATTCATGATGATAACGCCCGTATTTTCAGCAGCACATGCTTCTCGATGGGAAAATATAAGCGATGAAGAACGACGTCGCCCGCGTCGCAAACGAACACGACTATCAGATGGAGATGACCAGACAGAGACGGACGCCGATGTTGATTACGAACCTTCACCTGCACCGCGCAGAGTGAAGCCTTTGCCTGCTCATACGCATGGTCATCGTCAACAGCCGCTGCCCGACGGAGTGCTCCCTCCCACACTTACATCTAAACAAGAAAGTTCGCACGGTCAGTACATACCGACGGGTCGCAGTCGACTCGGACGTGGCCGCACCTTGCAACTTCAGACCTTCTTATATACCACCACGTACACCCAGATTCTGCAAGGATGGCGGTGAAAACGCATACCTGGATTACTCTTTGGTTTATCCTCACTACACCTGTCATCTTCTGGGATGTGGGATACTGTTTCATGCGGTATGTATCGTTGCTATGCGTCATGCTACCCAAATTAACGGGATTGCGCAAGGCCACGGTCCATGCTCGGGGGAGACCTCCACTGGATCTGGAAACCGTACGAAATATACCAGAATGTCGATTATGTGAGTGGAATACGATGAGAAATCGCATCTCCAATCGATAAACTCCACTAGGTTTATGGTATCAAAGCTCTAGAGGAAAACAATGGGTTCACAAACGCACAGTGTGCGTACCTCCCGCACTCCTTTACTCTGACTGACAAGCGCCCCCTCTTTAAGCTTTCCTCAACGTCGTAGAGACCCTCATGAATCTCGCATACGTGTACTTGGCACACGTCTCGGGCTGGTCCCCCGCCCCCATCCTCGGGTTCGCAGCAGCGACAATGACGCTGTCTAAAACCATTTTATACTGGGCACAGGAGTACTATTGCGGCTTCTGTGCCATCGGACACAACACCTTGTCCGACCTGGTTTTATACTGGATTATACCCAATGGGTAAGTGTCATCATTCCTTGTTGGCTTGATACACGCCGACATTTTTCGTTGGGCCTAGATTGTGGATCGTCGTCCCTAGTCTCATCGTTGTGAGACTAGGAAAAGATATCGCTGCCTCGCTCCACGTCGCGGAGCGCGCTGAGACCAAGGCCGCTTCTGGAAAGCAGAAATGATGGGTTCCCCAGACTACCAGATGAGATGAAAATGGTATTTTTACATTACTAACCTATCAGTTTATGTACGCCTGATTTTTTGTATCTATGGCTTTTGGAATGGACTTGACTTATTTCTGTATTCTTTGCTGCGGTTTAGTCCGGGGCTTGTCATGTGCGTCATCCAACTGTGTTAATCTTGTGCCTGCCCGTCAGGAGGATTTATTCTTAACATGTGGTCCTATGAGTTGTTTCGATGACGAACTGCCTCTGCAGCACCCTGACGCAGCCTTCTCGGTCACCCAATCACCTGCCTATGGTTAGTAAAGTACACCTGTGCGTCATTGACATCACATGACAAAGGTACGGGCATGCATACGTATATACCGTACTGTATATATTGCGTGACGCATGTGCGTCTCTGTGTATTTCCAATCCCATCACCTCTGATTTGTTGCTAAATAGCAACGTACAATTATCAGTCTTATACGTGGCCCAACAATTACTGCGAGATGATGATATCACACCGAACGCCGACGCGCAGCATCTAAAGGCTCTGACAAAGGCCATCCTTCCACCGTGCCAGCTCCAAGTGACCAAGTCGCTTATGCTGTTTATGCGAAGGAAGCTCTCATAGGATCATCTGTGGCGACGCGAGATGCTACACTCATTCCACGGGGTCACTGATGGGCCACTGACTCGCTTACATGACCTTTCCGAAGACCACGGAAACCTGCAAGATCACGCATGCACAAGTCAATATTCAATAATTCATTCCACATTGTGTTACATCCAATAATGATACATACACCGAAGAATAAAAAATCCACAAGATGCCTTGTACTAATGTCACAAAACGAAAACGAAAAGATCGAGTGACGGAGTGAGAATTACAAGTCAACAACACAACAAATAACAGGAAAACGAAGGGAAAAGAACCCATGCCAGAAAGGTGAGGAGGTATGGATGATGCGGTAGGTTTAATGAGCACACGATGAGCGAACGTTTGTTGTTGTGAGAGAAATTACAATCGAGGCGAGGCGAATTTAATAGAATCGGAAAAACTTCGTCTGCTGGTTGCTTTAATGCGCGTGGTCGATCAAAGACTTGCGTTCCCGAGCCAACTCCAGGATGGTATCAATCCATCTCCATATCCATTTCCATACCGTCCCATTGTTCCTCTGACTTCTTCTTCACGCCCGGCCCCACGTTCTCCTCCTCGACCTCCTCAGGCACGCTGAACGACAGTACAGCATCTTCCTCTTCGGATTTCCACCTGAACCGTGTACCGCTCACCCGCCCGTACATATGCATATTGGCAGATGTAATGTCATCCACGTCGGCGGGCTCACCGTCGTCGCTAGAATGAGAGGAAGCGGACATTGAACGCACAGACGAGCGCGGGTGGGACCATCCCGAACGCGAGAGGGATGCGGAGGCGGAGGGGACCGACGAAACGCCGTAAAACGAGGATGAGGTCGGCGAGTCCCAGGATTCTGAGTGCACGCTAGCAGAGCCCAGAGCCAGAAGGTTCCGCGCGTCGGCATCTGTAGCAGGTGCTACAGGGACCGGCACTGGGGAGCTCGGCGCCCGCGAGTTCGGGGTGGTGGACACGCCCAGGAGGCCTGGGCGCAGCTGGGTAATGCCACCTGGACCGGTGGCCTGGGGAATAGAGTAGTCATGCAGACGCGGTCCGGTTGACCCTGCACGGCCCGCGCTGCCGAGGACAGAGGTTGCCGGAACGGAGCTGGATATTGGTTTCGAAGGGGACGATGGGCTAGATCCTTCGTGTGCACTCCCAGGAGCGGGAGGCGGAACTATGCCGCCAGAAAGGAAGGAAGGCCAAAGAGAGCGATCTTCGGGAAGTGAGGTCCCGGTGGTAGATGACGGTGAAAGATGCGACAATATGGCAGCAGCCTATGAAAATTCCATTAGCACCTTTGTCAGCTGTCAAGCCAGGAGCAATAACCTCCAACAATTGGACCTGCTGATGTTTGCTCAGTACAAACTTGGAGGCTTCACGCCACTGGGGGGTATGTTCCCAGCGATGTTTAATAAGACAAGAAGGATGTCGGTAGACCTGAAGACTCATGGTCACTTTCTACTCGAACAATTCAGGGCACGAAAAGAGCCACCTTCGAGCAGCTTTCGCACGTAAATATGGTGCCGCGCTTCTTTCCGCCCTTCGTGACACCGCCGTTGGTACCCAGAGCGTTGCGGGTATGAATCGATGTTGACAACTCATTGTCGTCGAAGCTCCCGCCTTGTACTGTGGCATCATCTCCCTGCGCGCCAGGAATCGGGTCAAGTCCCTGTGTATCAAGAACACTTCGAGATACCGCGCTCAGGGAAGTGCCCTGGGTATTACTGCTGGGAGGCGAAGAGGAAAGAGACAACGTCGCAAGTGAGGACAAAGCCGCATTCTGCAAGGATGCTGGTCTAGATGCCAGATGTGTAATGAGATCAAGCAATGTGACAGCACATAAGGTGGAGGGAAGGAGTGGCCGATATTATTGGTTATGGGGAAGCTAAATGAAAACTTACGAAGGTCGGGTAGCTGCGTCGCGGGCATCGCTCATTCTCCTTCTGGTCTTGCCAGTTGATGACAAGCGACGATGCTTGTGACCGAAGTTGGTTCCCACTGAAATTAGTGAGCACTTTACGCTGTAACATTCCACATCATCATACCATGAGATGGTTGGACAGCTGTGTCCGCAGACTGTGTGATGGATATCGGCGATACGCTCGCAGCTGCAACAGAGAGGGATAGTAGGCTCAGGTTTGAACGATCGGTCTGGTAGCGCATGAGCCAAACTTTTGTGCTCGTGGAAACGTGGAATGACATTGACTCACAGACTCTGAAGGCAGGGAATCGACCTGAACCTGGGACATAGCTGGGGATGGAGACTTGGTACAAGACATAGCTAGCTATAGGATTTACAATGATTAATACAAGCTCATGACAGAAAGAAGGGAACAAGATGTTAGCAGATTGGCGCAATTGGCAGCTGTCTTCGACGCTCTCGCATACGTGCCACGAAATTTCAACGTCCGCCCAAATTTTGTCCCCAAAGGGTGCACTGCTTTGACCGACCACTACAGCACAACACAGCGTACAGCGCCAATAGTACTTAAGTCCCGACGTATCTTAATCAGTCGTCTCTGTCTCTCTGGTGTCCTCTGTCTAAATTGTATACTGGGGGCGATCTGCTACCAAGTAACCCATTCATATTCGGCTTCCGCTTACCGCCTAGACCCTGCACCAAAATAGCGACCGCGGAACCATGTTGCATATGGCCGCACCGTATGCCACATCATCTCAAGTCCAGGCATATTCCAGGCTATCGAATTTGACCATGCGGCCCACCGAGTGACGAACACAACTCATCTGAGACCATATATAAAACAAACAAAGGCAGGACAAGTCTAGATCGTTAAGGTCGCTGCTTACAATTTAATTAAGAACTAAAAATAGAAACAATTCGTTGTATCTTCTTTGTCAGCAGCTTTGAATGCTAACAAACCATAACAACGCTTTTTGCATCCGAATTCGAATACCAGAAAAACAAAATTAAATCCTTAGCAGCAACTGGTTTCGATCCAGTGACCTCAGGGTTATGAGCCCTGCACGCTTCCACTGCGTCATGCTGCTGTCCGTTCGGTCGCAAGAATTAACGTAATTGATGGCCTGCGAACATCGGAGGCTACCTTGCACCGAAGTCAAGCGGCGCTGCATGTTTTCTCAATATCAATATTGCCGCGAATTAACGCGAGTAAAACCTCGAAGCACCAATACAGTAGACGTCATCCTTACAGGTAATATAAACATCTCACTCTTCCTGCACGAACTGTCATAGACGTTCCGAACTTCCCGAACTCAAACGTACAGCTATCTCGAAGATAGGCGATTGCACTCAATCGCGACGACAGCGAATTAGATACGTTCTTGTAACGAAACAGTTCGACGTGCGCGGAACACGATACGAATTACCGATCAATTACATTCCAACCGCACCCATTGGCAGACACTGCTCTCGCAAGTTCGCCGCAAGGAATATTCCATCATATGAACTAGATAGTGCTAGTGTGAGATGTGGACCGCTTCAAATATATCACAGCACTTCAAAACTTTGTAAAACTTCTCGTTCGCACGTCAGCATAAAACCCTCAACCCTTAACCCTACAAGTTAGCGCTCAACCAGTGGTGAAAGGACGGTGAACAGCAAACAAGCACAGTGACATACAACGGGCATCAAGCATGAACAATGAACAACATACCCGACAATCTCTGCGTGATGAAATGCTAGGATAGTGCTCAATCAGGGGTGACAGGAGCAACAAGCACAATGGCAGACGGGCATCAAGCTTCAAGTATATGCATGAACAATGAATAACATACATGACAAACTCTGCGTGATGCAATGCTATGCAGACTCATTAATGTTCGAATGTCCAATAAACGTCTATGATAAGCTCGACATCACGGCGAACAGAAAAGCACAAAGGAAAAATCACGAAAGCAAAAAAATACAAAGAGCCTCGTGCATGCACCTCCTTTTGTCATAGCTTCCGAAATGCCCGGATCACTCAAGCCTTGTCAGCGCATCTCGCATCTTTGGAATACCCCGTCCTACCCATTCAGAGGGTGGCACGCGCTCATCTTTTTCCGAATTCGCAAAAAGGAGGTCGTTCTCCGAGGAGAACGCCCATACAGCAGGGTCGGGTGTGGGCATCGCTATGATAGCGCGAAGTTCTTTGCCTACATAGAAGGGTCAGACTCAATGGCGGTCATACGCGCTAGTGCAAGTATCTTACGTATTATGTTATGCACGAAGTGATCCATGTTCTGGGTTAAAGTTTGTCAATATCAAATTGCTTAAGCATGTCCGAGGCAGCGATTGTCCGGACAGCACGTACCAAGTCGTTTTTGTCGTATCCTGAGTAGGTTAGACATTGAAATTGAGCGTGCCGGACATCACCGAAGTAACGGGATGAACTTACCAAAGGGATCTGGGAAGGCACGTTTTGTGAGTGGCTAGCGCAAGGTAATGGAATTTCATCACGCACTTTCGATCTCCTCTCCAGCAACGAGGAAGCCAAAGAAGATAAAACTCTATCTCGCAAGATAAGCATGAGATGATAGGGAGATGCAAATTCGGACAGGCGTGTGATGATGGCAATGATGGGATCAGGACTTACCGCGAGCACAGTAGCGGGGATCGTGAACCACTTCAATGTTGACCAGACTTGGAATGGCTATATTCATGGAGGTCGTTAATGGCCGCTGCATGTGAGAGGCCAGATCCTCCTTACCAAAGCCAGGCAATATACAAGAGTTACCAGCCACAAATGAATGGAATACCTATCCTAAAATGAGTTCCCCGCCAGAGCGATGATGTCAGGGCTTACGAAAATGGTATTGGGGTAGTGAGGATCCGTTCTAGGCCTGTTAGAGCATCTACAAGCTGATTAGTAGTCGCCAATAGTAAGGCTGTATAATTCAATTGTAAGAAGCACGTGGAAAGAGGGGACAGCGGTGAACGGACTGATAGTAGGCGCATCGACGGTCTTGCGAAGTTGCAGGGCAGAGACGTAAGAGCCCTAAGGTACTAGATTCAGATCTCGTGGGCGACGATCGTCATGGAAAAGCGCAAACCAAATACAACGAGATTTCCAGGGGAATGTTGTACGAATTTTTACCTCGGTAATTGCGCATCGCAGCTCTCATTCTTGCCGCCCTCTTTCCTTTCACATCCACGCCGTTCTTAGTCAGCATCCGCACCAGCAGCGAAAATGGGAATAGATCGAACAACGAGTACTTGGGCGGGTTCATAGCAGGGGCTAGGAAATTTCCTCGGGGCCGGTAGAGAACTTCTCGCCTCTTTGGGGACGTCCGTCGATGCGAAGCGTGTTTTCTGTCGCAAAAGTTGTGACCCTGAGGGAAGGCGTGGGTGCAGTAGTCGGGAGTGGAAGCTGGCCCGGAGCCGCCACTCTCTTCGTGAGTCCTGAGCCATGAAAGCGCCCTGACTGTGGCGATGCAGGAACATCATTACTAGTGCTCGTGCTATCACGCGGCGCATTGAGATCGGCGACGGAAGGGATTGTCGGCGGAAGCGCATATGAAGGAAGGAACTTGACCAAGTGATACAGATCCTCGTAGAAGATGCCATCTTCCCCGCGCAAATAATGCTTAACAGCGACGGCATATGCTTCGAGCAGGTTCACGACGGATTTCTTCTCAACTAGAGTCTTCGCCTTATTTTCCTCCTTCTGCTCGTCTGTGAGTGCCTGACCATCTGGGTACGCGTTGTCTATAAGTAGAAGATTAGCCATCATCGAAGGTGGCCACGAGGCTGGTGTACCTGGGACATGGAGCCAAACAACGCGGGCAAAGGTACGGCTTCCTAGCACTATTTGTGACCAAAGCCTTCGTCCCTCGTTGTAACGTTCAAAACTCGAAGTTGTCCTGTAGGAGATTACGAAACCGAGGACAGTACCAAATCTGGAAGTTAGCTGTCAGTAAACCTTCTTGGCTTCCCATGAGAGGTACAACATACACGGTGATAAGAGTCGGCTGCAACGCCAAACTATGGACGTTATGGCTGATCACACAGATAGCAGTCGACCAGCCACCGAAGAAGATTAAGATGTGCCAGCATCTAAAAAGCGCAGTGGCCAACAGTGCGTGTCCAAATGCAGACCACGTAGATCGTATTTCTGGAGCATTTGGATCCACGTTGTAGACTGGGGTACCCTGGTAATTAAAGGACATGAGAACTTGTCAGCACTGAGCACACCCTGCACCACGTCAGTGGTAGACTGAATATAAGGAAGATATGTATGTAGTCGTGTAAAACAAGTTACAAGAGTGAGAATGTTTCAAAAAATGATGGGGGAACATTTTTCCTATGGATATGATGTATTTTTGAAATTCAGAAATATTTGCTTACCGACGCACGTCGCGAAATCGAGCGCGACAATGGATGCATACTGTAACTAGGACCAATTTTACACAGATGGGGATGGGATGAGAGGTAAAACAGTCAGGCTATTAGGATGCTGCCGCTAGCATTAGCACAAAATCAGTGTCGCTGGTGCCCACGTTGAAGTAGCAGCACTGCACAAACGTGGAGCTGGGAAAATTGACCATGTTTCTGTGGTGTTGCCAGTGCCATGATGGCAACGGCGCAACGCCATTGGTGCTTGGCACCTGCAGCACGACAGCCAAGACTAGTAAGAATCACCGGAAGATGTGATTAAGCGAGAGTCGAAGATGTACATAATAAACATTATGTTTTACTTACCTGAAGCTCGCAGAGTCGAACAAGATGGACCGCTCATCAACGTTCAACGAGGAGAGCGTTGTTGGCAATCTCAACGCGTTACTAACTTACATAACGTTTTACGGGCGTTAAAGATTTCATTGAACTGGCCTGTTTTCAGCCTTGTTTAACGCTTGCAGGTGATTGGCGGAGAAGAGACTAAGCTCTGGACTGATCTGGCAAGCAGAGATTATCTGACTCGGCGATCAACGTGACCAGCGGCATGCGAGTCAGATCAATTGGTCTTTCTACTCCACTCTCTATACATCCTCAAACTCCTCAAAATCTTCATCTACGCATACAGACGAAGCGCTATAGCCATTCTGACATGTCTGCAGTCAATAAATCGGCTCATGCGTTTGACAAATCCCGCCTGGACGCTCTGCTGAATCGCAGATTTTTCTACGCGCCAGCCTTTGAAATTTACGGTGGTATGTGACTTGTTATGATTCGGATATAAAATCGTGATATAAACAACTTGCGTTCACAGGTGTTGCTGGCCTGTACGACTATGGTCCACCAGGCTCGTCATTACAAGCAAATATCACAGCGGAATGGAGAAAACACTTCATCATCGAGGATCACATGCTAGAACTCGATACCACCATCATGACTCCCGCCCCCGTCTTCGAGACATCTGGTCATGTCGCTAGGTTTGCGGACTGGATGGTCAAGGATACCAAGACTGGCGATGTCCTCCGTGCAGATCACCTCGTCAAAAGTGTCCTGGAAGCGCGCCTTGCTGGCGATCGGGAAGCTCGCGGGTTGGCTGCCCAACCAAAGGATGATGAGAAGGACAAAAAGAGGAAGAAAAAAGCGAAAACTGTTGTAGTCCAGCTTGCAGATGAGCTAGTGAAAGAGTTTGAGAGTATCCTCGCCCAGGCGCGTCATTTGTCTCTCATTTCATGATGCCTTCCTAATTCTGGAGCAGCTTGATAATTATTCCGGTCCTGAACTCGGCGAGCTATGCAGAAAATATGACATTCGCAATCCTGATACTGACAACGAGGTTGGCGAGCCTCAGCAATTCAATCTGATGTTTGCCAGCAGTATCGGTCCTACAGGCCAACATCCTGGGTAAGTCCACTCTCTATCCATGATCAGGGGTATTAACACAGGATTGTCCAAGTTACCTCCGACCAGAGACCGCCCAAGGCCACTTCCTCAACTTCTCCCGCCTTCTCGAGTTCAACAACGGTCGTGTACCATTCGCATCCGCTCAAATCGGTCGTTCCTTCCGAAATGAAATCTCTCCCCGCGCTGGCTTGCTTCGGGTGCGCGAGTTCACTATGGGTGAAATCGAGCACTTTGTCGATCCCGCGGACAAGAGCCATCAAAAATTCCGCGAAGTCCGCGATACAGTACTCAGCCTCCTCGATCGACATGTACAAGTCAGCGGCAGCACTCGAGTCACCCAGATGACCATCGGCGAAGCTGTAGACAAGGGTATCGTTGCAAACGAGACGCTTGGCTACTTCCTTGTCCGCATCAACCTTTTCCTTATTAAGATCGGTATCAACCCAAAACGTCTACGGTTCCGACAGCACATGGCGAACGAGATGGCACACTATGCTGCCGATTGTTGGGATGCGGAGATAGAGAATGCGACAGGGTGGACTGAGTGTGTGGGCTGTGCCGACCGGGCGGCGTACGACCTGTCAGTCCACTCGGCAAGGACTGGTCAACCGCTTGTTGTCAGAACAGCTCTCAAGGAGCCGATAGTAACCGAGAAGGAGGTACCAGAGTTCAACAAAAAAGTTCTTGGCAAGACATACGGTCGCGATGCTGGCATCCTGCAAAAGGCTGTCGGTGAAATGGATGAATCCCAGCTCATCAAGCTAAAGGGTGAACTTGCCCAGGGGTCTGTATTCCTTCAATTACTGGCCTTCGTAGATTCACCTCCAGTGTCCTTTGCGCAGTTCAACGACAATTTCCGCCGAAGAGAAGGAGTTCACTCTCACCCCCGATTTGTTGACGATTGAACGCAAGACGTTTAAGCAATCGAGTGCGCTTACCTTTTGTGCCATGGGTTCGCCCGATTTAACCTTTTGCCATTTCTTGCAGTTCGCGAATTCACACCAAACGTCATCGAGCCGTCATTTGGCTTCGGTCGCATCCTTTATACTTTGCTTGAACATAGTTTCTGGTGCAGAGAGCAGGATATAGAACGTGGGGTGAGTATATTACTCAATAATTATTGGGTGACCAGGGGCTCACTCCAGGATGCTCCAAGGTTCTCTCGCTACCTCCCGTCGTGGCTCCCACGAAAGTTCTCATTGTCCCTCTGAGTGCCAAAGAAGAATTCGATCCGCTTGTCCAGGAAGTTTGTGCGTTCAAACATGTTTCATTGCAAAAGCATAGTCGAAACTGATTGGCGCACTCCAGCTACCAAATTACGGAAAGCTGGTATCTTCTCACGTGTAGATGATTCCAATACCTCGATTGGCAAACGCTACGCCCGCAATGACGAATTGGGGACACCATTTGGTGTCACACTGGACTTTGCCTGTGAGCATTCTTTGAGCATTCTTTCCAGAGCTCCGCTGACCCTGCAAACTCTATTTCGGCCTACAAACAGCTGTCCAGAACCGGACGATGACTCTCCGGTGCGTCTTGTGGCGGTCCGCGGGTGACGGGCCGCTTCTTTCTGGTGATACGTTTTACTAACTTCACCTCTACTTGCAGTGAGCGCGATACTACGGACCAGCTCATCGGCCCCATCGACGATGTGATTACAGTTGTCACGGAGCTCGTACAAGGCACTATCGACTGGCCGACTGCCTGCAATCGCCTGCCTGCATACGATGGCGTACAAGCCGTCGACTAAATTGGGACGGTTCGAATTGATATATAGCTGTGCATTACGTCCATGGGCGTCACCAATGGGATATGGTCTGATGTGGTGATGGGAAAATAGTCCGAGGAGAAGTGAATATAGAGGATGTCCTGCTGATAGCTGATATCACGCGTCCACGCGATAGAGGTTAATGTTCGAATCTCAGAATAATGCAACGCTCCGACTCTGAAACGTTCCGTATGGTGCGCATCATGCTCATGCGCGGTCTAAGATACGAGGGTTTCCTGTATCGCGGGCTGCAACGAGAGTTCTTTCTGGAATGAGTGGAACGATCGTCATGATCGAAATTAGCTGGAAGAAGTTGCTCATAATGAAAAACACACATTGTGAGAGGGGCGTGGCGTGCTTCCTGTATCAGATATCTGATATCTAGACGTCCAGTTACACATAGCATCGATAAAATCAATTCACGTGCAGGGGTTCTGTCTGCCGTAAGTTAATTATGAGTGTGACATCCCTGCAAGGTTGAAACACTTTCAACGGGACAATGCGCACAAGTGCCACGACGTATATTTGAAGACGACGGCGACGACTGTGAAGCAGAAATATCGGATATTTCTTTAGAACAGCAAGCGTCGAGCACTTCAGATCTCACACCCACGTTCGGTGCCGGATGTCATGACGCGTTGATGTTGTAGTTTGTCACCTGGGAGACATCCGCGTTTTCCTGGGGACCCAACAAACTGTTGGAATCGTGTGAGATATGATGAAGACTGACAGATAGGTGACTGATAGACGTTTCGAATGACAAAGTCAAGTGACTTCGCGGCGCCCTGTTTGATATCACATAGGGGGGGCAGAAAGTTTTCAAGAGGCCGAGGTGGGCCTCTGTCCATTATAAAGGTATCGATCATGGAGGACAATAGTACCACCGCCGTAGGCGAGACTCTATGATACGTTCACCATTGATCAGGTGCTCGTCCCCTCTATGGCACCGAACGGCTGGCTCCGCTTTCCATTGGGAGCACGCCGCGGTGGGAATTGACGGAGCGCTTGCAAAAGCCCAGAGAAGAAAATGAAGACGGACTTGGCCGAAGCCATATGCAATTGTGAGACAGCGAACATGTAAGGGACATATGCTGGCATATGACAGTGCTTCGGCCAGCCGCTGTGTGGCAAACTTTGCTTCATGATAAGATGAACTGAGGTGGCTTTTTCACATCTGAATTATTATTATTGAACTTACATCAATGAGCGTTGGGAAGACAATGTGGCTCAGATTAATGTCTGGCGGACCTAAAAGTCACCAATGAGCAGTTAGATGTCCTCGAGGAGAACTCGGTGAAATTCGTGGCAATGAGAAAATGAAATAGATACTTACTCCTGAGGGACGACAAAAAGGTAATCAGGGTATTTCCTAGGAGACCGCGCATAGTAAACGACCAGATTCAGATTAGTACGTTGACTCGAGTCTATCAAAGGCGGTTCAGATAAAAGTGCGCTCAGGCTGGACATCGACTGATAGCTAGGAAAGGACCCCCAAAATTTAAGCGAAGCTTTTTGACGGGAGACATGGGTAAGAATCTAAGATGGCGCCTGCAGGCATTCGAAGCTTGGCTAAAATGGTAGTAAAGCTCATGGGTGAGAGTGCTTATCGTTCGTAAACGGATGTTTATGTACCAGTCGAGTTTCTTCCATGTCCGCGCACGAAATGGGACCGAAAATAAGGGTCATTTACACCCTTCATCGTAAGTTAGATCTAGTACCTGCACATCCCTATGAGAACAATTTTATGAGAGTAACCTCGAGATGACCTTCCCTGATGACACCGCACTAGTGAGGCAAGTGTGACTGCGGCATCCCGCGGGAAATGAATCCGGCTCTTAACGCTTTCAACCTTATAAGTTCAACGCCAAACATTATATATTTCTCCTCATCCTCAGTCAAGGGCTTTTCAGACTCTTGCAAGTCAATCTTCATCCTTTGTCCTTTCTTTATTCCTTATCTCTTTTAGAGACTTCACCACTTGCATTATTTCCACTTGCTTTGTCCTTAGACTTCACAATGACCACCCTTCAACCGTCTAACTCGCAAGGCCTTCGTGCCGAGAAGCTTGTTGCTCTCCCAAGCTTGTCATGCGGTTTATCCTCATTACCCCAGGCCAAAAGCATGGACAGCGTGTCACTTCATCCGAACATGTACGCGCAGCGGGCAGCCGAAAGTGAAGCAAAGGTATGTTCGCTACTTTATACTTGACATTAAACGCGTTTTTTTTAACACTTTCGCAGTTGAAAAACGTTCTGTCAAAGACTGCTGCATCATATTCGCAGACTACTCCAGCTATTCCTGCCTACATGAACCCCGTACGTGATTCACATACTCAACCGATTCCGGAATTTTGTGCTGACCGCCGCCTATTTTTTTTCGGACATCTAGCCTCATCATAACTCAAATTCACCCAGTTCGTCACCGCCCTTGATGATGCGGAAATCTGTGAGCACCTGTCTCCAATTTGTCCTACTCCATTTGTCTCATCCCGGATAATCAGAAACCAAAATTCTCGGCCTAACTGGCCAACCTAGACTTTCCTTCCTTTTATATCTTCCTCTGCTGGGAACTATTGTAGATCTTGCATTACCAACATAAAGCGGCACCACCCTCTCATCGTCCATCCTCATCACTTGCATCGCATATAGACACATCGCATACCTATATTCATACCATGGCATCTTTTTCTTTCCCGTGGTTTTTTTTTTGTGGCCTTTGTTTTGTCCCACCAGCCCAGCGCTTTAGGTGATGATTGGATTTTTAATATGGGTAGCGAGCTTATACTTAGCCCGGGAGGTCTTTTACTCTGAATCCGCTACGCGTCTAGTCATAATTTAATGGATATTGGGTTTGTTGGGCAATTGATATTGCTGTGTGAGCATCGCTGTCATAGTCCTCAAACATCTCAAGCATCGAGCACCCCTGACGTTTCTTTGTGGGTCAACTGGGACCCACTGTTTGGTACGTACTTCAAGTTCCCACGCGCAAACTTAAAGGGAGGAATCGACAAGGAACAGAAGACACGCCCAGCGTCTGCGACTGTACATTGCAGCCTATCCTAGCCTATCTTGCGATAGGCTGTAGTCACCTCTGCCGACGGTATCGTAATAGAGCTATTCTTTATTGGATCTTGTAGATTCAGAGTACTGACTCCTGAGGGATTTGATAGTCATTTCTCATACCCGATCCAGACAGCAGAGCATAAGGCCTCGTCTTTGGATCAGCTGCCGAATCTGTAATATGCATCGATAATCGAAAGCTCATTGAATTCGCGTCTTCCAATTTGCGAGACGGACGTCTCAGACGTATTCATCGGACGGACTCCTTGTAAGTAGGTCAGCACTCTCTACTAAAATTCCTGGGCATTCAGATAAAGGTCAAGGTTTCCTCAGTTGCCGTGATAGCAAACGTGCAACGACTGCCCTGAGCTTGGGCGGTCTCAAGACTTACTTACTAAGGGTTAGAGTTGGGTGCTTATCCAACAATCACTGGCTCCTTCCGACATCAAGACTGGTAACTCAAGGAGTTACCTGTGGTTGCTCACCTTGTACTCACAGGTTCGTGATGTGAACGCCTGAACGCATTGAGTCGCGCCCCGCAATTCTCTCCGTACCCCGCGTTCTACGCGCTTTTGCTCGGCGTGACGTCCTCGAGAATGAGGGTGGAGACTCATCGGGCTATCCCGTATGCCATCCTTATCGCCTTCGATATATTGTCTCGTTCTGTGCAAACGATTGACGAAGAAAGTATTCTTTAGCTTTTACGTTTTGCGTTCTCAGAAGCGTCATCGCCTCGCCTGATGAATATCGATTCCCCTGCACCCCTCTCACGGTTCGGTGCGGGGTTAATGGCGCCGAAGACCATGCCGTCCAGAATCGAGACCTTCAAAGTTCTACCGGTCATGAGAAACAATAACTCATTTCTTTCGGTATGTTCCTAACTGGTGTCATATTTCTCGGTGACAGACATGCACAACTTAATCTTGTTCTTTGGGTGCACAGGACACGTAACTTTTGTCGCAAGATTGTCCCAGATGCCAGCAATATTAATGGCATGCGGTTACTGTCGACGATAAGCCTATGGCGTGCTGTGTCATTTGCCACTCATTGTGGTAAGATGAATTTATTTCCTGCTACGGCCCTGCGGCATCTTCGATGACTGGGATACTTTCCTCGATACGTCCCAGATCTCTCAGAAGGCTCGAAGCCTCACCGGCTAGTTCCGATACGTCATTTTCAGTGCTGTCATTCTTTCCAACGCGAGAACGCCTCGGGTGTTTTATGGCAGCCAAAAATTACATGTCGTGATCAACTGGGCTTAGGGTATGTGCTGATATATGTCTCTGTCTCTACGGTATTACAGCATATCCCCACCGTTATATGATCAAGATTTTATTTGAGGATGGGATACGTAAAGTAATAATCGGTCCTATGCGTTGGACACCAGGGGTTCTTTGTACCACCCTTGTTATTCGTCCAATTCGATCCATCCAATTACTTGATTATTGACACCCCGAAACAATGTACTTCTCCTATGTATTAAAAAGCACCAACGCAACTTGTTAGATTGCGGGAGCAGTCTTGGAAATAGGAGGACTTAGCACCCTTGGTTCCTGTGTCGCGCTCAGTGAGATATATTCTTCTCAGCATCAAAATCGGCAGTTCAATGTGACATCCTATCGCCTGATCATGCAATGAGCTACCTTTCCCTTACTTGCGAACTTGAAGACCTTCCCGATTTGGTATTCTATATGAAATTCGAGGCTGAACTGCTGAAGTCACTGGTATGGATAAGCAGCCCAAGCTATCATACAACACGTATCATACAACACCATGGATGCTGCATGTACATGTAGCTAGCAATCACAGTAGCTGGACCACGTCAAAGCCCCCGCTTCCCTTCGCAACAACTAACCGTCCCATTCCCTCGTCAAAGTCCACCTTGTCGCCACCAACACCATCAGCACCAGCTTCAATCTCGTATACAGCGTTTCCTGTCTCAAACACAGGACCGAACTGCATCTCACGCGGGGGGATGTACAACAAACTTTGCCCACACAGTCGCACCTCCCGCCCAAACACGCACAGTCCGCGCCCCGACGACCCCATACATATTTGAGTGCATCATTGCCCCCCTAAACCCCCGTCTGTATCTCCCAGTGCGCCCAGAACAAATGGAGGTAGGCGGAGAAGCTGGTACGGGAATCTTACATGTTTTGCACCATCGTTGGTGTCTAGTGGAGTGGAATAAGCATTGACAGAGCAATCCTGCCCAACTTGCCCTTGGGACGCGCAATGATTGTGAGGGGAGGTGTCTCCTGGGATGGTGGGTGCGCCGGAGCGTCTGCGCCAGATCAACCTCGAGGAACACAAGTTGTGAAAGCGATAGGCGAGCTGATGGCCTCAGAAAACATAAATACTTTAGTATGTGGAACTACCGTCTGTCCCTGGGTTGGTATTTCTGGTAAAGGGAACACGCTAACGCAGGCCTCCCATGCTACAAGGATATAGTCGGAGAAATGGGTGAAATATAGGAATGCACCGAACTGCAAGAAAATCACGTAGGCACGCCATCCGAAATCGCTTGAAGTCGCACTTGGCTCACTCACTAGTTCTGGTATACGCGGGAGCAGGGCAGTGCCCTCCGTTTGAGCATGCCAATCTAGTAGCTCAAGACCTCCCCCATCCTAGTCTAACGTGGTGTCCAGGAAAAGGAGGTGGCGCGATATCCCTGCGACAGTACCAGGGGATCAAGGAGTAGTCGCAAAGCTTGCTGAGGGCAGGCTCCAAGCCAAGTGAGAATACAGCAACTGATTTATTAGGTCTATTCGTTGTCAGAGATCCTTCCTTCATTTCGGCGTCGAGAGGAAGAGGGACTTACTGGTCCCTGCAACCGATAGCAATGATTCCTTGACACTCAATGTCCTTCACGACAACGCACGGATCATCACTCGGTGATGACCACTCTCCAATATTTTGAAGCTTGTGTGAGGCCCCTGGCTGCCCGGAGATGAGCCAATACACGACTTTATTTCCATGAACGGTCAAGACCTGCATTATACCAGGGATAAGCAGAATCTGGTCGACAGTTTCTCGTTTTCTGCTCGAAACAATAACATTTGGCGTGGACCGTGGCCAACGTCTGTCGAGTGAAAGAGCCAACAATGTGCGATGGTCTAGATCTGCAGAAGACAGTGCATGAAGAGAGCGCGAAGAGCCAGGGGGTGGGAGATGGCGGCGCAATACTTCGGTGCAGAACACCACACACCAAACGCAGCGAAGTATTGGACAGGAAGTAATAACGTTTGGAGGTCTGGAAAGGTGAGATGTATGTGAGTTCGCATGGAAGCAAGTTTAAAGGACGTACCAGTCTCAGTGTCAATATGTCTCGCACAGACAATGTCTGGAGGATCTGTATGAAAATATCATTGACCAAGTTATCAAAACTCGGCACGCAACGCATTGTGGATAGGATTAAGTTGTCGAGCCGATGCTACGATGGGTGAACCCATACCAGGAGTCATATCAGAGACTTGTTGTGTTTTGCAGGACGTTGCAATTCAGACTGCGTTGGAATCTCATCCGACCTACTTGAAACCAAGATTCCAGTAACATGCCAGCCAGAACTCCCGAAGACAAAGAAAGCGCAGATGAAAAGCAATAGGCAACGACAACAGTCTTTGTGTGGTGTGCTCCCGATCTGACCGCACGCGCAGCAACGATGCAAGCAACTCATATAGAGCGTGAAGTATTGGTGAGGTAACAAGGTCGGAAAGTAAGTAGTCGATGTACTTACGTCAAGTTTACATTCAGTCAAGATTCAAACGGTCAACGTTGGACCATTCTAGGTCTCAGTCGCGAGGGCAACTTGTCAACGCAAGGACGGATGCGCTTCATAGTCGCTAATTGATCGTACACAAGCCTCCCACAGTGCCTGCATTGATGGTTCCAGCATTTCTCTGCAGCCTCCCAATCCCCCTCATCCATGTTCCTCACGACGGTTCCAATAGGTCTCTCATCCATCTCCATATACATGGCAAGCTTCAGCGCATGCCACGCATGATGGTCTGTGGGCCTGCTACACGCACACGTCTGCGCGTTGCATCCGCTAGTAAACTGCACTTCGTTATCGATAGCGATTATAAATGCGTCTCTCCGTTCTCGCCGCAGGTCTATGAGTCGGAGAAGATCATCGGTGGGTATGCGCTTTAGAATTAGAGCATGCTCTTGCTGGTGGAATGGAGATGGAGAGGCACGCTTCTGCTGCGTATTGGAGCTCTTCCTCCCACTGATACCGTGCAGCGATGGCATATACCCGTAGGGGATCTGTCATGAAGCGAGGCGATGTGATGGCAGAACGTATGATAGATGTAGGTCCTGGTGTATCATATTTCTCGGCGGCATGAAGCACACCCTCCATTTCCTCCAGGGACTTCCAGCAGGGGACTTCCATTCCGCTGATCATACTGAAAAGCTTTTCCAGCACGCCGTCATCCTCTTCCAATCCGATGGGACTGGCCTCGGATGATGGATCAGGGCCTGAGCCACTGCCATCGATATTCGATCAGGGAGAGCATAGGTCGAAAGAAACCTGATGTGGTCTGCAACACGAATGAATGCATCCTATAGTATGTTCCTTCACTGGAACGGAATACCACATCTGCGTCTGGAGATGTGAGGAGTGGATCATGATGGTAGCTGACTGCTTGAAGAGCGGGCATGCTCATTGCTGGGCGCATAAGAAGATGGTCTCCCGTAAGATAGTCGTTTCTTCTTTATTGCCAGGTTTAGGGTAGCCTCCCCTAATCAGACCATAACAGAAGGAAGACAGTCGTTCCGACTGGTTTAGGGCGTAAACGTGTGAAGGCTGGGGTGTCGACTAGTCCAGACCTTAGAAAAATGAAGACGACCAGTATTTGGCGCTTGTAAATTTCTATATAAAAGTGTTACGAGTAACGACCACAACTAGCTGAGCACTGATCCAAGGGACATGAGATCTCTCTGAGCTCTGTTCTGGCTGCGGTGTTGGACAGAAAAAAGACGATTGACATCATATCAGACCTTCGTGTAAGCTAGATGCTTACGAAATCAAGTATCACGTGGACGTTTTCCTTTATATCACTCTGCTGCATAGCGGCAAAAGACAATGCCTCCAGACCCAGGACCGGCATAGTATCGTGAAATTTCGAGTGCGACAGAGACGTAGGATGCAACTTATGCATCCTAGGTCATTGCGAGGGTCGTCGTCGTCGTTGCCGTCGTTAGAAAATTCGGTTTGTCCTGTAGGGTGTATGAGAACAGTACCGAAATCAATAACGAAATTATGAAACACTTACCTGACGTGACGCACTGTTTGATAGTGCGACAGACGGAGCGGAAGGAGGGCTTTCGGATGCAATTTAAAAAAATGGGGGTCATCAATGTTGTTGTGTTGTCGTCGTCGTAAACAGCGAGGGCAGGCATTTCCCTATGAGAGCGTGTGGCTATGCCGGCGGTACGCGTAACGCTCGTTCTCATATAAATAAGGTACTGTTACAAAGTGGTACTACACATCTGAGAGACGGCCTAGTTTACGTTCACATTTGAAACTTTCTTCAGCCATAAGCGTGCGCTCTCATTGGTGGAGAGGTGCTTAGGTGACACTAAGCGCTCGGCTACATACAGGCTCTGCTCGATGAGCAGCCCCAACTTCTAGATGCATGGTGACTCCGGTGAATCCAATCTTTAACCACTCTCGACAACATGGTATGACAACATTGAAACATGACTGGGTTTACATGGTATGCGTGGAACATTCAAGTTGAATTCATGCCTTTAATTCCTGTGGGGCAACAGAGTAGAAACTGCTCATGACAGCATGCCCGCATCAGGAAAAATATAGCTGACTACATAGTACTATATAGTTCGAATCGACCATGTAGCTCAGTCGTTACCCCCCCCTGTATATAGAAAGCGAGGCAACTATGTCATGCTACATAGCGCCATGTAGAAACAGGTAGTGCTACCAGGCACTACTGTAATAGCCTGTAGAAACAGGTACTAGCGCTACCAGGCACTACTGTAGTAGCCTGTAGAAACAGGTATTAGCGCTACTAGGCACTACTGTAGTAGCCTGTAGTTCGTAGGACTGCCTAATACAGAGAGCTACCAGCCACTACTAGCAGCTATATAGAGGGATAGAGTAGCACACAAAATAGCACGGAAACAAATAAATTCAGAATGCATAAAACAGAGCTACTGACAGATTCTTGCATGATCCTCCGCGTCATCTTCACATCTGTGAGCCTCAACTCTCGTTAGCCTCTCCATCACTGTGCTCCTCGAGCTGGTACTCTCGAATCCCATCATCAAATGCCTCGTCACCAATCCAGGATGCAGCCGACAGCATAGTGAGTACTTCGACACCTGCATGCAAACTTAAAAGCACATATGTTAGGTTGGCACTTGTGAAAATACAGTGCGACGTACCGAGCCCTGTCATGCAAACTGTCGCAAAGTCTTTCAAGGAGTTTGTAAGGTGCTGTACACTTGTGGAAGCGCTGCAACGAGTCAAAATGAGCTTGGTAAATAGATGCATAAGTAGCCGAAGTGAATTTGATGTCTTCCTTCAGGCCTTGTAACCACTCATCAATACAACATTCGATCTATCAATAATCAGTGCCGTTGACATTAACATAAGAATATGAGACTTAACTCACAGCTGTAAGCACGAGGGCAACAACCTCGACAGGTATGGGGTTGAAATACTTGTGGTAAACGATACCCTCGTCATTTCGGTTTGCAAACCACATAATGTTGATACCGTCTTGCAGTAATTCAGATTTGTAGATCCCTGTCTTCAATGTCCAGTCCTATTATCCAACAGTCAGGACTCAAAAGGTCACGTAGGCCATTGTGCTACATACCTTGAAGGCAAATGCTGAACCACCTTTCAAAGATTCAGCCAGATCTCAGTTTTTCCTTATCACCTCCTTTGAATGACTTGACCAGAATCCAAAAAACGAACTGGTGAGTGATCGCATCTTCGTTTTGAGTTCACCACACACATGTGATATGTGCAGCAATAGCTTCATAATATATATAAAAATCAGATGAGCCATGTACTAAGAACGGAGAGCTTACCATTTTGACTGCTGGAGGTGTTAATTTGACTTGGATGCCTTTGATTTTGCATGCCTCATGCCATGCCTCTTTTGCTAACCTCATCTCAACAGCAACGCCGTCAGGAAATGGCGCCTGTGTGACAATTAGGCACCGGAAAATCGAGGTTGCAGTTCCAAGGATCTCCTTTGAGATTTCGTCGAAATCGCTAGCTTTCACACGTTGATGTGAACCGTCGAATATTTTCTTCAACTTCAGCACTACTGTGGCTTCTTCTGATACAGTGTCCCATAGTCATTTGGTCCCTCGAGTAGCAGGTAATATTTCAACGGCATCGTCATCCTTGTCATTGGTGTGGTTAGCCTCAGCCTTGATATATGTTGGCTCCAAGTCGTCAGCCTCAGCCTTGATATGTGTTGACTCCAAGCCATCAGGGTCATCCGAGTCACCAGACTCATCGCTAGCGTCATCCGCTAGAGCTGCATACGTAGAAGCATGTTAGTTTTGCTATAGTTAATGAAGCAGTTACCAGTACATACCTTTTTGACACTTTGCGTCCTGGTGAGTAGTCGGCCTGCGTGCGCTGCCACTGATGGTGCACGATGCTATTGGAATCTTCCCTGCACTGAAAGTCAGGACCTTGGCATTGGACAGCTTCGTCTGCACGCTGTGATCTGAGAACTGAATAAAAATAATTAGCCATTGTTCTAGTTGAAAAAACGAGTGATCAAACCATATTCTCTTCTTCCCTGTCTGCGTCACTATGCAGCTCCAAGGGCTCAGTCTCAAAGACTTCGGGATTGACTTGATAGGCGCTCTTCAGCACCCTTTTTTTCTGCTTTTCCAACTTCTGTTCCTTGCCTATTTGTTGACGGATGATATGTTGTGATTCAGATACTGTAGAGTGAGGTCGTGTTGCAAGTGAGTGAAATATGTCATTGTAGTAGTAACAGATGGCAGTGACTTAACCTCAGTAGTTTTCTTTTTCGGTTGGTCGATGTTGTTGACCACTTGTGGTGCGTGGAGGTGTCTGCGCAGCACCCGATGTTAGTTGCTTAGAGGTGGCCTTATACGGAGGCATGATCATCGGTCCTTGGGATCGAATGACCTGTCGTTCAGCCGTTCAGCTGATTTATAGTGCCATGCAGGACGCAAACACTCACAATTTAAACCTTGTTTCATTGTTGAATCCAGGGCTTGTTGATTTTTCGGAATGCAGGGCTAAATGCTGTTTTAGTTAGAGAATAATAACAGGTATGAACATACCGTCAGTTACCGTCACGATATATACTGTCATGGATACTTCTAACTCAGCCAGAAAACAGTATGGAGCTCAAGTCAAATACTCACTGTGACCGTGCTCTGACAAATGACAGGCCAATGTCACCAACCGCTAAGGCTACCTGTAAAGACGAGAAAATTGGTGTCAAAAGGTGAATTAAGTTACCCCTCCTCCTCATCACCCCCAAATACTCACTAGCTTGCAGGCCGAAGCTCGAAGCGCCTAATGCAGAGCCCATGTACCTGCTCCCTCCATTTCGTCAATGTGAAGTGCCAGATGCTCGTCAACGTGAAGTGCCGGATGCTCGTCAACGTGAAGCTCGTCAATGTGAAGTGCCAGATGCAGAGCCCATGTACCCGCTCCCTCCATTTCGTCAAACACCTGGCCCCATCTCAGTTTCTCAAACATACTTATGAAAACTCATCTTGGAGTGTTGGGAGGCAGAACTGAAGGCCTGTCAGAAAGCTAAACAATTGCAACTGTTAGAAATAGTGCCTGCCGGTGGCATGCCTGGCCATGCAAGACTCGTCACTGACCGCTGGGATGCAGAAGCAAAACGTTGTGAAGAGGCAAAGCGGGTGCAACTACTAGAGATACTTCTTGCTGCCCATGGCATTCGCAGACTAGCGTAGTGCCGTTATCTGTAGTAGTGTCAGCAACAGGACCTTAAAAATAAAGAGCGCCAGGACCTGAAGGCAATTACTTTCACTCTTGCACTTTGTGAGGGCGCGTCTGGTCATTACTTTCACTCTTTTGGGCGCCAGGACCTGAAGGCAATTACTTTCACTCTTGCACTTTGTGAGGGCATCTGGTCATTACTTTCACTCTTGCACTTTGTGAGGGTGCGTCTGGTAGTACTCACCATTGAAAAATAAAGAGCGCCAGGACCTGAAAATTAAACTGTATGAAGGGCGCGCCATGCGGTTAGATCCGGTAGTAAAGATCCGGTAGTAACCTGTGCTGTGAGTGGTTAGAACAGAGCCAGAATTCCCTTGAATAACTCACCCAACAATGCCTCACATCTGCAGATTCTGCGGCAAGGAGTTTCCATCAAGAGGACGCGTCAATAAACATATAGCTGTCCGCCCTGAATGTAGAAGGCAATGGGAGATGCTGGTCAGTGAAGATACTACAGACAATGAAGGTGGCCTACCAGAGGGCTCGTTTTCCCCGCTTCGGCGCTCACGATCCAATTCCCTCAATGAGGACAACCCAGCAGCATCCAAAAATTGGCAGGTGATGGTTGAGGATGCTGCCGACGAAGACAAGGACAAGGCCGATGAAGACAGGGACAAGGCAGGGCAATATTTCGAGCCGTGTCCTGATGCCGGCTGGACATTGCGGGAGGGTCAAACTGGTTTCGAAGAGTATCAGAAATATAAGCAGGGTGAAGGTCAAAATGAGTGGGCTCCCTTCTGTGATGCATATGAGTTGAGTTATATTTGTCGTGTCTGCAAAACAATTAACTTTAGTCGCCAGGGAAGAATGGGAACTTGCTGAATGGTTGATTAAAAGCCTCGGGCAGACTCGAACAGATGAGTTTCTGAAGTTACCGATAGTGAGCCCGGTGTTGACTGCAGAGAAATTGGCACTGACCATAGTAATAGACAAAAAATTGAACAAGACCATTGTTCCACAACAATTGTTCGTTCCTTCAGAAGGTCGATGAGCTGCCATGCGGAGCTGCATGGAGCTGCAAGAAGGTTAGCGTCCAGGGAAATTGAACAGACGAGACAGGCCAGCCAATGCACGAGGACGTCGAACTTTGGATGCGCAATCCTGTCGAATGTATCAAAGACTTGATTGGAAATCCTTTGTTCAAGGACCATATGGTGTACGCACCTGCACGAGCATACACAGACCCCGCAGGACTTCACCGAGTGGTTGATGATATGTGGACCGCAGACTGGTGGGGTGACAAGCAAGTAAGTACCTGGCCCAAGACATCAAGCAAAAAAAACAAGTACTGACCTTCAATGACCAGAAAGAGTTGCCGAAAGGAGCGACTATAGTGCCCATCATTCTTGCGTCAGACAAGACATGTTTGTCACAGTTCCGGGGTGATAAATCAGCATGGCCTGTATACCTTTCGATCAGCAACATCACTAAAGAAAAAAGGCGGCAAGTGTCAGCACGAGCAATGGTCTTGATTGGGTACTTGCCTGCAGGAAAGCTTGATTGCTTTACATCTGATGCGCGCTCTCTTGCTGGTTACCGACTTTTTCACCATTGCATGTCCCTCCTCCTCCAACCTCTCATTTCTGCAGGTCAAGACGGCGTTGAGATGGTTTGTGCGGACTCGCTGATCTGTCGAGTATACCCGATCCTTGCTGCTTATGTGGCGGACTTTCCTGAACAATGTCTTGTTGCATGCTGCAAGGAGAACTGGTGTCCGAAATGTCTGGTCGTGGGCGATGAAAGAGGCAATCCACTGAGTTCGTCGATGTGGGACCCTCAGTTGATTAAAGAGGTGTTGGAGAAGCGGAAAAATGGTCAACATCCAGCTGAGCTTGAGGAGTATGGACTACGCACCATCTACAATCCTTTCTGGGCTGATCTCCCACACACTGACATTTTCCTCGCCTTCACACCTGACCTCCTACACCAACTCCACAAAGGCATCTTCAAGGACCATTTGGTCAAATGGTGTATTGATATTATCGGCGAAGAAGAATTTGACGCACAGTTCAAGGTGATGCCTCATTATCCTGGTCTGCAGCACATCAAGAAAGGGATATCTACAGTAAAGCAGTGGATGGGCACTGAACACAAAGAAATGCAGTGTGTTTTCCTCAGGATAGTGGCTGGTGCTGTCCCAAGGTACGGTCAAACCTTATGTAACGAAGTCCC